ATATATAACTTATATATTGCTTATTTTTTATGCCTGGAGGCATATAAATAAAATTCTAATATAAATAATTAAATAGTATTTAGCTTATTTATATTAATTACCATGAAATCTGTTTATTTAAATTTATTATTTAGTATATTTTATAAAGATTAAATTTACCTGCTTTCAAAGAAGTATTTAAATAAATATTTATAGTTAAATTTATAATATTTTTATATAATTTCTTCGTCTGGGTGGCTTAAGTATTAATATTAAAGATAAATATTATCTTTTAATTAAATTAGATTTATACTATTTATATAATTAATTAAATATTTATATTTTAACTTGTTTACTGGTTCAATTTTTGTTTAAAAAATTTACTGATATTAATTAATTTTTTGTATTTTATTTTATTTAATAAATAGAATATTATTTTCTTTTTTGAGTCTGTAAATTTACTAATTTTTATAAATTTTAAATATATTTTTTTTAAATTTAAATATAAATTTCCTTCCTTTATCTTACCGGCAGAGATAATATTCAAATAAAAATAAGATATATATATAATATTTTTTAATTTAAATTTAATTAGTTTATTTTGTAGGCAAATAGTAGGGGTAAGATAAATTATACTAAATCTCTATATTTTTATATTTATATTACTAACTAAGATAGTTGTATCATCATTTACTAGAGTATATTTACTGAAATATTACTAATTATTATAAACATAGATATCAGATCCTGTATTAAAAATCTAATTATTTTAATAATTTATTAAATTTTTTAATTTTGAAGAATATGTTTGTAAAGTAGTAAAAATAAATAAATTATCTAATTTTTTATTATTTTTTATAAATTTTTTATAAATTTTTTTAAAGATATATCAGAATTTATTATTTTTATATACTTTTTTAAATTTTTTAATAATTTCTGGGTCTAGCTTCTAATCAGTGGGTCGTTTTGCTTAGTTTATATATAGATATTTATTAAAAAAGTGGATATCATTATTTAACTCTGATTTACAGAGATATCTAGGTTATTTCACCAGCTTTAAATAATTAGTTAAATTGGTTAAATCATTAGTTTAATTTTTAAAGATTATATTTATAATATTTAATAAAGATTTTAAATTTTATTTATAATTTTTACTAAATTCTCTGCATCTATGGATTATCTTATAGAAATCAGGAATTATCTGTGAATTTTTATTTAATTCAGTAATTTTTTCAAACCATATCATTGAAAATGTTGGTAAAAGATTTAAAATTAATTCTATATATTATATTATATATATAAAGACTGTTGGATCTCTGATATTTATATTTATTTATATTCAGAATATAAATTTTCCCATGTAGAAATGTGAATTTCAAGGCTTAAGCAGGGTAATATCTGTAATAAATAATATTTTTAAATTAAATTATATTTTCTAGCTTCTATGATAGGTGCTAATTTTTTCTTTAATATTTAGAGAATTTTGTATACATCATTTACATCCAGAATCAATTGTTTGTGGAATTAGAGTAATGAATTATATATAATTAATAAAATTATTAATATTCCAGTAAAAATTATTTAATATTCTTTAAAAAAGATCTCATAATCTTTTATATAATTATAATAAATTTCTTATTCATCAGTTAATAAATTAATTACTGTTTAAGTTATTTACTTAATTTATTAAATTTTTAGTCTATTTAGTTATTTTAGCATTACTGGCTTATCTGTAAGATTAGGATTAATATATTATTATATTTACTTTACTTCAGCCAGGATTCTGATGTTTTTAATCCATGCCGGCTAATTACAGAAGATAATTAACTGGTTAGTAAACTTGTTTATTTCTGTTATTATTATAAATATTTATTAATTAAATCTTTATATGTGTAGACCTTTCAGTAGAGATAGACCACCCTTATAACTATTAAATAATTTCCTGGAATAGAGAAAGATAATAAGAGTCAGATAACTCAGAATTACTAAACTAAATTAGATAGATAATCTGGTATAAAAAAATTTAATATAAAGATAATAATGCCTCTTTTAATTACGTGACCAAAGGAGATACGGTCAGGTCATAATTACAAAATAATAATATAGTCAGATCACGTAATACTAGTCCCAAATAAGAAACTAGATATCAATTCATAAAATATATAAAAATAAGTATAATTAATAAACTTATTAAAAAAAAGCAATCCTACTGCCTAAATCAGAAAAAAATAAATTCTAAGATAGATAATAAATGAATTAGATAACTTAGATAACTTAGAAGACTTGGTCTAAATATTTTAAATAGAAAGATATAGTTTCTATTTATTTTTAATTTACTGCCTGTAGTGAATGAATCTAGGCCAGGGTCATGAATCATCAACAAATAAAGAAATTATAGTCAACTGATCAGAATGACGCAAGAATCACATGTAAAAGAAGGATTATCAGGATTTTAAGAAATAAGCTTAATCTGCTCCGTGAATATTAGGTATTCCATATAATTTTGTATAGGACATGTGATAACTCTGGGTATTCATGGAAACGAGGGTTTTCATATAAATAGACAAGAATTCAATTAGCAAGGTAAAAGTGATTTCTCCAGCCGATATTAAGTATTCTATAGATTTTTTATTTCATGTTATCAATTTCCCGCTGTTCTGAATCAGAAATATATAAGACTATCTCTAATATCCGAGCCAGGTGGCTTGTTCCAGTAAAGAAGGATACTATTTATAATAAAATAATCCAGTTATTATAGTAAAAGTTATCAGGATGATGTATTATAATAGTTATAGAAGTTGTGAGATTATTAATAGCAATTCTATATTATTTTAATATTTATAAGGTATTAATCTCTTTGCAGAGGACTACTGATTTCTTAAGGATCAGTCTATTTTTATGGATATAGGTTATCTTTATTATTATTAGACCAATTTATGGTGTTTAGTGGTTGATTCCTTACATAGTCGACAGGCCTTCTACCCTGACAAGTAGATCCTATCATAATTTTATTTTTATAATATTATTATTTTTATAATTTATTAGTTAGAATATCATGTAATCTCTCTTTTCTTATAACTAACTATAGATAAATATATAGATTATTATATATTAATATTTTTATAATAAATAAAACTTCCTGAAGAAATATAATTTAAATATAATAAATAATATTAAATTATATATATATATAATTTAAGTTTTTTAATATATAAGATAGATAGGACTCTGAGAATCTATATTAAAAATATTAATATATTATTTTATAAAATATTCATTAAAATAATATTTATTATTAAATACTTATTAGAATAATACTTATTAGAGTAATATTTATTATTATAATATTTATTATTATAATACTTAATAGATTTAATTAGACTTAATATTTCTGAAAAAGAGTATTAATCTAATTTAAATTTTTATTATATATATTAATTTAATTAAATTTATGTTATATATATTAATTATATTTAGAAATAAATACTGTTATCTTTAAATACTTATAACTTAACAGAATAATTAATTAGAAGACTGAGAGTTATATTACTATATTTCTTGATTCTAGCACTATCAAATAATACTAATCTTGAACTTGTCAGATATCATTTCACTGTTATCCCGTTGTGAAGATTTGCCTACTAGATTATACTATTAAAGATTATTAGGAGGATACTCTAGGCTGTCTCAGCCGATAAGTTCAATTGCCAGATCTGATAATTTATCTTGACCAGGAGAACTGGCTTTTGGCCTTATCTTTACCAGTTAATAGACTGATGGATGGCGCTCTGCTACTCATGGCATCGTGTGGTTGAAGATAAGATGAAATACATAAACCTTTTAGTTTCCAAGAGTAATGATTATCCACTATAGCTATTAGGATGAAAAGAGAAAAGTAGAAGAGGCAGAAAGGAGAAAGACTGGTTGACCTCATAAAGTTAATGAGTAACACTATATTTGAATTATGCTTTTAAGAACAATATACGAAGTTTGGGCCTAGGGATCGCCCGGAGCGGGATAAGCGTATCGGTCGGAGATATAGATATGACCCGGTAATTTCACTCGGAGTACACGGAAAATTTCAATGGAAATATACCGGCAAATGTTTGGAAAAGTCAACCAAATTCCCCGAATATTACAAAGGTGGTAAACTTAACGGCAATTCTTGCACTGAACTATAGTAGCTCCTTACCACCACCTGGCATGAGACAGATAATTTTCACGGTTTTAGCAGTAGGACCTCACCTTTAATATGATCTCTAAATCTTCTTAATTTTAACAATGTCCATATCTCCCGCTTGCTTTTGCAGCCATGATTGCAACAAATAAGGCCTCGGTTTTTAGGAAAATCGCCGAGGGTTTGCTAGTCCCCGGAGAGCAGCTCCAAAAGACTAATACCAGATTTAACATGACAGAGTACTGGGATGACTCATATATGCACTGCCACGTGGCTTTTTGCTTAATTTGCATAATGAATGATTATTTAAAGTCTTCCAAATATCCTGCTTGTTGTGTATACATCCTTAGAACCATAATCAGGACTGCGCGATGTACCCTCAAAAAAGCAAAACTTGCAAGATAATTTAGACAGGCTATATATACATCTATGTATGTCAGTTTGACTGGTGTATCACTAATGCCCTTGAATTCCAGTATTCTTGTGTTGAAGTAAAAGTAAAGCCAGGAACTCAAATACTCAAATAAGCTTACATTACTATTGAGATAAGCACTGGTGGTGTTCTACTGGTAACTAGCAATAGCTGTCTAATAGCTGTCCAACATTGGAATCTAACTGTTAGTCGATGAAACACTATGACCGTGTTATATTATATATACCTAAGCTACTGACTCACATCATGTTCTCATATTTGTAGCACTTGATTAATTACTTGATCTAAGCCTTCAAAAAATCTAGGAACGGAAGTCTCACTTTCAGGTTGGAGCGATCCAATTGCTTGCTTGGCAGCGTTATCTGTACAAGATTTGACCGACATATTGAAAATGAGAATAGACGCATATCATTACAAATCCGCAAAACGACTCTTCCCTCGAATTTGACTTCCGTACCGAAAAAATATATATCTGTCATTCGTGAGACTCATTAGACATTACATCCTTCATTGCTAATGAATAGCAAGGCAGCATTCGGGGTTGTGCTTGGGTGGCAATCAGTTACAAGTGATGGGTCACAGGTGGCAGAGTCGTGAAGACACGTAAGTCATCTCACCCAACACGTAGGAAGAGGAACAGAGAAGCAAACACCGTACTGGCAAGATGGATTAATTCATAACTTACGGGAAAGGGGCCATGACAAGGGTCAGGAATGCCAACAATGATATTGCCCAGTGATAACCAAGTTTATCATACAATATACCAGAAGTTAGCGCGAGCCTCGCTTTCACTGTAAACCTTGCCATAGGGCTTTTTTCCTCTGATTTAAGGCACCACGAGGACAATATATGGAACGACGCCAAATCAAGTCCAAGAATATAGACCTACTCTGAATCCCAAATAATGGGAAAATTCCACTGAAAGTTGACCGAGTGAAGCTATTTGCAGCTAGAGCACTAGCAGCAAACAATGGATACGCGTCAACTAGAAAGGTAAAGATACCCGAGTAGACGAGAATTGTCCTAAAGATTATGTTAGAAACGAGGGGTAAAGCCAGGCCAAGCGATGTTAATCTTACCCTGCACCAAATACTGCACTTCCGATTATGGGCACAATCCAATGAACATCAGCATAAATTGTCCAAGCAAAAATGAAAAGCCCAGTGGTGACCAATGGCCCACCCAAAATAGCTGTTGCCAACATCAGCAGTTGTTATTCCCATAGTTGACTTCAGAAACATGAATTACCTGGAGGTAGTCACCATTCAGGCTGAAAGTCGTCGAGTTTATTTATGCTTTTTTCATGAGAGCCCTCTAATCGTCGATAATTTTGACGCCAAAACGGGTCAGTTATGATAGTGAGAGCCATACCAACAAGGAGACCGAGGAAGCATAAGCCGCATTGTGACGTTGAAAATGAATAAACATTAGAGGATATCAGCTGGAAGGCCCCGAAAAACAGGTACAAGATCCCGAGAAGAATTGCCGAAATGACGCATAAACTCAAGCACATTTGTTCTATTGTTAGGAGCAGAATGGGACGATACATGGACTGCAGTACCGTCTGTTTCACTGATTTCTGCGATTTTTCGATTGGAGCTTTCCACCTATCATCGCCGGTCTCCTGACGAAGTTTTTCTGCTTTGTGTTTCAAAAGCCTAAATAAATATGTTAGCACTAACACGCAGGCTTGATTTGGACAGGGAAACATACACTGGGTGGTAGGTCTCTGGAATAAGGAAAATGATCGAAACGAGCATAACGCCAGCCCATATTAAGAGTACATAAAAAGTCCAGCGCCTGTAAATAACATCAGCATTCGATTCATCCGAGGACTTCACCAAGACGTACCATGTAGTGTATTGATTGATGAAACCACCAACGCTATAAACAGTATTGATCAGAATAAGGGTAAAGCCATTGCTGATAACGGCACAGACTTACAGTGGACCAATCTCAGGCCCAATGAATGGAGTCGCGGTATAAAGCATCATGGGCAAGGCAAGTTCATGACGGTCAAACAGGTCACCTACAGTGCCACCAGCCACACTCAAAAATGCGCTTCCCGCCAGCCCGTTAAAGAATCGGGATATTATCATGGTCTGGATATTCTTTGCCACTGCGCATGGGATGAGCCATATTACAAAGAAAGTAAATGATACGATGTAGATGTATCTTCGGCCATAAAACTGTCATAGTCACTTAAGTTGATCACATATTGGTAATCCTTGAGAACTTACTTCAGATAAAGGGCTCAAGAACAGAGGGCAAATGCCTAAAATATATGAGTTACTGTAATTGACACTGTCAGCTAGGCACGACTTAACGAACCAAGGCCGCAAACGAAAAGTGATAATCCGAGAGTTGCGATCAATTAAGAACAGTCAAAGTCTTTTATAAGTTGATCATATGTTGTGCTGTACATTGAAGACGTGCAAGATCTGCGGCGCGGTCATTTGTAATCCTCCATAAATTATAAAAATGAGCAAGAGACCAAGGATATATTTCACTTACACGCAAAGGGACCCAAATAAGACAATCATGGTAATTAGCCATCGCCGAAATTTGCTTATATAAATCGGATTCATCTGATCATTTTCTTCCCAGCTCACAGTGAATCCTGCCATTTCATCAGCCGCTTGGCATCTTTCGTTAAATATCTTCGGTTCCTGGTCACACAGTCCATCGTTCAAGGGGAAGCTAGGGCTCGGCAATCCGCAGGTATTTGAACATGGTTTCTGAAGGATTCTCTGATATTCATGCTCATTCATTACAACGGATCTAGAAGCTTTCGATGATCTGTCCATGTAGGAACCTCTATTGGCCTTGCTGACATCTTCCTTACCTTGGAGGGGGCCATCATGGGAACGTGAGCTCAAAGACAACATGTTCATTCGAAATATAACTCTTCAGTCTTCTGTTCTATATTTTCCTTCTTCATTCGCAGTAGTGGTTTCAAAGAACTGATTCGATTTCATTTCTCTTCAACCTCTATTACATTTTATTTGAAATTGTGTGATTGAGAATAACAGTATATTTACACAAGAATTACAGTGAACCATCCACGGAAACTGTCCGGTTTTCATTAATCTAGAACTTTTGGGCTTTAAGTGCCGATGCTCCGGACAGGAATAATGGGTCAGAGGTATCGCTAACTCTTGTGGCTATTGAATTATTAGGGTTTATTCGAGAAAGCTAGGAAGGGCAGCTGCAAGCAGATCAAACAAGAAGCACATGGCTGCAAAAACACGTTATTAACAAAGAGCGTGACTTCGTGTTAACTCCGCGCTTATGTGAACCACCAATTGTGTCAGGGGCTAGGTGGTTATGTGTTTAACCGCCCAACTGATTGTCGCCCAAGTAAGAGCTAGAACCCGTAGCTTTCTTTCTCTCCAACATCTCCATACCTTGGTTTCTCAATTTCGGGCAGGTGTCGAAAAGCCTGTGGATACTTACAGCGCCGATATGAATCAGAATGGCATTGGTCCTATTCTCCTATTCTGTGTCCGGCGGCCATGATCGTAAATAACGCAAGTTCAAGATAAATAGCGCATCGGAGGGTCGGTGACTACAGATACCGATATGTTGCTTCTGCCTCTTCCAGTGTGCGCCGCTTACGTGTCTATAACAATTCACGGAGCAAGATTCTGATCCACTCTACTCCTTCGCGCCTGGGCAATGATAATGACATTATATGTACGTGCAGCTGGTACCATACAATGATTATATTATGTTATAAGCCTTGAGAATGATAATGGTGGATTTATGCAAACCAGGAATTAAACATAGAATGAATATTGTTCATTGGATTACGACTTCCTGGGTCAATATCCTGGATGTCGGCTGATCACGGAAGATCGGCACAATCAGTATGGAGTAGAAACTATGGAGACCAGTACTCCGTAATTGATCGACATCTCTCGGCTTTATCGGTCTTATCTGAACCGAATACTTTAGCTTTGCCGATCATTACGTTTACTTTACTATGATATCGAATACTGCTTTTATACATAAGAGACCGAGAAACTTCACCAGCATTTGGATGCTCGCAGTTACAGCAAAATCATTTTACCTATAGTATAAGGTGAGCATGAAATAGAGAACTCGGCCCCTTTGATTCTAATTAATACATAGTGACAATATGGCAACCGAATTGAATATTAGCGTGATATCTGCGATTCATGGAATCGTGACTGGTAACGAAGCTGTTGTACTGGTATCCGGCACTGAGGGTAATCGTCCAATTCTGAAGCTCAATGACTCCAACAAAAGTGATAGCTTGCAAAGTGTGGATGGAGATACATCTAAGTGGAAGGGTGTGTTGACAGGGTTTACCGTTGGAGTTAACAAGCTTATCGCAAATGAAGCTGGTGATGAAGCTTCTGTCGCTGTTCGGGGCTTTCCTATTGAAGGCCCAGTTTTCAGCGGGCCTCATATCCAGCCGTGGAAATGTACCACTGAGCAGAATGGCCTGGGACCCGCCGTGGATGCATACTGCAATGCTCCGACAGTTACCAAATACTACTATATGGACGTTAAAGCCTCTGACTTCCTGCCTTATGATCAAAATAGTCCTCCAAAACCGGAGCAACTAGCTTACACCACCACCGATGCGGGGGTCACGGTGCCTTACATTATCCGGCACGAGAAGGGAACTGCAAACAGAGGAGTATGGGAGCTTGCTACCCTATATAATCCCCATGAACCATGGACTGCGATCAATCCACAGAAGGGATGGAACCGAAAGCTTTACATTGTTGCGTTTGGAGGGTGGAACCAAAAGTACAGCCAGTCTGTGCTCCAGACCGGCTTGACGCCGGAGTTGAAGTACACGGTATTCATTGACATGGCACTTCGACGCGGGTTCATGGTTGCTCGCTCGACTCAAATGCAATCAAACACCAACTCCGATTCCATTCGCGCCGCTGAGTCCATTTTGATGCTTAAACAGCATGTTATGGTGCATTATGGAGAGATTTTGTACACCTTTGCTTCCGGGCCATCAGGAGCTTCCATCATGCAGCAGATGATTGCCAACCAGTACCCCGGTTTGTTTCAGGGAATTATGCCTCTTTCGAGTGTTCATTCTAGCTGGTACGTTCCTGGGATCTCTATTGAATCCAAGCTTCTGGAACATTATTGGACCAAAACGTCTCCTTCCCTTTGGAAAGATGCTAAGGCACGCCTTGCGGTCGACGGACATCAAGATCATGATATCATGGAGTTCTGGAATACGGTCTTTGGCTCTGAGAAGACGGGAGGTGTGGATCCGACTCAAGGAACAGGGTTAGAGCCTGATCAGACATACAGCCCGCAAACCAACCCGGCTGGTGCCCGGGGCACCCTTCAAGATTACCAGGTAAACTACCTTGGCAGACGTTTGCCTTCTGAATGGAGCCACATGGAGGCAGAGATCAGAAAAGGATTTGCAAACCTTCCATGGGACAACGAAGGTATACAATATGGTCTGAATGCGCTCCTCAATCATCAAATTAGTGTGGAGCAGTTCTTGGACCTCAACGAAAAAGTTGGCGGGGTCGATATCGACGCCAACTTTATCCCGTCTCGAACTGTGGCTAGCTTGGTAGCACTGGAACGTCTCCATCGATGTGGACTGATCAATGATTTTAGCCACTTAGCTGAAATCGCTATCTTAGATATACGTTGTCCAGAACGAGAAGACCCTATCAGAAGCCACACTCAGTTTCATACTTGGGTTTCAAGAACGGGCCTGATTCAGGCCCAAGGTCATGCCGAAAACCAAGCTATTTGGATGTGTCCAGGCTTCCGAACTGTTCAAGGTCCTCCTGAATCAGCCTTTGTGTTGATGGACAGCTGGCTTTCTTCCATCTACAAAGACACCAGTGACCTTTCTTTGGCGGAAAAGATTAGGAAAAATAGACCTTCGAATCTCTCAGATGGACTGTGGACTCCAGATGGAACTTCAATTGGGGATCTGGAAGACATGAACACCACTTATGCAACTTTTGGAGATCCTAGAACTGTGGCTGCCTGCAACAATCCGAAGGCTATGTTCATAGCGAAGCCACAATTGAAGCCGGTAGAGTTGGCGGATTATCCAGGGGTAAAGTTCTCGGAGCTGGAACTTCAGCGATTGAAGCGTATTTTCCCCAATGGGGTGGCTGATTGGGAGAAACCTGGAATTGGACAAACCCAAAGCATACCGTGGCTTTCTTATGAATCAGGTCCCGGGGGAATTCCAATCTCCGTTGACAGGACCTAGGACCTTCATCCCTTATTGATATCACCGGACTTCTACATATTCTCTGTCCCTCTTCACAAGTGTCTGTGTTAGCTGCCCCAGATGTTTGTCAGAGCTGTTCAATATGATATTATCGGTGTTATTTTACTAGAATTTTTAACGTGAGGAAGGAAAGTAGGAATGTATAAAGTAAATATTTATATAAATAAGGATAAGCAGATCACGCGATGGTGATTTAATGATAAACCAGTCAAAGAAAGTACTCTTATGTAATTCTAAATATCATTTGTTTAACATTACCTTTTCTTGTCATAAGTTACTACCATGAGGGATGGCCTAAGTGGTGAAAAGAGCACCTGCTCCCGTGTATATATTACTAGTGTTTACCCAGGAGTCTAAGAGTCCTCAGGTAGCTGCAGAAACTAACAAAATTTAGATCATTTTTTGATGATCTGTTCACAGTTGTTAATCAACAAAAGATCTTATATTTAAGTTGCTTCTATACTTGCTATGAGATAGATGTCAGGTCCTGAATCCATACAACCCTTGCAATATACCATTGCCCATGCTGTGGACAGCCCCTCACGAGGAGTGATTAGTAAGGAATATTACATGACCCAAAGGCCCCTCACGGATAGGAGTATCCGCGAGAAGAAGTAACACTTAGAGATATTAGTAATAATATCCTATAGGAAATACAACCCTATGATTATACTTCATGATAGGTTTGATCTCTTCACACTACCTAATAATACATCCAACCTTACAAAAAGAAGAAGGAGTATCTGTAGTATTATAATTTATATTATAAATAGATAAAATAATAATATTAGTTACTATCTAACTAGGATCCCTAACATGAGGAGGGGGAAGAAGGATAGGATAAATATATAAGATAAATAAGATAAGTAAGCTATATGATGGAGGACAAACAAGATAAACCAGCCAAAGAAGACAACATTACGTGACCCCAGATGTTGCTTGCATCACAATGTTCTTACGCGCTATTCTTCACCTCTTGTTATATGATTTTGTTGACATGATATCAGCTTTTCTGGATATAGTAACAGATTAATTTACAAGATAGCCAGCTCTACCACCTCTTGTTTGCTTATGTATATATTACCTTTAAGCCTTTTCACACGGTTAAAAGACCTATAGATAGCCCTTTATTTTTCTTACATAATGTCATGTCTCTTTTATTTCCAAGATAAACAGATTCAACGTCCTAAGAATCAATGTTATCTTGATATCTTTCTTAGTCCTTATGTTCCTAGCTGGTTTTCTATCTTCTCCTAGAATACCAACCCCATTGATATATACAGCTAGATTGCTTGGACTTCATACATGGTCTCCTAGCAAATTTTGTTGCTATGCACCATTTCCATGGCTAGACCTCTAATTGCTCGCCTGTCTGGGTTGCTTTTGTGCCTGTTATCATTCCACCAAATGATTTTACCAGATATATCAAGCTGACCGCAACTCCCAAGCCACCCAGACCGATACCCATATAATTGGCGCCGCGATACCCCTTCAGCGTATTCTGGGAGTCTAAGCCGCCATTGTTGACATGAACCTCGACGGTACCGGCAAATCCAAGCCCAAGCGATATACTATAGTTGACTATAGTGGTGACAAAAGAGGCTGCTACTCCTTGATGTTTACTGCCAACCGCATCAGAAAGGATAATAGTCGCTGCAGGGAATGACATATCCATGCCCCAGGGCATAACCAGAAGCGAAACAAAGGTAAGGGCCCAGTAGGTTTGATCAGCAGGTGCTATTGCCGCAAGTATGTTTCCAAGGGTGAATGCAAGCATTGCAAGCGACATAATCCACCCGGGATGGAGTCTGCTCATCAAGGCACCGGTTGTGAAGGCTGCCAATATTCCTACCGGTGCAACGGGTGAAAACTGGGCTACACTGAGTAGCGGCGACAGAGCGCGAATGTTCTCAAGAAATTGCCAAAAGTAGTAAAGCCAAATGCCGAAGCTTGCGCAGCCGCAAGCTACACATGCAAGAATAAATAAATGATACATCCACATTAAGGGCGTCGAAGGGAATAAGAGGTTTTGGCGAGAATCTCGTCTCGACAATGAAAAAAGCCAATAAAAAGAGGAAGCCGACAATCAGGACAATGTAGACGTAAGGTTGCTCCCAGCCTACAACTGGGGCTTGGTTCCAGGCAAGATTGACCAAAACAAGTCCAGTTATTCCTAGTACAGAGCCAATGAGATCGAGTTCCTTGACAATTCTCATGATTTCCATTCCATGAACGGGAGAATATGCTGCTGGAATAACAAATACCCCAATAATGGCAAGTAATAAACAATATATAGCCATTGACCAAAAGGTCCACGGCCACCAGCAAAGCTGGGAAATTATCGCAGCGAAAACGGCCCCAAGTAAGGCTCCATTAGGAGCCATGGCACTGAATAATGCAAAGACCATGTGTTTCTTCTTTCCTGGTGGATATGCAGCACCCAACAATGCAAGTCCATTTGTAAGTAACATCGCTGGTCCTAGTCCCTGCAGTGTACGAGCGGAAATGAAAAGAACATGGTTTGAGTAGACACTGAGGCCTGCTACCATTGACCAGACTGTGAACCATATAAAGCCCAGGATATAGACTGTACGGTAGCCAAACAAATCACCACAACGGCCGAAGAAGAGAATGAAAGTGCCGACTGTGAGGGAATAGCCGGCGATGAGCCAGCTTAGAACTACTGGATTGGTGATAGAGAAGGAATCACCGATGATAGTCAACGGGGAAAGGCATGCACCCAGCGCAACCTGGGTCATAAATTGAGACATGCATATTACTGTCACAAATAGGACTTCTTGTATAGGCGGAAAAAGGGTCACAGTTTCGCGAATTGAATTGGTTCTAGTCAACTGCACTTGAAGCGCAGTAGGGTTCTCTGTCTCTTCATCCGTGTCCATGGTCGGCTTAAATTCGTTGATAAGGTATGTTAATTTGTTTATGTGAAAGACTGTTTTTCAGTATAAAAAAAAGCTGGCTGCTTGAGAAAGCAATATAAGCTGAGATGAATAGCTTTTTACAGTCTTCAAAGTCTTATGTGTGGTTAGAAATGCTTTTAGAAAGCCCGTCAGACCCATTTTAATGGCACCCGAACCGGGCAAGTCCGGTCGTACTAACTGCTGCAAAGGGGTACAGCTATTTCCTTGTAACGCAATAGTAATACAGGCAGTCGGACGATGCGGGTGCTTAATAAGCGGAATAATCTCTTTTTAAACACCCGATCCCTCTCGTCCTGACGGCGTTCGGACATTACAAGCCCATCCTACACTAGACCATCCCAGTCAGGAGAAATATGGCCCAACTAGCCCAGATTTCAGGTAATGATCGTCGCAACGATTCCATCACCTTGTGTATAAGTAGTTACATGATGTACATAGAGAAGGCAGGGAGTATCCTTCTTACTTAGCCATTTCACTTTCACTATCTTATATTCCAATCTTGAGCTCTCTACATTTTATCCTGTCCTCCGAGATATTGCAATTCCCGAAAGAATTTTCTATTGGTGTGACTTCCGGGCCTTCTACTGTCGGTTCGACTGAGCTGTACGAGTTAAATTTTGCCCGACGAGCGTTACGTCTCGTGAAAGAGCGATTGGGAATTGCCCATATCGAGAAGCTGTTACAGCCGGATATTGAAGAAGGCAATGCCTTTTGGCAGGCAATCATCGCAAAGAATACGACGGGGCAGTTTAAACCCTCGTGTATCAATATGTCGGTGAACGGATTGTCTCCAGACGAATTTGTGAAGCGGTTCCACCTCCGCTGCGCGAAAAGAATTCCTGATATGCTTGCTGCTGAGCCGGAGCACTGGGTGGTGACTTCGGATGCTGAAAACAATCAAATGGCCATTAAAAATTTGGGGCCCTGGATCACCCGGCTCTACATCAAATTTGGCCCTCCATCAATGCCCTGGCAACAGAAGGATCTGCGCGAGGATTTTCCCTTCAGAATATGCGGCCACGCAGAGAGTGACGAAGGGGTACCTTTAGCCTACATCCTCCATCAACTGAAGCCGCATAATGTTGGAGTGGGGTTTGACGCGAGGTTTTGCATATATTTCCCTGCTTCTGCACCGGATGAAATATTTGAACAGCACCGACAGCATCTCCTTGTTGAGTTCACCAACTGGACCCGCCATTGCTACACTGAGCTGAAAGAGGACAATGTTCAGGTGTGAATAGAATGAGATGATAACTTTGTTTTCACATCAATTCTATTGATGTTTGGTTACACCAAAATGGTAGGATGTGGGGGAAAGGATGCAGGGCGCAGAATAGGTGTGGACCGCTGCCTGATATTGTTCTATGTAACTAAGTCTTGTTCGATAATAGCCAAATATTTCTGACATTATTTAAATTCGGCAAATGTCCTTACGTTGTAGAAGGTAGATAATAACAGAGTCATGCATAAATCAATTCTGATGTATATATGATGCTCAAGTCTTTGATGTAAATAGCGCTGGATTATCTTTATTACAGTGACAAGTTTTTGGGCGCTATATCACAGCTCAAGGAGATAGGCCATTGCAGCTTTAGCCAAGCATTCAGATTTAATACTAAAGGAACTGTAATACCCCTTCATTGAAAGTACTTTGTCTAACACTTTTTTTTGATCCGATACATAGATAAGTTTTATGCATTGAATTTGCAGCCAAAGATAAAAAAAGTGACTTTATTGATGCAGAAATAATAATCATAGCTCACTATTATATCTGGATCGAAGCATGGCGGCTGGCCGCTTAAGATAAACTTATATCATCTATTAAGGAAAATACGGGTATTGGTTACACTACAAAAACTGCTTCTAGTCTTTGACTTTTTGATATGATATAGAGTCAGCTCTCGAAATTTTAGTACTGGTTCCTATTTATTTCTATTTATTTTATATATTTTTTATATCGGCCTTTGAAGTTGGTTGGGGATAGTCTGATAATTCTAGTTAGGTATAACACCACCCGCGCTACTAGTCCTAATCTGAATTATCAGACCACGGGATGATACATCAGAATCCAGTAATTCAGGACAGGATTCATGATTAGTGGACTACTATATTAGTAGACTATCTTTTAAAACAGGAGAATGAATAACTGACAGCCCGGCCAGAACAGCAGCAGACTACTAATATTATATAAGTCAATAGTATCTGCCATATATATTACTTCTATAGAAGATATAGGACCTGGCAGCGATATAGTTAGTCTAATGTAGCCTGTTAATCCAGGACCTGGTAAACCAGGACTCAGTCTATGATTAGTAGACTACAGTATTAGTGGTTTATGCCAGACTAACTACATTACTGCTATAACCTATATCTTCTGCAGAACTAATATATATAGCAGATACTATTAGCTTATACAATATTAGTAGTCTGCTACTGTTCTGGCCGGGTTGTCAGAGTATTACTAAATTATTATATAGTTTACTAATAGCGTGGTCTGTTAATTATAGGCCAGGTCCTGGACTATTAGATCCTGGATTAGTAGACTATAGTATTATCAGATTATATTAGACTGACTATATTACTACTATATCCTACTGCTTCTATAAAAATGATATATATAGTAAAAGCTCCATGAACTATCACAGTAATAAAAGAACATTAGTATACTCTGCACAGAATTAAAGGTCTAATAATTATTCATGTGACAAGTAATACTAATATATATATAAAACATCAGTACATCAACAAAAATAATAAATAACTATTCTTCACTTATAGTAAATATCAAGTAGATAAACAGAACTGTAGCCTTTCAATGGCTCAGTAATTGTGAAAGAAAATTACTAAGTAAGCTTTACCTGATCAGGACAGCCATATATAACTACCAGATAAGTTATAAAGATTAATAATAGCTATCACAAGATAAGTATAAATAAATTAGATACTTATTAATTAGAGCTACCCACCCTTAATTCTGTACCAGAAGACGAAAAAAATTTTAAATCACTTATATATACAGTGCCTAGACAAACGACTTATACTATATTAATTAACTTTAACTAATCCTTGACAAGAGACATCAATGAACTACCACTCTATATTTTTTGATATAACTATCCATTGACTGTTATCTATTTTTTTCACACTGCATTGTGGCTTGACTATAACCTTTCCTTACATGAACTTATCGACAACAGATAATAATAGACTGCAGTTTAGATAGACAATACAGGACAGTCCAGCTTTGTTAATTAGCTAAACGGTCCTTACGAACAACTGACCATTTCTGTTTTGAGGGGCCTCTAATTATTAGTATAGTTGTAATAAGCAAGAATATAAAAGATCACTATAAGTAGTAGCATATTTAAAGAACACTACGTTTAATAAGTATTCAAAGATCGCGATCTCATTCAGTAATAGTGATGAGCTATGAATAAGGTTTCCAGAGTAAGTAAAAAGAAACTAGCTTATATGAGAAATTATATAATTAGAAATAAAGCCTAATTAACTAGTAACAGAAATAACCTGCAACAACACTCCTTCCTTATTTGTTTGTTAAGGGATTGCGCATATAGTAACCATACACTGAATAGCAGAGTATCTAATGAAATATCTTCACTGGCTTCAGGCGCTACTAATCCATTTATATTTATTCACCCCAGACTGTAGAGAGACAATACTAAGAAGTTTTTGGCTGTAAGAAAGCTGGGGCATTTGACAAATAGACCCAGAATAAATCTGATCAAAGAACAGTAATAGACCCAAAATTTACTATATATTAGAAGTCAATTAATATTGTGGCTCTCATTCAAGCCAGCACTAAAACATAATTACAAAATTTTAGAATTACATCAAACTATAGGCTCACGGACTGAGAGCATAAAAATACATGCATAGAATAGCTGATTAAGAAAATATTCTAATTAAGATATAAATCTATGAGTCAGAAGACATAAGGCTGTATTCTACACATAGTACTCTGGCGCAAACCACTAAGAAACTAGTTTTATAACAGACTACAGTATAAAGAGAAGGAAGAGAGATTCAGAGTATTTAGTACTAAAGTAATATTCTATTTAATAGCTTATTAATGGAGCAGGAACAAGATAATCAGATTACCATGGATAGCAAAAATACATGCAATTTTACCTCGAGATTCTTGACGGTCCTGAGATATTGAAAGAATGGCTTATTACCTCAGAAACAGTGAGAACAGAACACCACCTCGGTTTCTGCCTGAGTAAAATCAAGGTTCATTTCCAAGTAGTAGACAAGAATGGTATTCTTGACTGAGGACTAATGTATAGGCTTAACAGAGATATGATGAATGCCTTCTGGATTTAGAAATAAGTCAAGACATGGTCAGTATAATAATTAAATAGAAGGAAATCTCTACTGCATGGTTTTGGAATACTGAGAAGAGTATAATGATTGCCAGTTATATCTTTCAGACAGCCTTCAGATCTGAAACACAACCCATACAAACAAATTACCCTATCTATTTATATTTTGATGGCCTCACTTGCAAGACTTGAGCATACTTGAGCGCGAGATCAAAAGAGCAAAAGATACCCCTGATTTAATAAAATCCCAAGCTATTCATTTTACTATTCCCTCTATCCTCCTTTCTCCATTATTCTTTATGGTGGAAAAGAGCTGTGCTCGTCTTACCCTTATTAATAAATTAATTATCACATTCATTTTTAACCTTTATTTAATCTTGTCTTTCATTTTCACAATAAAGTCTGTAATTACTCTCTCACTGCTTACCACTGCTCTGGGTGCTCTGACCCAAAGTATCAACCACTTGTTGTTGCTGGGCAGATCTAGCACCGGTACTAGTGACAGTCAGAGTGCCTTTGAATCGCTGTTCCTGATCAGTGGCGCCAGCACCAGCAACAGCGATTTCAGCAGCCTCTTCAGCCGTGCTATGACCAGTATACAGAATCCTTTCCTACCCATCAGCTGAACTCCCATCCTGACAAACCCTCACTAGACTCCTCCACTGCCAACAATATCACCGACAACACCGGCTGCAAGGAGCTTACCTACATTTTCACCCGCGGTACCTCTGAGACCGGCAACATGGGCGCTATTATCGGGCCCGAGGTAGTCTCTGACCTTAAGTCCCTGAGTAGCAACAAGATCACTGTGCAGGATGTCAACTACCCTGCCAACTTGACCATATATTCTCCCTTCTTTCTCTACAAACCTTCACTCCCCTACCTCAGCAATTAAACTAACAAACTATATAACAGGATAATACCAACATGGGGACCTCTGGCGGCAGTACCATGACCTCATTAGTTAAGCAAGCCATCAGCCAAAACCCCAACACCAATATTGTAGTGAGCGGCTACTCGCAGGGCGCCGTAATAGTACACAACACCGCTAGCCAGCTAAGCTCGGGAGAGATCCAGGCGGCCGTACTTTTCAGCGACCCGCTCAAGGCCGAGTTGGCCAACACCCTCGACTCCTCCAAAGTGAAGAAGTTCTGCGCCACTGGCAACCCGGTCTGCAAGAACGGCTCCGATGTCATGGCCCACCTTTTCTATAGTGATGATACACAAACTGCAGCGCAGTTCTTAGTCAGCGCGGTCAGTTTTAAAATTCTCTCACGGACTCAAGTATATAGTTTATCTTATGAAGGGAGAGTACAGGGAAATATAGATAACAAAAAACAGCTGTATTTAAGATTAGTCCTGTGGTATATATAAGACCGACCTCACAACTTCGTAATATATTCTGAGTCTAGACTGTACTCAGAAATACTTATTCTTCCTTTCGACATTGTTGTAGAAAACCTCAAATCTGTGAAAAGAAATAGTATTTTAATAGGGTGACAACCAACAGGGCCCTGGATTAGAGTCACTAGATGATATTCTTTGAGCCTCGACTCCCACAGCCCTGCCTTGCCTTGTTGTGAAGGAAGAGTATACTAAGGAAAGAAGTAGTCTTGCCTTTAGAGCAGTCGAAGCTTGCCTTGGAAATACATACAAATGGAATACTCTATTCTCTATTTGAATGCCCTGAGTCTCTGCGGACTCCTTTTTGCTCTGAAGTTGGATATTTTCAGGGTGCTGTAACCTGCTTTTTGTCGTGAGGAAATTGTTTGTAAGTCATTATCATGTGAACATCAGCAGTGGAGAAGCATATGATCACTGAAGTAAAAATAGCTGTCAGGGGCTAGGTTTCTACTTTCATGAAAGAGGCTGAATGAAGAAAATGTATCGGCTATGGTGGTATAGATGCCCACGCAAGACGAGGACTGTTGTGGTAAAGAATAGCAAACTCGAAGCGACTCAGCAGTGCGTACGCTCGTGTAAGACCTGGAAAGACTGGGTTGTTACAGCTGTCTGTCAAACTATACATTGAAAACATCCGACGCATCGCCATCTGGACAAGGTAACAAGAGAGATGGTGTTGGATGGTAAGACCGGCGCTTGCAAGAATCCACCTCATTTAGGTTTCACAGTGGAGGAGGATGCTAAGGTTAACTCATGGCGAAACACTTTACTTCGAGCATAACTTGGTCTCCTCACACTATGCTTCTCTCTGATTAGTTCCCTTGGAGGCTTTTGACGCAATATGATTGGCTTGAGAAAGGCATTTCACGCAGTTTGCAGGTGATGCAGCCTGAGGTAATTCGAGGTTGAATTCTCGAAAAGCCTTCCGAGCACAAAATACATGTTCTGCTTTCTACTGAAAACTGCTCTTACCACCTATACTATTTTATCCCCCCGCCAGGACCAAGGGTCACCCTAGAATTATATTTCGCTACCCCGGGGGGCCAGGGTGGGAAAGGAACGGGCCCAGAAATAGTTATCGAGACCTCGCTCATATAACCAGAAGTCTAGAGATTAGAAGGAGGAGCGGGCTTTCCTTTATGATATAAAGAGAGTACGCAACAGAGAGTATTACAGCCACTGCAGTTTTGCATCTGGCCTTCCATGAGTACTTCGCTTGCCTTGGCGTTTGGTGAACCAGAAACCATATTCTAATAAACAATCCAGTGCTTTTGGTGTAACAATGAACAATTAACTAGGAAAGCCACACAGTAAACTCGCTATATGGAAACACTTGTATTCAAGACAAAAACACGCCACATATGCCACGTTAAGATCAATCCTTACCTTTGACTCTTTATTCCGAGAACAAGGGGGCATGTCTGGAAAGCATTGTTTTCTGTCCCAGGTGATGCTCTTCTCTTTCAAGACTCTTGCAAGCCCTAGATTGTATTCTGTCTGCCCCAGCCACTACCTTTGCACCCACCCTGGGGACCAGTTTCTTCGAAGCGTGTCAGTCTTATTAGCCTCAGGAGCTCAAACTAAGAAGCAAAGGTACTTTTATCTGATATAGATAGTCTCCCGGCTAATATAGACCTGGCTGTATTCCAGCTCTCGTCCAAGCCGCATACGCGCTCCATATTGGTTGTATAAATTGCTGTGTTCAATCTAAATATGGATTGGTTAACCAGCTTGAGAGCCTCTTTGCCTGTATCCACTATGTACAAACTGATGCTTGGTCTGAAAGTCTTCTTATTAATAAGGTGCAGATCCTCGGGGTTCTTGCGGGATTAATTGTAATATTAGCGGGTATGAGCGAGTTGGGATGCCCTGACTTGTAAGTTATGTTGTTAATAATGAATTTTCGATCCTTGGCCTTAGCCTCTTTGAGGACGTCCAGCGCATGGTGGGTGATGCCTTCTGACACTGCTGTTCCAGTGATGCCTTGTGTGTCAAGAGTATTCACTGCGGCTGTTAAAGTATTTATGAATAGCTTGGTAATCTGTCTCTAGATGATAATGTGCTTAGTACTGAACCATACCTGACTATGATGGAGCATGGTGCTCCAGGAGTATTTCTTTGCCGCGTGCTCCAGACCTACATTACTAAGAGTGATGGTGCGGTACTTGCTGCTGAGTTCTGATATTACTGGCTTCAGGTACTTGGTAGAGGTAGCAGTGATGATCCTATCCACAGCTGGGGAGTTTATAACATCTACTTTACAGATGTGCTCGTTGTTAACAATATGCTCCGTCATTCCTGAGGCATCCTCTCGTGAAGCACAAAGGACATCGATGACACCTGGTGGAGCACCTGCAGCAATATAAATATCCGTGAGGAGACTGTGGGTGTAGGGGCAAAGCAATCGCTGCTGCATAAGCACGAGTGCAGAGGTTCAGGGTTGCATTCCTTCTGGTATATAACTAACTTAGGGTTGTTAAGTAAGCCAGGTAGCCAAGAAGAGCGGAGCGAGAAGAATGTGAGAAGTAGGGTTGACTCACAGAGGGATAATCGAAACAGGATTAATAGTTTTGTTGAAAAGCCACGATATTAGACTTATCATGTGGTGAAATAATATGTTTGATACTCGACACAGCCGCAGTAATTTCCTGAATATACTTATCAGTGATTTGCACGTTGGATTTTGCCCATAACACCGTACAACTGGTCTTGGGCTGTTGAGCCTTGACCAGCTTTTCTTATTGTTTTAAGAAGAGATCTTGAACTTGCTCCAGTAGCTTTCTTTGCTGTTTGATACCAGCACGCTTCTAAGGACTATTGTTCTGAAAACCGTGTACAAAGACCTGCTATGCTGTGTTACGGGTAGCAGAGTAATCTGGGGTAAAGGCTGACTGGTATTGATGAACAGATTCATTGGTCTTCGCTGAAATTACTGAATGAATCTTGGTCTCCTGAAGAGGAAGCGCCTCTCTAGCCACAATGAGTGGCACCACACGTCTACCATCACAGGCGGTTTGGTAAGGCGTTGTGAAGAGTGAAAAATAAAAGAGCACTAAAGAGCAGTAGGGCAATAGATTAGGAGTTCATGCCAATTCGAGCACACTTGCGGAGAGGATGTGGCTATTTGAAGCTTGCCTCTGCATCGCACACACGTCAACTGTGCTCGGCAGGTCTGGCCTAACAATCTGCTATTGCTTGAATGGAAGGCATGCAATGACAACCGAAAGTTCAGGTAGTGTATACTGCACGCAGCCTATCAACCTTGTTTACTGTGCGTCAAGCGCTCTTTATGTTCAATGCCCTAGTCAATCAATATGACAGTAGCGACGATTATAGTTGCTTGGTGTCCTAAGTTGAAGATGTTTGATGCCTGTGTTCCGTACTCCTCGCATGTTCCGAATACTCATGTCAAGGCGTGCTCTGCGGAGTTAAAGGAAATAAGACCCAAGGGGTTGAACCTGCGTGAAATTTATTCAAGTTGTGGGAACATGGGGCTCGGACTTAGCGTCTTTCAATGTTAAATTCCGTGACCCAGTGGGCCAGGCATCAGCTGTGCAGGAGAAAAAGTGCATAAGTGCAGATCAGATCTAGGTGGAGCCAGATTTTGTGCGTTGTATTGTACCATACTGTAATATACTGTGATATACTGTAGTACCTTATCACCGGTATGATGCGGAACTGTTACCTTATCAAGTATGCTTGGCTGTGGATTCAATTACATCATAATTTGCGAAACCTACCTTTAGAAAGTACTAGCAGAATTGTATACATATATAGACATGGCGCAGTGGCCCTATAAAAGGGGTCTTCAGGCTATAGTCAAATGAAGCGAAGGAAAACTGAATACTGTGGCTGATATTGTTTAATATTCTCAACACCAATCTCGCGCTATTCTTCAAGCTGATCCACAGAAATGATCGACTTCGTTCGCCATCACTGGTATGACCTCGGGGTCATACCCTTCCTTCTATGCCCACGGTATTTCCATCTCAACCGACCCAGAATGACCACCAACCAAATGTTTCTCCTGGCTAACTTCATGACTGTGTTGGTCCATCAATTCGAAGAGTACCGCTTCCCTGGTGGGTTTCTTGCGGCGATGAACATAGGTGTGCACTCCAGTTCCCGCCCTGATCAGTTCCCCCTGAGCTCTCAATCCTCAACCTTCACCAACGTGATCGCCATCTATGGGTTTTATCTCGCCCCCGTGTTTTTCCCCGAGCAAGTGTGGGCGGGTCTCGCACTATTTCTCTTTGGTTTTGGATAGTTTTTCATCCACGGGATCAACATAAACATGAAGCTCGGCTCATTCTACAACCCGGGGCTTGTGTCAGTAATTCTTATGCATATTCCTCTCGGCTACTACTACATCCGCTACATGACCAAGAGTGGCCAGCTGGACGGTCGGCAGTGGGTGTTGGGCCTTGCCTATGGTGCTGCTTTCTGGTACTTGATGCTGATCAAGTCCACTTTTGGCTGGCTTGTGGACTATAACTCACCCTACCCCTTTCACCCCGAGGAGATGCAACGGGGGGGTATGGCTGCTTGGCTTGAGCGGGTTCGCAACAATAACAACTAATTGCAGAAATCGGTGTTTTTGCGCGCGATGCCGAATGTTACGTTGGATCAGTAGGAAAGAATGGGTTGGCATTCTACTGCGAAGGGTAAGGCAAGAGAGAGGTATGAGCATTTGGATCGATTCTGGATATCAGACAGGAAAACAGGACCTCTCTGATGCGTTTCATTGGTCAACGAGATACAAAACAACTATGTAACTACTCTCTGCAATGAGTTTTGCCGTGAGAGGCACCAGTTGAACTCAAATCAACTCGGGAGAAGATAGCTTGTTTGATATAAGATTAGTTCAGGCCTCAAGTCTTCTTAAGAAGCTTTGCTGCACAAACACAGGTTAGTCCATGGGATACGCAAAACTCACTCCTTCCATATCTCTAACATCGAATACCTTTCATTGAATCTGCCGGTCATGTTGATGTAAGATCTTTTTGCAATGCAAAAGCTTCGCTATCTCATGTTGAGCGCAGTACCATCCTCTGTCGTTCGTAACCACTCCACAGAGAGCTCTACTACGAATGACAGTCGCTACAAAAGCATCAGTAGTATGCCATGGCCGTTTGCAAACTTCTCTCCTGCTTTGGGTAAAGTATCGGGATGATTGGACTTTGTGTCTTACCTAACCTACCTATGCACACATGGGTCCACGGCTCTTTTCACATTTAACTTCATCATGTGTTGAACAAACTCAGTCTTGAATATCTTGCTAACCATGAACCGCGAAAGGGAATTACAGAATTAGCACTGAATCGTTTTGCACGAGGTGCGGAAGAGAATCAAGAACGCATCTGTCCACAGTTCAACCCGCAGCCAGGCCTTGTCCCCCGCCCTCTCTCCCCCACTCCATGTCTTGTAGGGTTGTAGGAATATCTCGGGCCTTTCAAGCGACAATTCAGGCCACAAAAGTCAAATGAGCCTGCAGATCCGCTGACATCAGCTAAGTCGGGTTTTCCGATGCCCATGCCAACCCCATGTGGACTCCAGAGTTAAATGCCTTGATTCACCCATGGCAGAATGAGTGGGGGGTGATTCACCATCTGTATCCCGGAATTATGAGTAGGGTATCGCGGCATGTCGGCAATTGTTAACACCGATCTGGCACTACTGATCTTCCGGTCCATGACGAATGCTATGCCATAACGTATATATTATTTGTTGAAGCAGTAATACTAGTAGGCTTGGTCACGTGATAAGATTAGCCAGCCTGCATTTTCAACGCGCCTCGTTGCGCAGCGCCTAGATAGAATACAAGAACATACTTTTGCGCTACATCTTGCCTCTAGCTAGAAGAGCCGTTCCAACAATACTTTTTGCAACTCAAGGCCGTTTCACTGCGAATAGCACCAATCGCCGCCATGATACCCTTGGTCGCACTCGAAGAGCACTATGTCTCTGCCGCAATTCGTTCAGTAACCCGTCGTCCCTGGGGCCACCAGAAATGCTATTGCTGCGAATAAACTGACGAGAATCTGAACACGCTTGCATAATGTTGAAAGCACTATGCCAAGACACTCCCTCCATTAGACGCCACACAAGAGCCCGTAATGTATCTATCCTTCATGATGTAAATGTATGCCTCGGCCACATCTTCGGGACGACCAACTGCCCCCGTCAAACTCTTTTCCTTGAACGCCTCCAAGACCGCATCACGAATCTCCCCAAACCCATCGAACAGCTCGGTATGTACGGGCCCAGGTGATACGATATTGACTCGGATGGGCTTGAGATCAAGCGCCAATCCCCGCACCAGACCCTCCGTCCCGGCCGCATAGGCCGCCATCACCGACCATCCTGCCGACGGCCGCTGAGCCGCCGCGCCCCCCGTCACCGTGAAAGAGTTATCGGGCGATCGATCCATATACTGCGGGAGGATTTTGGCCAGGATGGTCGGGGCGAGAAACCGGACAGTGCCGGCGGCGTGCACGGCATCGACCGCGAGATCCTGCAGAGCGGGGAGCTGCAGCGCGTTGCCGGCGGTGAAGGCGACGTGGTGGAGTTTCCGCTTCCCGCCGTCGGTCGCCTGCTCCAGGAGCCGCGTGAGGTTGGCCTCGAGGGCCGCGGAATCGGCGAGGTCGCAGGGGTAGCCGGAGACAGCCTGCGCGCGGCCTGTCAGCTCCGGGTATGCGTCCTGCAAGCGGGCGATCGACTTGGTGACTTTGGCGGCGTGGGAGCTGGAGATGATCACGTCGGCGCCGTGCTCGAGGGCGGCTTCGGCCACACAGAAACCAATGCCCGAAGTCCCGCCCAGGATGAGGACGCGCTTGCCGGCAAGCTTGGTGGTGTATTTGAGGGTTTGGGGTGCCATTTGCTGAGGTCTGTGGTCGGAGGCTTCAATAATCGCTTTCCCTTTGTTGATTGGACTGTGTGGCGGTGCTGTTGCAAGGATTTATAGGTCTTGCTATGTATAAAATTACTGGCCCTGATCTGACCCGGTGTGAAGTCTACTCCGAGTACAGTATGAATTACGTAGTGCCCACCGTCTGGTTCGTACATACTCCGTAATTACAGGTTTTGCTTCGTTTCTGGTGACCAGGACCACTTTTATTCCCGAATAAGAAATTGTTCTTCAATTCGGTCTCGCGCTCAGTTTTGAGGCCGAGGCCGAGAGTTTCCTCAACGTTACACCAGAGTGGATCTCACGGTCACAACTCTGTAATTAATCCCTGGGGAGATCAGCGGGGAAGGATTCAAATAACCCGGTGCTTTCAAGTGGGGCCCGGGTTTACGGAATGATGGCCGATATGAAGGGTAAGGTGGATGACCGTTAACAGATGTGCCGAGGGATGACTGTGGAAAGATTCATCAGGGTAGCATGAGACTTATCTGAATAACATTGTCTATGCAAGCTGCAAATAGGTTCGACTCTTCCACAGACCGCAACAATGGCAGTAAAAAAGATCTCGAAGGAGGTTGACGCCTATACACTCGATTCCAGCTCATACTATCTGGGCTATAGGGACGCAGACTACCAGCAGCAATTCGCCGAGTACTTCGATCCTAATGTTGAACCGATCAGCGACGAAGCGCTAAGAGGTATTGTCAGCAGCATACGGGCCACTGGTCCTGGTGAGACTCGCAGTCCTGTATGATAAACCAAATGGCTGGCTATAATGACGTTGACAACAGACTATACGGGCTCCGAGGCCAATGATGCACTTGATTACTATTCTTGACCCGGTTGTCTGCCCGTCAAGAACGAGTGAGGATTGCCCAGAGGGCTTGGATGATTGCGTGCCGGACGTACATGGGACAAGGTCAGTCCGGCGAAATGTCCAGTATCATGAGACAGAACTTGACGTCCTCATTAGTAACCGGAGAAGCCTTTGGTTAGTAGTTTTTGCACGGGACGTCGTTGAGTCTATTAGTGGGCTTAGGAGCCTATACAGTAGAGTTATTGACATACGTGCTCACAAGCAACACCGAAATGAACATCTCTAACGTGTGTCACAGCACACATCACGGGTAATTTGGGCGGAGTCTCCCGTCTGGTTCATCAGATTCGCCGTAAAGCAGATGGCACCCGGGAGATGCGATCCAATTTTAGCTGAGACCCGGCGTCCCCGAAAGTGTAGCTCATGATATTGTTGTACACTGTGTACTTTCCCGGACTGTTATTTCTGGCAGCTTTAATGAGCGGTTTCTCTGTGCGATATAGACTTGGCCAAGTTCCTGCCACGGCTTCTCAATGAGTTCAAGGACGACCTCTAGCATGCATCCATCTGGACCCTATTCGTGCAGGTTTAGTCGTCGTGACTTGATATTGCTCTGCGTACCGAGCAGTTAGTCGACCAGAACGAGAAGGAAAGATTGCAATACTTAGTTCGGTCGGTTGTAGTTCTCTCGGCTGCTTGACACGACTGACAGAAGTTGTTCTATTTTGGCGAGCGCAAATTTCCACAAACATGCATATCATATCATAGCTCTAGCGACATGATTTTCAAGCCTTACCATAAAAGCTGTCTTGGATGCTGCAGGAAACGAAGTCAGCGTAGTGCAGAAAAAATATAGGCGGCCGCTCTGCAAAAACAGAATTCTGCCAGTCAAACAAGCTGGAATAAATGTCTTCCAGTTGACGCTTGCAAGAGGTTGGTTTCATCACTCATGTTTAGAGTATCAGACAATTATTAGTATATTGACGTAGATATAAATCACGCGTGCAGTCGGTCACTGGCAGTTCGTTTACTATGGGATCAACAAGGAAAGCAGCCATTTCAATCATAGGCGGCCACTGACGCAGTAGTCATGTGACGTGACCCCGCACCCGTCACGTGAATTCCTCTTGTCACACCAATGGATTCCACTACCGAACAACCCATTGGCTAAAATCAAGAGAAATATCATCATCATTGTGCTCGATCCTCGGAATCTGAGAGCCATTGTTCTGCAGTAGGAACAGCCGTCTGCACACCACAATGGACAACTCGGTGTCACTTGGCGGCTCTTCGGCCAGACCTGGTGCCTGCGAGCGGTGTCGGCGACTCAAGGTATTATCATCCTTGTATTAGTCCTCCAACAGTCGTCTCAACTGCTAATCTTAGATGTAGATCAAGTGCGAACGTGGAGGTGATAATCACCCCTGCTCGTCTTGTAGAGAGCGGGACTGTGAGTGCCTTCCAGCAATACATAAAGGCAGGAACAGGATATCTACAAGGTCTGTGAGCATGTCCCACCTTGGGAAGTTCCAGACGGGTGTCATGCTCACGACGCCGCCTGTAGATCCAACCATCTCACCTCGATGGAAGCGCGAATCGCACGTATAGAGTCGGTGCTTGGTAACAACCCCCTGGAATTAGAGACACAACCAATAGCGCAATCACTCGCCAATACAATCAAAGATCAAGCTAGCTTGGACGGAATGAACTCTCTTAGACTGTTTGACCATGATGGCGAGATTCAATTCATAGGTGTGTGCGGATTCTCCCAAATTGTCTTTTGTTGAAATCAAGCATCTTCTCTGACTCATTGTCTGGATGCAGGCTCGAGCTCAGGCCTAACAATGTTCTCCCCAGCGGGGTTTGAATGGATTTCCGCTCGCGTCGAGTCCCCCAAGAGGGAGAGATTGATGGCGTTATTTCAATTTTTCCGTTCTACCCCCTTTTCATTTACTCATATTCCTGGCTTAACGAAATCACGACCCCGGCAAGAGCCTCCCCCCAAAAGTCTGGCGGTGGTTTACGTCAATGGTGAGTGAATTACAAAAATCTCATCGAGGAAGTCAATTCTCCGATATTGATTGTTTATCCTGTCCGAAACAGCCTACTTTGAGACTGTGAGCCTCTGGCTTCCTTTTTTCCAAAGGTCGGTAGTGGATGCGTACCTTGAACGACAGTACTCTGATAATCCCCCTTCATCGGCCTCGTGGTATGCCGCATTCAATGTTATTTTGTGCTTTGGATACACCGCTGTGCAAAAATCGCCCCTCTCGATACAGAACTCGAAAAGTGCCACCTGGGGCTATCTGAATAATGCGATGAGTGTCCTGCCAGATCTGATGTTTTCGGAAGGAGACACGCTGGGCATCCAATCAATCATTGGGATGGTGAGCGCTTCAGGCGACTGTTGCTCGTGGTCATCCAACATCAATTGACAATCCTTCCTAGGCGAGTCTGTATAACTCGATGTTGTCCTTCAAGACCTCTTCGATGCTGCTATCCATTGCGATAAGGCTTGCACAAGCAAGAGGCTTCCACCGCCGGGATGATACCCAGCCTACTGAGGTCGCAGCTGCGAGACAGAATACCTTCTGGATTGCATATGTCTTGGATAAAGGAACAAGTATCAGATTTGGGCAACCTCCCATGATAGACGATGATGAGATAGGCATTGACCTGCCCTCACCTGGGGCATCAACCGGTCCAGAGAGCCAAGGGGGGCTGCCGGAAGCGTCTTTCATGCGCTGGATGGCCGAACTGGCCTTGATACAGAGCAAGTTATGCAAATGGCTCTTTTCAGCTCGATACCGTACGAAGCCAGCCTACCAGCGATTGCAACTGACGGATGAGTTACAACGTCTGTTAGATTCTTGGAAAGCCGCTCTTCCTGAGAAGCTCACCCCGAATTATTATAGGAGTTATAGCAATGAGCGTATTGATCCCGTGCTAAACTTGCACATGAACTACTATTACACTGTTATCTGCTTGCATCGGGCGTCCTTGGGGATATCCCTTGAGCCAGACCTCGAGAAAGCCCTCAGGCAAAACTTCTTGAAGAAGGCCGAGCTAGGTGCCAGGCTTTGTCTTTCAGCATCAAGAGCAACGCTTGATTTGCTCAAGTACGGGAACGGGACCCTGATCATGCATTGGATGACGTCGTGGTACGGTAGCAAAGCTGCCCCCCCCCCCCCCCCCGAACCCCCAATCTACAGTCTTTCTTCCAGAATAATCGACTGACCGAGTTCAGGTCAATCTCATTCCATGTCCTAATCGCCGCGTTCATGTTGTTCGTCTACACGATCGACAACTCATCTTCACCCGAAGCTCATTCAAATGTGGGCTACCTGCAGCTGTTTGCCAAGTCGGTGCACCAATCACTCTTTGTCCGCATATCGCCCACTGAAAAGGGTCTGGTAGAGCTGGCAAATATGTTTGTGGACATTGCCATGTCCGTGATCAGCGAACATGGTGGTGGAGGTGCAAACACTGCTCCTTGCTCGCCACAATCCGTCGAAACCCCGGCCACGTTGCCTGTTCCGGTGCCAGACGTTGCACTTTCTGATGCTGGAACGTTTCCGATAGCCCCCTTCGACCTATGTTTTGACACTGAATCCCTCCCCTCGGTGGAGGTAGCTTCGAACATTTTTGACATGTTGTTCCAACAGAGCCCTGCGTAATGGATTAGGACTTCCTTCCAAGTATTGCGCCACCTCCGCGACCTTTCTTCCTTCGGGCGATGACCTCACCTCAGACTGCGCCTTTACGAAGCATGGTTTGAAACTGGACGAGTCGATAAAAATCATACTTCCTAGACTGAGCCCCGGATTACTACGAACCCCGAGCTGCTGGAGCAACATCGGCAGCATTTGGTGGTCGACTTTACCAACTGGACGCGCCGGTGTTATCAGGAGTTGAAGGGTGATGGGCGGTAAATGCTTGAAATTGAAAGAGACATATGCAGGTGACTGAAGGGAGGGATGTACTGGTTGATGTCGGTGTCTGACAGTTTCACAATGCTTCTTAGGTACTTTTTAAAGTTGATGGGTTGAATGTGTAGTTTCAGGTGTTGGTTGAGTTGGTGGAGAGAAAGCTTGGGATTATTGCCGCATAGGTTGCACTTGCTTGAGCAAGTATGGTGGGCAATACCAATTACCAATTGGTCACGCATATTAACCCTACTGTCATCACTTTCGGAATATTCCTCATATTTACCAAATTACTCTATGAAAGAAGTGAGATAAGAAATCCCCCCCCCTCCCATCCTCTTGACCTACAGCTAGGGACATACCCTCCCTTGCCATTCAATTTACAACCTATGAAACTTAAAGACATCTAAAGGTTCCACGATTGTTAATACAATGGCTCTCTTACTATACTGGAGATCTTATACGTACGTGATATCATAGTCTAGGCTAAGAACTATCAAATGTTTTGCCCTAAACTGCTATTTGAAGTGCTTGGCAAGTTGTAACTTGCGTGACCAGGGAGGAGTATGTATGGTTCTGTAGATAAATCAATTAAAGAGGGTTGTGAACCATAAACTGACGGACACAGGGACCTCTGAAAGTAATATACAAAGCCAGGCTGACTGTACAGTAGATGAATATAACCCCCTCTATACTATGTAATCCAAGCTAATCTGATTCGATATCCACACCTGTTCTTTGCAACAAATGAATTAAGCGAGCAAGCATGCATGCATGCTTACTCTGCCCAAGCCCACCCCCAGCTATCCAGGCCATCCCCATTGTTCCAGCCCCACACAGTTCTACCCAAGCCGAATCGGATGCTTTCTCCGCAACGCCCCACCATAGCGATAAATCAAAGCCGGGACCGGGGTCAACCCCAGCGCCAGAAAGCCCAGCAAGGAGTTCCCCCAGCCCAGCCCCAGCGCCTCATACATGGAGGGACCCGCCAGCGGCAGGAACGCCCCAAACAGGCATCGCAATGCGGTCAAACCGGCGACCGCCGAAGCAGCATACTGCCCTGAGACATCGATGAAATATGTCTGGATGGGCGCAAAGATGCCCATCATCCCAAACCCAAACGGAAGCAGCCCGATGATGGGCACCACCCAGTGAACCTGCTTGTCGGCGGTCCAGCCGTACCAGAAGAAACTGATGGGGATGAAAAGTGCAAAGTAGAGGCAGCTCGCGAGACGCATCTCGGGCTCGAAGACATCGCCATTTGCCTTCTTCAGGCGCATAACGGTCTTGTCGGAGGTCTTGGCGACGACGGTGATGCCGAGGCCGAATCCCAGGCCGATGCCCAGATAGGCCAGACCACAGAGGTCCACCGGCCAGCCGTAGGTGTCCACGTAGAGGGATGTGAGGGTGGTGAAGAGAAGGTACAACAGCCCGAACACGAAGGACATATACAGGGCGAGAAAGAGGAGGATCGGCGACCGGGCGAGCATTCGGACCGGTCTGGTGACGCTCTGGACCATGAACGACGTGGGGCTCGCGGCTCCGCCCTTGAGATCGTAGACAGAGCGGAGCTCAGGATTTTGGAGCTCCTTCTGCAGGCGTTGTGTCTTTCGGCGAAGTAACACCACAGGGTTGGTCTCCTGGCCGGTCACAATGTTGATGCTGCTGACTACACCGCATGCGATGAGCAAAACCCAATAAACCCATCTCCACGAGGCGCGCTGCGCAATGAACCCACCAATAATGGGTCCGATGACTGGTCCAAAGAGCGGGCCGAGGGTAAACATTGCGTTGGCTTTGCCTCGCTGGTGCAGGGGAAAGAGGTCTGAAATGATACCACCACCCACGGTCAAGCAAGCAGAACCACCGATCCCGGCTAGCAGTCGAAAGACGATGAGGGCAGACATATTCGGGGAGAGCGCGCATCCAATTTGCCATATTGTAAAGAAAAAGTTCGAGCAGTTTAGGACAGGCTGGCGTCCAAAAATTTCACTTAGCGGGGAGAGAATAAGAGGGCCGACCTGTGAAGCTTAGATAAGCACTTGTTCGATTCCGCGACCCCTGTCCACCATAAAACCCACGCTTCCCTGGTGTCACGGATAATAAATACTTACCGCGAAGCCTAAAACAAAGATACTAACTGCCAGGGCGCTCAGAATCGAGGATGTGACCCCGAAGGTCTTGTCCGTGTATCCAATCCCGGGAGCGGGAATAGAGGATGCCAGAGGACTGGGGAGCAGGACGTGTCAGATAGCGCGGGTGGTGATTATATTCAAATGGTTTGAGATCATGGAAATAAATACCTTAAAAATGTTATAAAGCTCACGAGGCCCAAAAGAAACCATTTGCGGCTGCTCTTGAAATTCCTAGAATGTGAATGTTGTTAGATGGGTTATCACTAACCGAGCGTCCGACTATTTGCGTACTGAGGATTATGAGGATCGTCCAAGCTGTCCCAGCCCACGAGTCCATTAGCCAAGTCTGATAATTTTTCTTGGCTTGGAGAAATCGGCTTTGGGCCTTTCTCCTCGTCGGCTGACAGGTTGACAGATGGTGTTTTGCTGCTCATGGCGCGTGCAAAACATACAACTATGTAAGTGGCAGATAGAGGATCCCCTGTGCAGTGTAATCCCTCGAAGAGGAAACTGAGATCCCTGAGATCTCTGAACTCCTGATTCCTCCTGTTCAAATGATCGCAGAAAGCCCTAGGCTTAGCTTACATTACCCGGCAGCTGTACATCGGTCGGTCGGAGTTGTTGATATGACCCGGTAATTTCCCGCATACACGACCATACCGGGGCGTAAACCATGGGCCGATCTCAACATTACCGCTATCGCGCGTAAAAACGTGGTTTCAGAGACCAAGAAACACCAACAACAGAGTTATCGGCCTTGAGGCACCATTTTCTCCGGTTTCATCAACCACGCCATTACTTCTTATTGGGCTCCCTCTACCGCAGCCACCAGCGCTCTACTATGTAGAGCACAAGTCTTATGCTTATATCAGAATTCAGGTGTCACCTTCAAGCTTTCAACTGTGTTTGCATATTCGAAATCCATCATCTCAACGTAAACCATCGCCCTCGAGGCATGTTTATATCTTATCACACCAATGATTTGTGGCGAAACCCCCGACACTCCTTTCCTCCCGACAAATATATATTTTTGAAAAACTCAAATGTATATCGCGAGAACGTCCCTTTTTTTTTTTTTTTTTTTTTTTTTTTTTTTTTTTTTTTTTTTTTTTTTTTTTCTGATTTCCAGGTACCACACTTTTTTCACATGGAAGAGAAATACTCCTAGAGAAAGACTTAGAAAAGTCCGACCACTTAGCTGTCTCTTCTCTAGCAGCCAACGGTCCCTCTGCAGCTTCATCATCCTCCGTCTAAAGTATGCCAGAGGTGAAGGAAGACATGAGGCATGGGGTTTCCCTTACCTATGCCAGCTGTTGATGTGAAGGTGGACAAGCCAGTGGGTAATTCGTCTGCGCCCACCGCCTCAGCGGTGATAAGACCAACAACGGCTAAGAAAGAGCCGCTCAATGCAAGAGGCGACATCATAGTTAGGAAGACCGCTTTTTACCTCGAACTAGAGTCCCAAAATAAGCAAGGGTAGAGACAGACAGTACACGATTCAGAGCCGCGTAGAGGCCAGACAATCAGGTACCACAACCCCGCCAACAGCGCGATCAGTCCCTGTCCCAGATTAAAATATTAGACGGAGCCCGGTGCGACGAACGGCGCCCCGAGCAGGGAATCACACTCTACAACGAACACGAGCAATTTGACGAACTCCACGATGACTGGGGGTTGAGCAGAGGGACGCCCCAGAGACTGTTACTAGCGCGTTGTATGATGTATTATACTTGGACCCCAGGCTACTTTGTATACAAGTATGATACAGAGTTTTGCGGAGAATTGAGCTGCCTCAGATTGTAGACTCGTCTACGAAAAGGAGAAATAAGAATTTGAGAATATCCTTCAACACTGTCACATTTTGAGAATGGAAGATTAGTCCTGCTTATGTAGAATTACATCTAAATTCCTGAGATTGGATCTACCAATCTTCAACACTCCGCTCTCTTACAAACTTCCCGTGCTAACAGCTTCACCCGGTTCCCTCGCCGCCACGACATCAAGGCATGTTCAGGCTCCTAGTAAAGAGGAAGCTTATAAGCGTCGAAGTCGTAAATCCACGTATCATACGACGCCTGATCGAAGGCACACTCCATTTTCGTTCCATTGTTCGACCAAAGCGGGCGCAGCGGCCAAGCACAAATCTCCTGGTGCTCACCCTCGTTATCGCCCTGGAGGACCGTCGAGTTGAGCGTCACGGGAACCACGCCATTTTCCACCCAGTCAATCATGACAGCCAGGTTCGTCTGGGGGAAAGGCCCATTGGGCTGTTCGCTGTTCGTACCGCAGTGCGCCATGCCAGGGACCAGATACAACCGGTAAAACTCGCCCAGAGCAGCAGCACCGGCGTGGAGCGACTTGTTGGGGAACATAATCTTGCGGACTGCCTCATAGTAGTGGACCGAGGAGGCGGTGGGCACACTAGGGTCTTGCTCGCCGTGGAAGTGCAGGACCTTGCCGCCGGACTGCTGCAGGACGCTGAGGTCGGGGTTATGGGTCATCAGGGTGTCTTCGTACATGGTCCAGCCCATTTGCATCCAGTCGCGGATGGTATCGTAGGTGACATTGTCGAGGGAGGAGAGTGAGCTAACGTCTTGCAGATTCAGGAACTTGGCTACGAACTCGCCCCCGTTGCCGTCGATGCTGAGGCCCCAGGAGTCGGTCTCGGAGTCGTACGTGGTTTCTGCATCGTCAAAGTCCGCGCCTGGTTGGAAATACAGGTATGCCTGGCGGCCTTGACTGTCTTTCAGACCGGCGAGGAGGGTCTGGACCAGTTTTACTGCCTCGGCAGTGACGGTTCCATTCTGTGCCGGGGTCGTGCCCATCGACTGGCGTTTGCTGAACCCGAGGCCCAGACTGTCGCCTCCCGAGCTGGCTGCGCAGTAGTAGGGGGCTCCAATCAGCGAGGTATAGTTAAAATGCAGCTTGCACAGATCCGAGCGGGCAATGACTCCATCTGCGCGCCCATCCAGCGGATCACAGGCCGCAATGGTGGCGTTGACGATCAGCTCCAACTCGCACGGAGGCGGGTAGTAGTTCATGGTTTGCTCCACCACGTTGGGCACCAGGTGGTTGATCTGCTGGTGGGCGAAGCGGAAGGCCGGCGCGCCGACGATGATCCCGTCGTAGTCGAAACCGTACCGCTGGGCCTGCGACCACCCCTCACGGCCACCCTCGGAGCAGGATTGGTAGTAGGTGTAGACCTTGTCTTCCCCGGTGTTATACACGTTGCGGGTCAGTTCCCGGCCAATGGCCATCATCTCGTGGATACCTTGGTAGCCAAACATGAAGGTGTTTTGCCAGTCGACGGTACCGTTGGCGAGGAGGAAGACATCGTCAAAGGATTGTCCGTTGAAGCCACCGTCGGTCAGACCGGCCACCGCGCCGTACATGACACCGCCGGGTAAAGACCCTGTGGTTCCGGATCCCTCGTTGATCTCGTAGGCCTCACCCCCGGTGGTGAGAAAGCGGTTCTTAAAGTCGGCCGGGGCAGGCAGCCAATAGGTCAGGGCCACGCGGTCATTTCGCCCGATGTGCGTGTAGTTGAAGGTGACTCCGCAGTAGTTGATGGTGGCAGCCGGGAAGAAGTTCGAGCTGCTGATGGACACGTTGGTGTGGGTGGTGGTTGAGACAGAGCTTGGGATCATAGAAATGCCTTCAAACGTACCATCAGCAGGTAGCGCGGCCTTGATATAGGAATCAGTGCAGATATCAGTAAGGCCAGCGGCATGGGCAGTCCCCACTGCTGCTGCTAAGGTGAAAAGTCTCCTCATAGTGAAGAAAATCGTCTTTTCTCGGTGGATGAAGAATAAAGGAATATGCTATTGATGTTGACTTACACTGGCAAACTCTCTTGCATTTATTCACATCATCTAAGTTAAATCTCGGATTTACTGGTGTGACTACCGTCCTTATCAGCTAGGGTGTGACGCGTACGTCGTGACGTACGCAGTCGCAGGTGGATAGGTTTGGACCACTGCACATCAACGGGACGGATTAAGCTTGTTTGTGATTAACGCAAGGAACGTGCAACCATAATAAACCACACTTTGCGTACTTCGGGAGTCCAACTGATTCGGGGTTAGTGCGACAGACTTGAGACTTAGTGCAACTAACTCGGATCTACACCCTCCCCCCTCATTCCCAAAAGTAGGTACAATACTCACGCCCCAGCTCTGCGTGAGTGGTCAAGGTCTGTACCCTAAATGATGCCACGATATGCTATTTCCCTCTCATTATACCGAGCTGATCTGAAACTGGTGCGAGGTGTGCCCCGTCACCATGCCGGCCGCGTTTCCGATCTCGGGTTGATAGAATGCCACCAGCGACTGCAGCTGCACGTAAGTGCCGACCTGGAGTTGGCGCAGGATCTCAACCACGGCGGCATGGAGTATAACCCCATTGCAATCCTGAAGAATTCAAGGATACGTACTTCCGCACGGAGTTACGGACTTAATGGACCCACTATACGTGTAGATCGAAGACCGGAGGTCGGAGGTCGGAGCATATCGGCCCCACTCGGTTTGAGAAATGTTCGTCAGAACGTACTCCATCCGTACAGACTACAGAGATGATTTCTGCGGCGGATATCCCGAATGTCTCCACTTCCAAAACCCTCAATCTGTTTATGTACCACGTAAGCTCAATATATTGGCATACACTTGCACCCTTGCATCATCTAAGGCTAATTTCGGGTCCTGCAGGACCGACGGAGCTGCGTGACTAGACCTGACAAGTGCAGTCAAGGTTGTGCAGCTTATCAGCCTGCTCCGTGGATACCCCTTTCTTTCGAGTGGTCTGCATACGTCAATAGAGGTTTCAGGTAGAAGGTTGTAAAGAAGAGTCATGGGTGGTCTAGATTTTCAGAGCTACAAATCAACCTCACGAGGGCCGAAGACAAATATATAAGAGCAAGACCCAACTCATTATAGCAAAAGCATTCCTCTTCAGTCTCTGCGTTTGGTTCCTACATTGCGCAAATTCTGCAAAATGCTTCGGAACACTCTTCCCGTCTTGTGCGGCCTGGCATCTCTTTCCTCCGCCGCACTCTATGATACAGTGATTGAGACTAAATATGGCTCAGTCCAGGGATATCCGGCCTTCAACAGTACAAACACCGGTAACCTGACCCACTGGAAGGACATCACGGTATGGAAGGGTATTCCCTTTGCTGCAACTACCGGGGGTTCCAACCGGTGGAAGGCACCGCAGCCCGCCAGCCCATGGAACGGAACCCTAGACGCGCGCAACTGGGGCAATGTGTGCCCCTCTGCCACCACCGGGGATAATGACTACACCATCGATGAGGACTGCCTGAACCTCAACATCTGGAGTCCGGCCAGCTCTCCCGACGCGAAGCTCCCCGTGGTGATGTGGAGTTATCCAGCCGAGTCAACGGCGGCGGATCCTCTCTTTGACGGCGGTGGCATGGCCGATAAGGGGATTGTCTTCGTCAATTATAACTACCGGACTGGTCCCTTTGGCTGGCTGGCCCACTCAGAACTCTCAGAAGAGTTCGAGAAGGTGACCGGATCCAACAGTTCAGGTAACTGGGGCATGCTGGATCAGTTTGCTGCCTTGAAATGGATCCACGCTAATATCGAGGCCTTTGGCGGTGATCCCAATCATATCACTGTCCAGGGTCAGTCGGCGGGTTCTGCGGCGACTCAGCATATCCTGTACAGCAACCTTACCAAGGGCTTGATTGTCGGTGCTATCATTGAGAGCGGTGTCCGTGACCCGCACGACCCCCTCTGTACTAGTCTCGCCGAGGCCTATGCTACGCTGGAGGATGCTCTCGAGGACGGTAACACCTATCTGTCGAACCTAGGCGTGTCCAGCATTGCTGAAGCCCGCGAGCTCAGTATGGAGGCACTCATCAACGGTGCAACTGGCACGACCCGCGAGGATACAATTATGTTCGAGGCCGTCTTGGATTACTACGCCATGCCGGACACCTACCTCAACATCTTGAAGAAGGGCCTAGCCCACGATGTCCCAGTTATCACCGGTAACAACAAAGACGAGAACGGCGCTACCTATGGCCTTGACATCTCGCTTGCGGAGTATCTGGAGGACCTCAACGAGACGTACAGCGGGGAATGGGTCGACCGATTCCTGGAGCTGTATCCGGCTAACGACTCCACCACCGCGTCCGGGGCCTACAACTCCATGTTCACCGACCGCTCTAAGGTTGGCACCTGGTTGTGGACTCAGCTGTGGTATGAGCGCAAGAGCAGCCGGGTCTGGAACTATTTCTGGGACCATGCGCCCCCAGGACAGACTTCGGGTGCCTATCACGAGTCTGAGATCAACTACGTGCTAAACAACCTCTATGCCACCGACAAGCCCTGGACCGCAGAGGACTACGCGATTGCCAAGAAGATGAATGACTACTGGGCCAGCTTTATCAAGACCGGTAACCCCAACACTCAGTCTGAAGGGGCGGTTGAGTGGCCTGCTGTGGGCACCTCCAAGCTTGTCCAGCATGTCGGTGACGGGTGGGGCCAGATCCCCATTGCTTGGAGCAAGAAGGTCGAGCTGTTCAAGGAGTGGTTTGCTACCCTCGTGGCGTACTGATCTCCTTTTTCTGGACTGGCTCTCAACATACAGTCACTTTGACTTGCTGTAGGGGTTAGGAGATGTACTGGACTAGACATGGCAAATGGGCCAGCTTTAGGAGAAAGATGGGATTGGGAGGGAGGGGGTTGGGGGGGGAACGGTTTTGATAATTCGTGCGTTCAAGCTTCGAGCTCTGATTGGCCTGGCTCAGCTCGGGGCTGGATAATTTTCCTAATTCATCAGAGGCACCCTTGAGCCCTATCAAGCTCTTCAGAATAGATGAATTTTTTAATTACAACGACCCTGTATATGGGTATTCCATTGATAATATATATATATATGTGAAATTAATCTAAAGTATGCTACGGAGGTGTGTTTCAAAAGTCATTAACATCACCTGTCACATTACTGTGTCTTGGCAGTAATGCATAGTAACCAATACACGCACAACAAAGCACGTGATGCACAATACCACTCACGTGCTACGTTATACAACATTTGTGCATCACGTGTAATTGTATAAGATACCTGTGTATAGTCACGTGGTCCATAAGGTATTCTGTATTTCGGCAAAATTACTAGCGCTGCTAATGGCTATTGAAACACACCTCCGTAGAACTAGGGTATTTCACACACTGAAAACTTAGTAGAAAATATTAGAAGTATCTAGTGAATGAGCTGATTCACTATTGTTACTACCTTCTAAAAAAAATAATTCAATAAAATAGTCTCCTCTGGTTTAACACATGGCTTATAATCACGTGTTTTTATGTGTAGGATTCAACTGGATTCAGGTGGGACTTATAAATACCAAGAACTAAGTGGAATGCCTTGGCAGCTCGACGGGTAGGCCTGGGATAGTGAACTAAAGCTCTCGAGCTTTTTAGGCGAGCCTTGCCATGTCTATACTGGACAGTAATATAACTGTAGATAATCAAGATATATAGTTCCCCTTTCTAGATACATAATGAAAACAAGTAATCATTCTTTAGGAAGTTCTAAATACAATTTTCAAAAGCCAGGGTTTTTGACCTTTTTCTTAACTGTTAGCCACTTTGGTGCATTCTGTACGATGAAGGCTTAGTTATGTACCTTGCACTATGCTTTGTCTGAATTTAAAGTAGTTTTGGTTTGAAGGTGTGGTCTGTATTGTATCTTGCTTATAAAAAAAGAAAAGAAAAGAGGGGATAATAATTTTGTACATTTACAGGACTGGAGAAAGGCGCCGAGGAATGAGAGGAGGCAGGAGTTGATTTATGTATATATATCTGGGCTGACATGGCTGAGTTCTAACAACTAATTACCTGTTCTAGCATGATATGTATAATCTCCACATTTTTAGTTGACATGGCATTGACAGGTATTTTTTAGTTCCAACCGGGTATTGGGGCTGCTAACCATAGCTGACAGATGCATCAGATAGAATTATGAGGCTAAGATAACTGAGGCAGTTATCCTGTACATGGACTACAGCAGCTGTTATAGAGGCGTGGGAACCTCCGCGGTCAGTGTCTGCGCAAATCAAATCTAAAGAGCGTACTTGGTGTCATAGAACAACCTAGGGGAGTTGTACACGCAAGGCCAAAAAGACCATCATTACCCGCAGCTACCTGCGGACCCCTAGAATCCTGCTTATATAGACATGTATACACGGGAGAGAGTAGATCTATTACACGCGGTTAGATATAAGGAAATCTTTTATCTAACTGTTAACCTGACAGCAGGTATAAATTTTTCTATTAACCTACCCTACCCTGGCCGTTAACTACTCTAATATTACGCTTGAAAAATGTGTTAATAACAGCAAGTGGGAATGGCTGTTCAATCTGTTTTTGTGACTGAACTGATAATTCATTAATTCTCCAATGACTGCAGTCATCAGGATGAAGTATGAGACTTTCCAAAATAATTGTAAGGTTATTAATGGGCTTCTGATATATTTATGCCAGTGTAGTAATTCAAGAATTTGTTTTTATAATCATAGTTTTTTAAAGGCTTTTCTTCAGTCTTACAAAACTTTCATATAGTACTAACTTGTTTAAAAAATCCCAGGTAATTAAATTCATTTAATCATAATCATAATGAAATACTGGCTCCTGATATAAAGTAAGACTTGTAGTTTACTACTTCGTAGTTAGACAAAGATTCTATTTCATGTGAAAGAATTTGGCTATTATGATAAATATCTAGAATATAGTAATCATCCTTAGCGACCACATGTTGGTAATGCAGGTATCGAGAATTTATAACTAAATCTAAATAGTGCATCCAAAGCATCTACCAGTCGGCTAGAGAGCTTGAAATTTACTATAACTAGTATAGGTCCTTGACGACTGCAGTAATTCTGTATTTGAATCAACAGTCTGCCTAGCCAAGAAAGCAGTAAGATTGGGAAGGAGGTTTTTTTCTGATAGCTTGTAATACAAAATAGAGAATGAATTTGTAAGGATATAAGTAATGAATAGTAACGACAAGAGAGAAGTACTTAAGAAGAAGTTTCCTGTATTAATCGGGACTAACTAGCCTTACAAATTGCCAGGGGCCCTGGAATCAAGCCTATCCATCTAAGTCCGAATTGGCTATTCATGGCTGGAGACACTGAAAACAGCTTGGGGTTTTAATTAATAAAAATCGTGAATATAGAGCAACTGATATCATGGATAACATATTGAATAGGTATCTACAGCTCAGTGGGCTGTGCGAAATCCTCCAACGGAAGATTACAAAAGTGTTTAATTGCGTTGGAGGGAGCAGAATTGAACAGAGATTGACTTTTAAAGGATAGTCTGCAAAATCTGTAATGTCTTCGGAGTATTTATGGGTTTGTAGAGGTGTTGCAAAATTTCTGAAGTCATATTCCAGGAGAGGAGTATGATATAACCCCCGAAACAGGCTACTACATGTATTGGCAAGGCTCCAAGTTGCTCAGAGAAGTAATAGTACATGACGACCATAATGTGTCCCTCAGGCAAGGGTTCGGCCGTATGAATTAACATTAATAACAACAACCGCTGAGGAAAAGTATTATAATGTAAAAATTTCTTGATGTGAGAAATCCTAAGGTCTACCACGGTAGTACCTCAGTTATAAATTTGAGATAGGTCTGGATGGCTGGAAAGGTGTCAGTTTTGTATGATAGTCCAGACACAGTGGATTCTTCTGGCTTATACGTACAAGTGACTTCCTTTGCTTCATTTCAATCGGATTTCCAAGAGTTGAGCACCGACTGCCACGTCAGTCCCATTCACATCAACGTTGACAGCACTACCACCTCCAGTGACCACGAATATTTTATTGATTTCATCCTCTCCACGTCCGAAGAAGACACCAGTGGGCTCTGCGACTTCAGTAGAATCAACAGCGCCGGCGATGATCTGGGCGCCCACAAAAGTTCCATTCTTGGTGAAAATCACCTGTTCAACAGAGTTCTCGGAAGCGGTAGCAAGATAGGCGAATTTGTATTCTGAACCATAAGTGCTGTTGAGAGAAAATCCATTTGGAGAGATAGCAAAGTCGTCAATAGCGGTAGCTTGGTAAATCATTTGACCTGTACTAGCAGTGACGTTATCATGCAACTCTGCACGATAGAGCGCACCACCCGCAGACCAGTAGACGAAGCCGTCAGAGACCTTGATGCCATTGATCATGGACATTTTGCTTTCCTGCTTGATAGCCTCCCAGGTGTAACCTGTTTCCGCGTTGATGGCGAAGATGGAGTCTTGGTAACTTGCACTAGCAAGTAGGATCGTCTCGTTCATGGCAGTCAACCCATTGAAACCCGTCGGTGCTTGTGGACGACATAGGAGATCAATCTTGGGGTGTTGTTCGTTGTGGTTGAAGTCAACTCTCCAAACATGGGTAGCGTTGGTAGGTGGGTCGCTAATGTTATCGGAGGTGGTGTTAGCGCCAGCAACGTAGAACACGTCGTGCGCGCCTTCGGCAATACCAGACAGTCCCAAGACACTGGTGAAGTCCCTAATGACCACTTTGTGAGGGTGTTTCTCGCTCGGGTCAAAGGCCAGCAGATTGGCGGGAGGCCCAATTTCTGTAGCCAAGACTATTCCGTTTGAGCGCGTAGCCACATTCTCTAGCCAGGTATCATTTGACCTGAATTGGTAAACAGTGCGAACTCTATTGGCAGCGGCCGTAGTAGCCAAAGTCAGAGCCAAGTTGACAGAAAGTCCCAAGTCGAATCTCATCGTGATGTAAAGATAAGGAATAAGAATAAGATGAAGTAGGTCGGATTGGAATATGCAAAGCAAAAGTTTGGCTCACCAGGAGGCCTAAGATAACCTTAATATATGCTACCCAATTCTAGAATGTTGACTAGCATAGGTCGTTGGACAAGGCTGGGCCTTCTACTTGAAACGGTTCCCCATTCATTTAAAAACCATCAAGCGGATTATTGGCTGATCAGTGTTGCATGGAGCTAAGCTTTCAAACGTAGTTATGGTTAAGGACAGTGACATTGAGCACAAGGAACGAAACTAGCCAAATTAGATGAATGAGTATCCAATCGCCTGGCGTGCCCCGTAACAGTCTCTGTTTTAGACTGTGACACCCTTCCCATTGGTTCGGTTGCCATCATCAATATTCTTATCAACATTGTTATTATTTAGTATTCAGGATGAATATGAGATTTGTGGATCATGGGATGGCGTAATAGTATTACGCCACCTGCCGCGTCCTTTTGATGATCTGCAAGAATTCGGCCAGTCTGAGAGGTTATGTCCGACACTATGGAAACTTGATACGTAGTTGGAACTCGGAGACGATTACTACAAAAGAATACTCAAGGCCTTCGCAACTGGAATCAAATCATTGCGAGAGCGCAAAGTCAAGTTGAGAAGAAGCCTGTTTGACATAATTGTGCCAAAGTACTCCCGTAAATCAGATTGGATTCCCGACTTCCACCGTAATCACCGGTCGGACAGCCCACACGGCACCGAAAAGGTCAATGCCAAAGGCCCACCGGTCCACACTTTCCGCTGAAAAGTTAGAAAAGGAGGCGCTACCGCCACACCGGCCTCCGCTCATGCCACACCTTCTGCCCCGTCTTCGGCCTACTTTAAGAAGCAAGGCGCGATCCCTATCAGGTAAGGCTTGCTTTCTTGAGTCGGCAGACTCATTCCATATATCTCTATACTGAAAGCGACCCAAAAAGAAAAAATTACTGTTACAGAGCCCCTCTAGTTAACTTACTAGTAAGGCGGACTCGCCAAGCAGAAAAGCGCCGATAAGGACAGCGCTCGGGCAAATACTTTCGTTTCCTGGAGATCTAGTAGAATTCTTCAAAAAAATAAAACAAATCACGGACTGTCATATCCAAGCCGCATATAACATTATCACGTAATCAGAAGATGTAGTGATTCTAGCAGTCAAGAGGCAAGTCAGCTTCTAGGCTACTCAGGCTTAGCAAGATCACATCGTGAAATATCCGGGTTTCTAAAAAGGACTATACAAGTAGAATCTGACTATTCACTAATAGTACCTAGAAAGATATTCTTTTGGGGGTGGAATACAAGGTGGCCGAGCTGCGCGTGGATTACGTTACCTGCCTCGTAAGCCACCGGACATCGGATGATGAATTACAATCCGAACACTCCCTTCGGAAGTCAAGGGCAGGAACAAGGCAAAGTCTTCAGCCGCCATCTCAGCCCCATACATCTTCTTCCACAACGTAATTCTCAACCTTTTTCCGACCAACACAGCACGTTACAGCTCCGTCAGGGCCTAGGTAGTACTGTAGATGAGCATAAAATATACTTTTGGATGACATGGGGCGCACCAGGGTGTGCATTCCAGGTCCTTACCGCTGTACTATAGGCAAATGGACTCGGGTGTACAGCCGATGGCTGCAAACTGCGCACGGATAGTTAAAAATGTTCTTTTCGGCAACGGGATCAGGCAGGCAGGAAGATCAAGGCCGCACCGTGACCTTAGCCTAAAATAATGTCTAGTAAATATTGACTGGATTCCTTTCAAAACTACTTTATAAAGAACCCTTCATGCCATGTTATATTGTTGAGTTATATATAGTGACCAGTTTAAAGTGCAAATGTAAAATCATAATATAGGTGTTAGAAGTAAATAGCCTGGCATGCGACCGATCTATATCGAGATATAGTAGTAGTCTAACGGCATGTAGTATATGGATGATACATTCCAATGAAGAACGCTAAGATCCCCAAGAGTCCGTGGCATTTTCGCAAAATTAGGGGAATCAACAAGGGGAAAATGTGCCTTGCAACCGACCAATCTTAATAGAGAGGAAGCTTGTAGGCATCGAAGTCGTAGTCAAAGGTGTCAATGGAGGCCTGGTCATACTGGCAGGTGAAGTTCTTGCCATTGTTGGTCCAGTAAGGGCGAAGAGGCCAGGCACAGAGCTGCTCGTTGTTGCCCTCATATTCTCCTTGGAGAATGGTGGCGTTCAATGTTTCAGGGACAATGCCCTTTTCGACCCAAAGAGACATGACCTCGAAGTTGGTCTGGGGAAAGGGTCCGTTAGGCTGGGCATCATTGAGGGCACAGTGAGCAGCTCCAGGGACCAGGAAGAGTCGATACCAGTCCTGCAATGCCTTGGTGCTAGCATTGTATGACTGTCCGGAGTACATAGTCTGGCGAACCGAATTATAGTAGTGCACAGAAGATCCAGTTGGGATTGACTCATCCTGCTCGCCGTGGAAGTGGATGATCTTGCCACCGTTTTCGTAGAATTCTGTCAGATCGGGGATGGTAGTTTGAAGAGAGTCCATGTAGCGAGTCATGCCTTGCTTCATCCAACCAACGAGGGTGTCGTATGTCACGCCCTCCAAGGACGACAGATTATCTTCATCTTTTAGCTCTAGGAAACGGGCAACCCATTCGCCACCAGCGCCAGCAATGTCCTATCAAAGTTAGCAACTAGCAAAACATATTGATTGGACAATATTCAAGACATACCAGACCCCATTCGCCAGTGGCTGAGTCATAAGAGGTCGCCGCATCATCAAAGGCGGCACCCATTTGGTAAGAGATATAGGCGCGACGGCCTTGAGAATCGTAGAGTCCATCCACAATTTTCTGGGCAACGGCAACGGCCTCAGCACTGACAGTGCCATTCTGGGCGGGCTCAGTGTCGGAGGCGCGCTTACCAAACCCGAGACCGAGGCTGCTAGAGGTAGATGCGGCGCAGTAGTAGTGCTTACCAATGATCGAAGTCATGTTGAAATGGAGTTGACAAAGGTCAGATCGCGATACCACGCCATCCTTGCGGCCATCCAGGGGATCGCAGGCGGCGATAGTCTCGTTCACGATCTTCTCAAGCTCACAGGGTGGGGGGTAGTAACCCAGAGTCTGTTCCACAATGTTCGAGTACAGATGGTTGGCCTGTTGCTGACCGTAGCGAATGGCTGGTGCACCGATAATCAAGCCATCGTACTCCGTACCAGCGCGCTGGGCCTGAGACCATCCCTCACGACCACCCTCAGAGCAACCCTGGTAGTAGGTATAGATCTTGCTGCTGTTGGAGACATCGTAGAAGTTCTTGGTAAACTGCTTACCAATGATAGTCATCTCCTTGATAGCTTGGTAACCAAACATGTACACCGAAGGCCAGTTGATCGTACCGTTGCTGAGCAGGAAAACGTCGTCGAAATCGTTGTCCATACTACCGAATCCTCCATCGGTGAAACCAGACACGGCACCGTACATCACACCACCAGGGGCAGACATTGAGCCAGATTGAATGGCATAAGCACCACCTCCAGTTGCAAGGAAGCGGCTCTTGAAATCGTCGGGCGCGGGCATATAGTAGCCGACAATGACGTTCTGGCCTGAGCCGGTGTGGGTGTAAGAGAAAGTGACGTTGCAGAAATTGATAGTAGCGTCAGGGAAGAACACCTCGCCTGAGTGAGAGGAATTGTAAACCGCGTTGGCTGTGACCGAGTCTCTGTCAAAGGTGACACCCAGAAGATAGCCATCATCGGGCAGCGACTCGCGGATGCGCGAGGTTGTGCAGGCACTGCTCAGAGATGTAGCGTAGGCCGTGCCGGCCACCGCAAGAAGTGTCAGGAGCTGATTCATATCTTTGAGAAGACAGGAAACACGCGATGGTTTGAGTGTGAGAAACAAGTAACAAATGGACGGCTAGGTCTTTTAAATCCAGGCAGCTCGGGAGAAACTTACTCATTCGTCATATAGTAGCTTCAGTGAGACGCGCATTAAATTTTCGTCATCGTATCAGAAAACGTGCGGGCGTTTCAGTATGATAGTAGTACGCGGCCGAGGCACTGAACTGGCGCCATCAAGACTACAGAAATTGATTAAGCTTCGTCACATCCGAGCGGTGATCGACAAAAACTATGACTATTTTGGTGGATCAGCATATGACTAACAAAGTAATCTCCGAGCCTTCGGTCCTTGTGCGGGTTTCTGATCCACATTAGTCCCAATTTCACCAAAAGATCCTGGAAGCCTAATTGCATTAATTGCACCATAAAGCACCGGGTTCAATTACATACAGCATCTACTCACATATTTCGCCTTTTCACTTGGGCATTTCTACATTTCTGACTGCCAAATCGGGGCATCCAAAGGGGTTAAACTCTAGTTACTGGGTGTTGTGGACGGCGAAACAAGGGCAGATTGACTAGATAATCCAAATTAATAGACGTTATTCGACTTACCACCAAACAGGACTATAAAATCTACTAGATCTGTTAGCTTACTGTAAACCATATATAGAAAGTTTAATATTATTCGGCGCAAAAGACGGATTCCAATCAACTGATTCGCGTAAACCTGGATTAGAGTAGTATAGAAAACAGCGGACCAAGCGTGGTTCAGATGATACAGATGACATGAGGCAATCCTACACATCCTCGAAATACAAAAACTGTAATGACATCGACTGCCGTATGCCGCTAGACACCGGTTCCTATGTCGAAAAGCTAATCAAGGGATGAGGGGCCTTTCCCCCTCCCATACCACTCCGCTCAGCAGTAAATCACCATTCGTAGAGAGTGCTGAACCAATCCATCAAGAAACTGACCACAGCATCAGGAGCAATGCTTTGCATGCCCCAAGTGTTACCAAGGTACATGATCTTCTTGGCTTCTTGGGTAGATGGTTCCCATTTCGGGAGCCCAGGTCCATTTGGATTACCGGACTTGATAAAGTTGACCCAGTAATCAGACATGCGGTCTGCAATAGCGTAATCCTTCGCCGGCCAGGTCAAGTTGGCAGTGTAGTCAGCGTAAGGAATGTTATTGAAGGTGTACCATAGCTCCGCGCCGTGGTAGGCACCTCCCGAGTGATCCTCTTGAGGAGCGCGAGTGAAGAAGTAGGTGTACACATTTGTGTTGGCACCACCGGCAACCCAGTCGGCAGCATACTTCCAGGATGTGACACGGGACATGTCGCGTTTCCAGGTGTTAGAGCTGTCTGTTGCCTGTGTATCGTTCTCAGCAGGATATAACTCGAAGAAGTCCGTAGAGAAGTTCTGAAACACCTCCCCGTAGAGAGACTTGTAGTAGGTAGCATTGATATCCTCTATGCCTTCGTCCTTGTTAAAGCCGGTCATAATGGGAACATCGGCATGATTGTTATCCCGGAGTAGTTGGCCGTATTTCTCCGTTAGGACCCAGCCATCAATAACCGGACGCCACTCTGGTGGCTCCATATCGAGATTGACGAACTGAGTTCCAACCAGTAGGTCCTCATTCTCGGTATCCAAGTTGTTAAGAGCATCAACGGATAAGTTGCGCAGCTGGGCTGGGGAAGTGATGTTGAGCTCGCGGAACAGTTTGACTCCGAAAAGCTCAGCCTCATTTTTGTTGCGGTAGCTGACAGCAAGACTAGCAGTGTTGGGATCATGAGGAGAAAGCGCGCCACTCTCAGAGATAGCTCCAGCAATGTAATCGCGTGAGAGAGGACTGTACGCCATAATCAGAGAACTAGCCGAGCCAGCGGATTGCCCACCAGTGACAATCTGGTTTGGATTACCTCCAAAGTTGGCAATATTTTCATGGACCCACTAGAGACTGTCAATGCTGATATTCCAGGCAGGAAAATGGGGCCAGAGTTGTTACCTTGAGACCGGCAATCTGATCAAGAGTACCGTAGTTGCCGGAGCTGTTATGAGGCGATTCGGCCGAGAGCTCAGGGTGAGCGAAATATCCAAAAGCACCGACTCGATAATTCACGGTGACGACAATGACGTCCTTGATCGCTAGTCCGGATCCATCGTATGTCTTAACGTCGCCAGAGCCCATTTCATAACGACCTCCATAAATCCAATAGTAGACAGGGAGATTCTTAGATTTGATGTCTTCGTCATCGCCGTAGGTAGGAGTCCAGATGTTCAGGTACAGGCAATCTTCGCTCATCTGATCACTGCCGGTATAGAAAATGCCTGCAGATGACTCTTTTGTTTGAATGCATTGGGGTCCAAACTTTTTTGCTTCAAGGATACCGCTGTGGTTTGCTGGTGGCTGAGGGGGCGTGAAGCGCAAGTTGCCGATTGGAGGTGCGGCAAATGGAATGCCCCTGTACACTGTAACATTTTCCCGGTAGGGAGATGCAACACCTCTCACTTGACCCTGTGCAGTCTCAATGACAGGGAACGCAGCCTGAGTAGCTGAGACCAGAGTTGTCCAGCCGATCAGAGTCTTGAGGAGCGGCATGGTCTTAAAATTTGGCAAGAAAGAGTTTTGTGCTGGTTCGAACCTGTCATGGACCAGTTTCCTCTTGAACTGTATTTCGGAAAAAGAAGTTCACAGCGAGATCCATTATAAATCCATGCCCCTAAGGTGCACGCTCCTTAATCAAAATTTCTCCTACACGCTGACGCGGTCTAGCCATGATGTGATATTCCGTCCGAGCAGAGTCCAGGGCCATGATGAAGATCATTAGTGGAGAAAAATGAAATGGTTATGCGTAATGTCACCGTCCCCACCCCACAGATTTATTCCGTGATACAGGTCAATAGCATTTCATTTCACTCTATACTTGTTCAGTATGGCTTCATTGTTGGATTTCGCATAAATACTTTGCCGGTATTTCGAGCCTTGCTTTTCAGACTTTTTGCATAGGGAAGTTGATAATTAAAGTGATGTCATAACTGCTATGATCACGGTTCAAAAGGCTTGGCTCCGTTTTCAATTTAATATCATAGGATAAATAGTTCATACCGAGCAAAAAATTAATTCATACATTCTGACTGTCTGTGCACTAAAATCTTTCTTCGCCCGCCTGGATGTACATAGTTACAATCCCGTTATTATACATTCGAAACACTGATGACGTTCATCATAAAGTCCCCACCCAGTCGTTGTGGATCTGTGAAAGGGTAGCAAAGATAAGATTTTCGTAATCTGTTGAAGACTAATAGTGATAATATCGTTTCCGCCGTATCTCAGGTGCTCGGTATTGTGACTGAAGCAGAATATCAAAATTGGAATCTCAATCATTCTTTTAAACCATCATTGAGCCGTATTATTACAGATCTGTTCACCAGCTCCTTCTGTATCGTATATGGCCCACTAACCCTGGTCACTGGAATGATTTTGCACGCGATATGATTCTCAACAATGCCTAGGATCTCCGCGACAGTGACTTGCACGAAGTACTTCTGTCACGTCCAGCCACATGGGTTGCCTCGATTTTCGGCGGGCCTTTGGCAGTATCCGGGAATGATGTAATTAATTGCCTAGTTGGGTGCCAACGTGATTAGCACCGGGAATCGGATGATAAAATACGATCCGACACAATTTTCAGTCGCCAGACTGCACCCCGCCCCAAACGCAACAGTTCAGGACCACTCTTCTCATCTCACAAAGTAAATCCCATCCTTTCCCTACAAATGCAGCGTGTACGGTCACAGTTATGATTCCGGTAGTTTTGTAGATGAGCATAAAAATTATCCTAGACTAGACGATACGGAAGATCTGTTGATTACATTACATTCTCGGCTGCCTAGTGTTATATAATTGTGATCTTGAATCTAATTACTCTCTAAGGCCTTCGCATGAGCTCCAATACTGAGAAGTGACCTCAGTGTTGCATTTTATCCTCACTCTATCTGATATGTAGATTCGAATGGGATTTATTGCAATTTCGAGAACGATCGGACAGTACCCTTCTTGCCTGATCGCATGAATAAAGGTTACGGCCCATATGGGACTGGCATGCCAATCAATAGCACACAAGCTTCATGCCAAGGGAAAGATCCCAATTACCTACTATGCAATATCGATCAAAATCTTATGCACTAACTCGCATCGCAGTATAGACCTCCATAGAGCTGACGACAACATTTCTTGTTGAAACTGCCACAAAATTGTAGGCGACGCTAGCTTGGTTGCTGCCTAAATTTCAAGACAGAGCAGCGTTTCACTTTTCTGATGGACCCATGTGATGGAAAATTAATGTCCTATCTTTGCGATGACATCTTGGCTAATAGGACGGGAAGGGCAGGTCAGTAAATCCGGGGCTGCGGTACCCTCACAGGATCGAGGCATTAATTGCCGCAGCCGCGTACCCCATGTTATATTATGGACATTGATCTTGTGTTGAAATTACCATGTACGGCAGAAGAGATATCCATTCTGCAATCGTGGCCGACAAGGTAAGATAAGGTAAGGTAGCAGTCCTTTCAATATCATGCAACATTCTATTAAGGAAGATACGGGTAATGGTTACACCACAAAAACTGCTTCTAGACTTTGATTTTTTTGATATAATATAGAATCAGCTCTGGGAATTTTAGTACTGGTTTTGATATATTCTTATTGATTTTATTAGTTTTATATCGGCCTTCGAATTTGGTTGGGGGATGACCTAATAATTCAGGATCCAGTGATTCAAGACGGGATTCATGATTAGCGGACCACTGTATTAGTAGACTATTCTTTAAACTAAGAGAGTGAGTAACTGACAGCCCAGGTAGATAAGTTATAGACTACTCTACAGTCAGTAATACCTGCAGTATACATCTACCTGTAGAAGCTGTAGGACCTAGCAGTGATATAGTCAGTTTGGTGTGGTCTGCTAATCATGGACCGGGTCCTGGAGTATCAGGTCCTGGACTAGCGGACCACGCCAGACTGACTGTATCACCGCTACGTCCTACAGCTCCTATAAAAGTAATATATACGGCAGATTCTACTGGCTCGTGTATCCTCACTAATCTGCTGTTGTTCTGGCCGGGTTGTCAGAGTAATACACCTCAACCAATGATAGGAAAAATCGCCCACAGCAACACATCTTCACAGTTATACTAAATTTGAAGAAATAAAAAGGGATATGCACTTTTCTCACTTTAATAATGTTATATGTATCGAGATTTTAGTGGATATTTATATTATATATTTTCTGTATTATCATGACCACCGACCAGAATAATATGAAGAATATTATAGATAATAATCTATATATATCTCTCTAGTAGTCTAATTTTATGATATACAGATGTCTAGTATTATCTATATAAGTTTAATAAAGACCTACTAGATAGCTAGGCTGCTGGCTGCTGGCTGCTAGCTTAGAGCTAGAAATAAAAGAAATAAATATTATTAACTACTTTAATCAATATCTTATTGTATGAATATAGTAATGAAAAATATATTACTTTTGGTATATTATCTCTGTAGAAAGCCTGTATAAATCACTATCTAATCTGTGATTTTTAATCTTTCGACTATACATGATCTTTGTAACCTGTGGTTAAGATTGATTAAAGTAATCTCTTGATTGTAATCTAACCACAACCGTACGGTTAAGGTTAGGTTAAGGTATAACAGTTAGGTATAACCACTTTAAATGCTGTTGAATCCCATAACGTCTCAGTACATCCAGACTATTCTCATGCTTTCACTACCATATGTCTTTGGGCTCTCTTGGCTCTGTATCCAAATCGGTGCTTAGGTGATGATCCAATAAGTCAATGACAGGGCCCCCAGTCGGACTACCGGGTCCATGAGCCCATATCCGTATACGGCGATCGAAGCATCACATCTCTGGCCGTCGCTTTTCAACAAGAAGCTCAGCGATGCTCAACCCCTTTTTACTGTTGTAGAAGGCATATTCTATATGGACCAGATTAATAATACCTCTTCTCCTCGCTGCTTCAACAGAACCTCCATAAGAGCCCTTCCGTGACGTAAGTTCCGCGCCGCCTCGGTAAGCAGGCCCGCATCAATTAGGATATTATTGCTTTGGCGCTGGAGAAGGAGTTGCATAATCCTTCCTCCGTCTCTCTTGTCTTTTACTGCATTGTCAAGGATGCAGCGGTCTATCTGAGGTCCAAGTATGTGGACTTCAGGCCAGCCCTGAAACTGTAGGCCAGGCCCAAAAGGACATCTTGGTTGGGGAAGTTAGTCCGCTGTAAGTAGTCTTTCAAGGTGTATTCCAGTTCCTCCTCCGCGCTTTCATCTACTAGATAGCATCCAGTTGAACAACAATACTTTTAGAGGTATTATCCCCCATTATTCTGTTGAATTTATACGCCTCGGCAGTGAAAAGGAAAACCAGTGAGGTCAAGACAATCGGGACGACGCTGGATTATGTAATTGACCACCAATTCTCTATGACGTCTCGAATATTCATCTCTTGACGAGAGTGTCCCGCTGGATAATGTGGCTCTGCCAGAGCACTCATGTAAGATATGTCTGCTTGAGCTGTCATGGGTATATCGAGCCAGTGCCTGAGCCAGATCTTCTGTCATGCTTGCACCGTTTGTGTGCCCCTCCTAAAGGCGGGCGAACGCTTCTTCTGGACGACTGTTTCTTGCTGCGCTAAGAGAGTATCATTTGAGACTATGACACCGGCTTTCCTATTGTCTAGGAAGTCTGGTCTGCTATTGGAATTGTAGCCTTCAATGACCGTTATATGGTAATAAGTATTGAGTTATTTAGCCCAGCGACGAACTCCCAAAATTCATGAAATTTGTTCGGAAGTAGATCACCATATGAAAAGGAAAATGCATCAGCGACAACTTGCTTTTCAGTCCTGTTATAGTCCACTTGCATACCATTGCTGCCGTGCATATCTGAGGCAATTCCAAGCAAGCCATATATTATGTCACGGGCATCGCTTGCTTCGCTCTGCTTGAATTTGCACAGTAAAGTACAAAGATCTTAGTTTTTACTCCACCATGAATAACTTCTTGCAGGGCCGGGCATTATATCCAGAATGGCCTGACACTGCGGCGTGGGTTCGACTTCTGTAAGCAATGGTCCCAGAGTAAATAAATGCGCTGATACCGATCGGCTGCCGCTGCAGACCAGAGCATTTCGAGCCTTGGCAACCTCCTTTACAATCCACATTCATTGAAACCCAGGCTGATCATATAGGACTTTTATTCCTATCTTCTGCTTCTCCACAAGTCCCGGGTACCGAGGACGCCGAGCATCCTTAACAGATACCCATAGATCCCCCCAGCGCTGATCTGTGAGCTTCCAGTTCCTAGACGATGGATACTGGCGAATTTTCTTTTCTAGTTCAAATAGAGAGTCCAGGATAATATTCGTTTCATTGGTTCCCGAACCGAACCATAAAATAACTCGTTCCGCACAGGAGTAGATCTTTTTCATCTGAGCCTGGTGGCCGCGTTCCGCTGTGTTGTTCTGATTGATACATACGACATTGCTTATATGGGTAACCCCACGTATAAGACAAGGCTTCATATGATAAAGCCTCGCTGTCATCAAACCAAGCCTGCACGAGGGTGCATTGCCGTCATAGTCTACTAGAAGTCGAGCGCACGGACCCCCGAAACTCAGCAGATCATATTCGTAATTCATTTCGAGCTCGGGTCAATTTATAAGGTATACGTAAAGGAGCTGTAGGTGTGTGAGTTTGGTATTACTGCCAGGTGATAGAAGAAAGACCGTACCAAAACCACGCGAGAGACCTGCGACTAAAGCATTCTTCACTAGCGTTCGTATGTAATTCAGGACACTTTTTAATTGAAGAGTCCACGAAATAGTTAGTTGTTCAATTATGGGCTGAAAGGACCGCCTGTACTGTTACTGAGAGGTGCAGGACAGGCCGGCTCCGTGGACTGATTCTGCAGCGAAGGAAGGAAGTAACAGGAGGATTTGACGTTAAAGCTTAGTTTTGGGGAGGAGTAAGGCGGCAAGAGGTCCAGTGTGGTGCTGCCAGCGTGAGACTGAGCTAAATTTCCTGTCATCAACTACCCTCGCGCTGCCTCTCAGTAATGAAGATTCCTGCATGTCCAATAGGAACAATTGGAGAAGATATGGATGGGTAGTCAGGCATTTACTCGGTGAAAGCCATGGTATTACAGGCCTATACTCATATTTCAGTGACCTGATTCTAATCATCTCATTTGCTTTTCAGTCCCCATGAGGGTCCCATGAAAAGAGCACCAGGTGATAACACTCCGAAGTAGTCAAGCCCTTCTTGTATGGGCGCAGGGGGATCCAGTGGGGTGCTTCTTGCAAGATTGTCCAGTTTACATAATATCTATTATCTAGATCGATGTAGTTGCCACCTGATCACTGTTGGTGCCTGACTGGTTTATTCATGTGGAATGGTCCCATGGTCCCACAGCAATTTCGGCTGGTTGTGTGGTGTCAGGTGTGCCGATGGATCCGCAGCACGAGGATCTGCATTCCCCTTGGATGCAGCGATGAAAAGGCCGTCACTAATTATAAGGTAGTAGACAGTTGAGCAATCGTCCGTCCGTTATTTCGCTTTAGCCTGAGGAATGGGGAGAATCAGGAGGCAGACGGTCCAGATCGTGATCGACTGCCGTCGTCAGCCGCGGGATGAATGGCGTCTGATTGGCGGGCGGCAGCGCGGGAAACTTGAATGACGTCACTCGGATCCTTAGGTACTCTCCACGCCACTCCCCTTTTGCCGGTGCATAGGTACCCCGTACCTCCATCCGCATTCATTCCTTCCTCTATCCCCATGCACCTCTTCTCGTAAGGCAATATGCCGTTCCCCTTTCAGGACCAGTTCAAGCATGATAAATCTTTCTCTGGCAGGAACTCTCTCCAGCAGCAGCGCTATACCCCTTTGCACGTGACCATGGTGACTTGGTGCTACTCCGAAATCTTCTTCCTCTCCAGTAATGATATCCACAAGCTGCGTTGTGTCGATAATATCAAGTCTACGCCATGATGATGCCTACTCCAACCGATGGTCTACCGATATCGATGCCTATCTAGACATCTTCGGTCGCTTACCTTTGTTGTTCGCACGCGTCCCTCTACACTTCTTCCTTTTCCTCCTCATGTTCGATATTCTAGTCTAGATGCACCAAATAAGAAATAATTGACCGGCTCTCACATCTATTCTTTAAACGTCAATTTCTTTAAAAAAGAGTGTTTCCTTGAATTAGCAAGTATTCCTGTACAGGAATTGTTGTAGCAGTGATACTAAGTAGCAAGTAGGTGTGGTCACGTGACTAGCTAGCACCATACCAGGAACCCCTTCTTCGCGCCTCTCGCTGCGCGATCCCCAGATAGCAAATAAAAACACTCATATCTCTCCATATTCTTACTTCCTGCTAGGAGAGCCATTCCAACAGGAATTCGTGCCATTCAGATAATCTTTAAAAATGCTTATTCTGATATTAAATACAGCTGCGCATGCAGTGTTAACTCAAATTTGACTTGATTAAAAGCTTCAACTGCAAGAGCAAGGCTTTTATCGCGAGATAAGGCCTCCATATCTATAAAAACAAAACCCGCGTTATATAGCTTCAAATGATGATTTAAATGGTGATCTAATGGTTGGTGTACGCGTTGTTTTGGTAGGGAAAAGGAGGCGGCGGCGGCCAGTTCGGTGTCCGATTACGTTATTGTAGAGTAGGCGGAGTCCCATAGGATAGGACTTCAAGGCCGAGGACCTGAAATGATGGGCACTATCAGATGAGAATCATACGGGCCCCCAGTGTGAACGACATGTTGTCCAACATTGACATCATCTGGCACCTGGGCGACCTTGAAGGCGAGCCCATTCATGCTATGGCCAGAGATCCTCAACTTAATGCCTTCACCACCTTGAAATACCATGCCCATAGGCCATATCGTAATATCCAATGGCACGATGCTCCCCGGCGTAATCTTCTCTGCACGGTCATGCGTATAGAAAATTTGTTGTCCGTCCGGACTAGTTCTCTTCTCATCCCGGGAGACCTGATGGGATGCTCGGAGAAATCCTTGGGAACCTGTCACTTTCAGGTGATTGGTGAAAGGGATTTCACTATCCACGACCGGGGCAGGAAATGTACGCTGCATCAGTAGATTTCCGGCTTTATCGATTTTGCAAATCTGTACAACAACATCCAAATCATCCTTCTCATTGCAAGATACCCATAGGCGAACCTTTGAGTACCCTGCAATCTCAGTGTACTCAGTAAATTTGAAGATGAAGTCCTGTGGTGTTTTAGATACTCGCTCAGATTCCGAAGGGGGTATATGGCTTACTGATGAAGCATCTAAACTATGACTCTCATGAGCTGTCTTGGCTGTTACTGGCGGCTGCAAAGGGACCAGGGTCTTCTTGGAAGCATCGAGATAAAGTTTTTTTAACTGCTGTCTAGCCAAGGGATATTCTTTCTCGGGCCTGTCGACTATATCAGGCAGAGTATTCATTCCAAGTAGTGTAAGGCGTAGCGGAGGCGTATCATGCTCCCAGCCATTCATGATTCCTTTACAAAAGCGGTCATAAAATCTCTGTAGATCATCGTTTGTTCGCTTCTGGTAAAGATCCCACCATTCAAAAGAATTGTGGACTCTCAGCCACTTTTGCTTCGTTCCAGCTCGGCGAAAAGTATCAAAAGAGCCATTCACGTGGAAGGGATTGCTGTATGATGCCACAATATACATCGGCGTGTCAATATCCTCGACTCGCTCGGCCTTATCATTCCAGTAATCGTCAAAAAACTCGTGATTCCGGGAATATTCATACATATTCTCGGTTTCTTGATTACCACAAGCGGCCTCTATAAGTCCAGGATAAAAATCCATGTTTGTCAGCATACCTCCTCTATGAAAAAGCTCCCGGTAAACATCTGTCAGACTTTCCCAAGGTGCAATGCATTTGCAAGCCGGGTGGGTGAATCGAGATGCATAAGTAAGTTGACACTTAGCCAGGTAGGAGTTGCCGGCCATGGTAACCGCACCATTGCACCACGGCTGCTTGGAGAGGAAGTCAATAGTGTCGTAAATATCCTCCGCGTCCTGAGTGCCCCACCAGAACTGCGTGCCTTCGGAATTCCCAGCTCCACGTGAATCGCAATTTACCACGGCGTAGCCACGTTTGCACCAATCCGCGGGATCGGGAGCTTCCCAAGCCTCATAGCCGGAGGTCTCATCAAGATGAACACCCAATCGGAAGGGAAGCATATCCAGGTTCCATGGAGAGCCACGTTTCCCGTAAGGGCTCCAGGCCATGATAGCTGGAACAGGCTCTTGTTCTGAATTTGCGGGTCGGAAAATATCGACATACACCTTGATGTTGTCTCGCATTGGAACAGCCACATCATATTCCAACATTGTATCTACCTGCATCATCTTACGGCCAGGGGCTTTGAGATGCCCGGCAGGCAGGAGCTTACACTCACCGGGAAGGAATTCGATTCCGAAATCCTTATAGAGCGGGTGAGTCGATAGGGACTTAGGCTTGAAGAAAGGCAGGTCCAGGTGCTTGGCCTTCAGCCTCTCGGTCGTTGATGGGGATGTAGTAGACGTAACCATGCTGGCAGGCTTTTTACACTGTTCAATATTGAGACAACGTGTCAAAAGGAAGGCTAAGAGGGGCTTGTACTGGACTGGTCAGCATGAAAAGTAAGGATAACTTCGGGGTTTGAGTTTTAAGTACATGATGTAGATATCCACTTCGTTGTTAAGATGATTATGCTGTCAAAGTTCCCGGGGAGAGGGGGGGGTAAGGTTCTTATAAAAATACCCCCACCTGTCCCCACAATGTGCACCCCGCCGGGATGTGGTCGGAAGAAGGATTGGAGAAGTCGTCGTACCATGATTTTTATGCCAAGATACTTTATACAGAATTACAGATATTCAGTTATTCGAACGAATATATGAGAAGACTGTTTTAAAGACGCCTTATTTTGTGGTGGTTTTGAGATACATAGCAAGGCGTAAGTATAGCACTATAAACTTTGTATTAAAGTAGACGATTATTGATATAAGTTTATACAGTTGCTATTTTACTTTTGTACAAGTCTACAATTCTGTTGGAATAATGATTGAATATGAGTTATGAAGTTGTCATGGTCTAATCCCGCTAAGCTAGGGCCTGACCCGCATGCGGCAGTTCTTTTGTTTTTTTTTTACCTTGAGGTATTAATAAGTACGTAGTTGAATTGCTTTAAATGGATCATTTATTTCGGTAGGTAGAGCGGCCAAGCGCCGGTTCAGTTGTTCATTGTCGCGGCGGTTTCGGTGTCCGATTACATTAGCCCCACAGTGTAAATACATACGTAAACCTTCTCCATTTTTAGGGGTAATCCACTCACTGCAGCTACTTTGTGTACGGTATATGATAATATATAATTCTTAAATATATTTCGGTTATTTCAGGATGATATAAACATTATGTAAAATAAATTATTATGGTCAGCATATAAGAATAAATATTATTTCATTCATAAATTCAAGTCTTTAGTACTCCGTAGAAGCTGCTTATGCACTTGATAAATCTGATATAAGTACTAAAAGCTCTATGATAGATATGCCACCGTTTTTTCTGAATTTCCTACTGTAATCATAAATAAATCAGTGCCTGATTAGCATCAGAGTGGACAATGCGACATGAACTGGATTTAAGGAGGTTTATTACATCAAAGACAGCTGGATAATTACCTAATTTAGCTTGAAGGGGTGCCAGTCAACCCAAATCTTCGATTTTGGTCTCAACAAGGATTCAGGATAAAGTGTGACGCGATTTGGAAGGTAATCGGAATCTGCATGGACCCTAAGATTGGCCTAACCTGTCACCATCCAGGTTTTTCACTCTGGATCTGAAAGTCTTCACTATGGTCATCACTCCTAGATTTGATAACGCGAGATGAGGGAAGCTCATATGTTATGTGGTTTGCGCTCCAGTTCTTCAACCTACCTTTCCAATTCGTTCCCCACCTTCATGTTAAGGGCTATACAATCAGATCGTGATTGTTCAATTGAGTGCCCATTAAATAAATGGTAGCGAAGAGGGTAAGGACATCGGAAATTGAGTTCTGAAACCATTAACAGTGAACAACGGTCGCGCGGGCCACACGGTCAAGCGGGCCACCTGGTAACACTAGACAAAAGATACTTTTTTTAAACACAATATATCTCAACCATCAAAATCTAAAAGGATTAAGTTTATTCTGTATAGAAATTAAATTTCATAAAAGATATTTATATTCCTCTCAAAAATCAGTATAAATATGTTTAGTAAGTTATTATATTACAATATCGGTATTTTATTTGTATTATATAAGGAATCGATTTAACTATACATATTAATAATTTAAGAATTTCAGAAAAAGAATGGGACATCTATTATTCTATATATAATCTATCTACAACGTCAGAACATCTTAAAAATCGTATTAGTAGATATATAATAGAATTAAAAAGTCATCTTTTATATGGGATACCAGGGTGGCCCGCCTGACCATGTGGCCCGCGCGACCGTTGTTTATGTTATGCAGTGTACCATGTGAATAAACATGCATAGTTAAGTATTTCCGAAGAGCAATACCGCTTCCCGTTGCGGAAATTTACGACGAAGATCACACCCAGGCTCAGTCTTACTTTCTAACGCGCGGACGTGATTCCTATCTGCGGGGCGACCGCGGAGGGTCAATAAGCTGACCGAACCGGAACTTCAGCCCTTGGTCTCGGAGGTCGGATACTCTCCACCCCGACTCCGCGACGTTCGTGACGTAATCTACCATGGCCAAGTTCCACTCAGATGCGGTATATGTAAAACTCTCAATGGCCCTCTAGAGATCGGATTGCGAAAAAGAACACACCATTGGAATCAAAAATTTAAGTCCATCTGACATTGCACACTGGGATTACAAGATGAGCCCCGAAGTAGATGCTGTGATCAAGCAATGGCCATGGATCAGTCTCACCGTCGGCCTGGCTCTTGCTGCACCGCTACTTTTCGGCGAATGGAAGACTGCACGAGGACCTAGTGATCTCCGCTCTTTCGACTCGTGGTCATTGAGGGTACATGATCCTCGCTGGTGGTGCTACGTTTGTGGACCGATGTACATGATTCACCAATTCGAAGAATGGGGATACGACATCAAGGGCGTTCCTTACTCCTTCCACCGATCACTGTGTGAGAACCTGGTATGTATGATAGAGTGATTGTTTGTAGTACTTGGCCTGTCGTGCTGAACATGTCCTGCTGTAGGGCTACCCAGACCTCAACAACTGTCCAGCTACTCCCCTGCCGGTCTGGGGCGTCAACGGCATCATGATGTGGATCGGTGCCTGGTCTCTACGATATGCCAGCCCTTCTGTCGGAGGCACCAACTACTACGGAATGGTTACGTTCAACAGTCTCACGCACGTTATGCGAGCCATTCTGGACGGTGAATACAACGCAGGCCTTCTCAGCACTCTAGTCAATTTCATGCCTGCCTCTTATTTTTTCTACTCTGCAATGTTGGCAGACAAGAAGCTCACAGCAGCTGGAATCGCTCGATCATTTGTTCTTGGAGTCGTCGGTCACCTGCTCTGGGTTCTTCCCTACATTTGGATCGACAAGGGTTACATCAGCGAGATCACAGCTTGCGTTATCCAGTTACTCGACACCTTGATGTTGCACGTCGTCAACGTACCTAATTGAAGCCTGCGATCTCAAGTGGCATATAGCTCCCAATTTTGCCCTAACATGTGGATTTGGATTACGATTATAATATACTCATGCACCGTCCCAGTTACTCATGAATCTAGATGTGATAGAGTAAGTTGGCTAGGTGGTCAGTATCGTGAGGATGAGGTACTATAGAGGTAATCAGAGTGCGATAGGAGAAATACTAGAAATTCATAAGATAATGTTAAAAATCGTAAATATCCACTGAACAGACTGATCCTTGAAGGATCAGTAGCCTAGTAATAAAATTCACCTTCATGACTCGTAGCAAGATGGGCAGGTCTTGTCCAACGCTGCCTCTACTATTGAGGCTCTGGGTCAGCAATGGGTAGTATAACCGGAAAGGTTTTAAAGATATGGTAAGGAATCACTTTATTCCACATAAAGTCGTAGAATGACTGATGAGAAGCCTGTGGGGTGGGTAGTAACTGGGGATTTATACGTTAATAAGACGTTCAGTTGTGTCCGCCCATACAATCCATCCCTTAAAACGAAAATTGAGGTATTGCACTAAATATCTGTAATTGGGGCCTGAAACAAGGTTCTTTGTATAAGTGTGGATGGCGACAGCAGTCGACCCTGGGCATACCTTGCATTTCCTGGAACTATATTGAACAAGCTTTTTGAACAGGATGATAAGTCTATCAACCAGTACAGTCCTATATAGTCTTTTAACAGCGCAGATTACACTACTAAGCTAAAAGTCTCGGATCGGTGTTGTTTACAAATCAAAGCCGTTCCAAAGCAGAAAGAATATTGAACCTGATATTTATTATTACAGCTCTCTCTTAAGTCCAATAAACTAGATATCAAGATGCTTTATTTTTTATCATAAAAGTCAGTCTCATTGAATTTTGTTTTGCTCGCAGTAAAATATGGCTGCCGGCACCTTATCTTTTTTTTTCTAGTTATATATGATTTGAAGACTATTGTCAGCTGATCTACTCGCTGGGTGGACACGCCAAGCAGAAAGTCCTAATAAGATCAGTCCTCTTTTTGTGATGATAGATTCCGTGAGCAGGTATGAAACCTCCCTTGACACCAAATTGGGCCAGTGTAGAGTAATATTACTATCACTTCATTGGCCGGTCCTAATATGTGCTTTATTAGCCACTGTTGATTGAATACACATTGGGCGACACTTGTCATCTAATAAGTTTGATGAGGACGAGTAGCACGACTGTCTTTCGTTGTTTGCGCTACCGCAGCTACGGGGGTGTACTTTACACAGGTTTTTGGCTGTTAAGCCCGAAGGATCTTGTATAAAATCCCGCACAGGACTTTCTACAGGTAGCCTTGCACGGATATGATAATTCGGCAGTAACATCATTGATCTATGAAATCACTGAAATCCGATAGAGTGGGTGGGTGATCAATGTAAAACTGGTTATGGCGATAAGGTAAAGCTGACCATACAAAAGGTTCGTGGAAATCCGGAAAGATAACATTTCCATAGACCATTGTAATAGAGATCAGATGAATTTGTTCCCTTCAACACTCCATGTCATCAACTTCGTCTCACAAAATTCTTGTAGTCCCCAAAGGGCATTGTTTCGACCCCACCCACTTCCTTTCACGCCACCGACCGGGAACGTTGCTGTGAGTACGGAATTAGCCCGTCAATCCAGTTCTACGACGGAAGGGGGAGATTGGAGCCGCGCGGGGAAGTGGAAGTATTAGTATCAGGTAACTTACGTTCATCATGAACAGTCATACCATTGATATGGACCTGTCCGAAATCGAGCTCCTGCGTCATAAGCCATGCCTTATGAAAATCACTGGTGTGAATAGCGGCACTGAGTCCGTAGGGACTATCGTTGGCTATCTCTATAGCATGTTCTGGGTCACGGGCAATGAATAAAGCTGCCGATGGCCCAAACGCTTCTTCATTGTATATGTGCATTTCTTTTGTCACGCCTTGGATAATTGTTGGACGTAGTTTTGATGGAGAAATTTTCTCTGGCCCACCGCAAAGAAAAATAGCGCCTTTCTTCTGGGCGTCAAGAAGCTTTTCTTGGGAAGCATTCACGATCCTAGGACTAACTCCGTCAGTGACGGGAAATGACTCGGCTTCGGCGATGAGTAGCTTTTGGAACTCCATAGCAACCTTCTCAACAACAACAATTCTCTCTGTTGAGAAACAAATTTGGCCGTGGTGGAGGAAGGCTAAAGAAAGTAATAAAATCAACCTGACTGTCCTTCTACTCGACCTGGAGGGAGCGGTAGGGTAAGTTACATACCTCCAAAAACACACCGCTTCGCAGCAGCGGGTAAATCAGCATCCTCGAGAATAATAGCAGGACCCTTCCCTCCCAACTCCATAAATACGGGCTTGAGGTACTTCGAACACAGCTGCCCAATAATACGTCCAACAGCGGCACTTCCAACAAATTCGACCTTACGAATAGCGGGATGGGCAATCACTGCCTCTGTCACTTCACTGGCCATCTCTCGAGTCGCCTGGATGACATTGATAACTCCCCGCGGGAGTCCTGCTTCCTCAAAGAAACGAACCAAAAGATGATGGAGTTTAGGACAGTTTTCAGATGCTTTAAAGACGACTGTGCATCCAGCGGCGACCGCAGTCGCAATATTCCTTGCCCCGAGGACGATAGGCGAGTTCCATCTGAAGATTATTTGAGTCAGCATCACCTAGAAGGCATAAAGAGCATAATGGCAACCACCTACGGCGCAATTACCAACACAGGCCCGATAGGGACTGTGAACGCCAGGGATAGCACAGAGGAGGACGTTGTTGGTGGAATAGCTCCCTTCAACGAAGTGACACAAGCGGCAGTTTCTTCAATCAAGCCAGTAGCAAGTTCAATATTTTTGCGACATAAAAGTTCCGGTGCGCTTGTCTCCTCCTTCTGAACAGCAATCAGCTCTTCTGCATTAGCACGAAGGATCCTTGAGTAATTTTGAAGAAGTTCGCGGCGTTCAACTGCAGGAACTTTCTTCCAGGTCTTGAAACTCGCGAGAGCAGCATCGGCTGCGAGCCTTGCCGTTTCCATATTTGCTGACTCGCTAATATAGATATTCTTTTGTTGCAAGTTGGAATAAACTGGAAACTGAATAGACGGGACTGAGGTCGTCTCCTTGCCGCCTATGAGCAGAGGAATAACAGGAAGACTGTTATTGGTCATAATGGCTTCTAGTTATCGAGTTTAGTACAAGCACTTTTGAATATCGTGAGATTGTATTCAAGAAAACTTCGGGCAAGGGTCTTAGATGTCTAAGAGCCGTGGAAGTGACAAGAAGCCTTTCTAAATAACAAATATCAGGAAATATTAGCTTCATCGGTCACCGACTTCCGATGTTCTTGCAAGTTTGACTCTCAATACAGTTAGCAGCGGGGTATCGGTCTCATCGGTCGCCGAGCAGGTTGTGGATCCCCGGGGAGTGATATAAGCATTTGTCACCGCAACAGGTCATCAACTCGGTGCCAGATCAAGCCCAGCTTGGCCAAGTTGCAAATGATATAAGGGCCTGTCTTAAAAGTTATTACTGCAAGACTTGATTGACGCCCAAAGTTATAAACCGGACACCAGTTATTGATATTATGAATATGAATGCGAATGATAATGGGAAGAACGCATCAGTTTGCGGCCTGCCATGGGTTTAAGGTCTGCCTGCATTTTTTAGATGGCTAATTAGAGTCGACCAAGTCAGGTATGCATTCTCATATTAGGCATGTCCCAGGTACTTCTTAATTCTGTTCATGAGGTATGTTCCAGCTGTCAAACTCATAGGCCTGACATTCGTACCTTGCGGACGAAGTTTGTAATCCACATATTCTCCGAGAATCTCCGCCGACTGAGTATTGTGTGTACCATCCAGCAGAACTGGCTCTTGACGTTCCACTAATGTCTGGCTTCATTAAATGTCGATCTCACCGGTCGGCGGGGTTCCGTTCGTTTAGAACGCGATTGCACTGGGGAAAATGGGGCAAGATGCGGGAGCAAGGCATGGAAATCGGGAAGTGTGCTCATATTGGACCTTCTCTGGCTCCAGCCACACCAACAAAAGTTCCGGATGTTGTAGGTGCCCCACACTCGTGCCATTCACTGCGCGGGGCTCGGCGGATTCCCACAAGCTGTTCTCCCGCTCCCGCCCAAAACAGGTTTCAAAATCAAAACATCTAGACAATCTTCAACAGATAGTATGTCTCATCAAGCCCCAACATTCGGAATACTACGACTGAAATTAGTTCATGGAGAATTTGATTACACGGTTCCTGAATGAATTGGGAATCAAGTCCCGTCTTGTTCGCGAAACTTATTGCAAAAAAACAGCCCAATGGCAGAAATTATGACTTTTATGACATCCACCGCGGTTAATCGCAAACATGCATCAAGACTATTTTGTAAAGAATATTTCTGTTACAGAAGCTGTATTCCTGCATAATTATAGGCCAATCGATACACATTTAAGTATGGAGGAGACCTTGATAACCTTTTCTCTGGGTTCAAGGATGTGATAAGATTTACTTGTCAGGGTAGAAAGCCTATTGACTAGGTAAAGAATCAGCCACGAAATACTGTAGGCTATGTATATACTTGTGCGATTGACTGGTTTTTTATAGTCACGTATGTTATCCTGGTATAAAGAGCCACCCTTTACACTACAAGTCCTGACTGCAGATTTACACGGTAGAAAGCGATTACTCGTTTAAGTATGAATGTACCAATGACAAGGGTGCTTAGGCCTAGAGCAAGAGAGGCAATGAGGTCCTGTAATGCTTGAGTGCAAAGAGCACCCATAGGTCCAAAATGTTGCATGATGATCGTATGAGTGACTATGTCGTCCCAGTTGTCCCTTGCAAATCACCCGACCAGAGAGTAAGAGTCGACCAGGTTACCATAGGACTCTTATAGACGAACTGTAATTGCCAGTGGTGCTGGGGAAAGGCTATCTTGATTCCATTGTAATGCTTTGCACGACGAGAAAGCAAATAAATCATGCGAATTTCAGGTCCACCAACCTCCCCAGAACCAGTCACCACTTGGGATTAGAAGTCGACTTTCAGATCTATACCCCATCGGCCCCATACCGAACTTTGTAGATCGCTATGGCCGACTCAATGTACTAAAGGTACATATAGTGCCTGTGTGGGGCCTGCAGATTGGAGGACTTATGAAACGTCGTAACAGTAACAAAGAGGTTATCTGATGATTGGGAAGATCGCCTACCGCGTGAATCCCTCTAGGACATCGATGGGTGCGCCTGCAGACTTACGATGCAGCCGAAGGACTAGGGCCGAATATCATGGATGCGACTGGAGTCGTTGGCACTACTGTATCTAGCTGCACTGCTTATGTAGCAGGAATGAACTCCTATAAACACAAGTTATTCAGAGGGAAGCCAAACTATTGCCTGAATTATTCTGGAGTAGATCGAATATGTTACCATAACGAGGCCATCTAAACACCTGTCTAGGTTATAAGACCAATCAACAGGCCAGCCTCAGAGACACTACTTGCCCTAGTGAACTTTACACATCATAAGTTCTGTCTCTTGTACATAAATGACACAAGCGGAATCAGGATTCTCCCAAGAATCCAAATTATTATCCCAAGAGTACCATCTAAATTGATTGTCTGTGAAAAGGTCAGCTATATGGACTCCAGTACGTTAAACAAATAAAATGTGTTTGCTTTTACCAAGACTGAGTGGCCGCCACTCTTCCTCACCCAGGCAAAGGCCCGCTCAATCATACCATTCTCATAGCAGCGACAGGCCGATTCCACTTGTTGGGTCGACGGTGGTTCTCCAGACTTGGCGATGTTGTCCAGCTCCAGTATATACGGCAATATCTCGGCACAGTCATTCAACGCCTGATTACCACCCATGCCCCTTTATTCGTTGTCAGCTTTTCGCCTCGCGAACTGATATAGAGATGATCTTACCTATTAGGCTGCATTGCATGAATGGCGTCACCGAGAAGCCAGACGCGTGGATGACCGCTTCCCTGGTTGCCGCACTGATCTCGTTGCGCTTTGGCCCGCCAGGTCCTGGATGGTCTTTTGCTAGCCCGCAGCGGGGCTACATAGACGTCAGGGGAATTCACGTCCTCAAACCCAATAGATATCATTCTGTGGCTGCATTTCATAGAAAGTCAATATACTTTTCGAGGTTCAACACTCAAACATAGCTAGTGCCACTGCAGCGGCAATACCGGAAATGGATGGCATTGCTCACAATTCTGGTGCCCAGCCTTTTATGTAGTCTAGGCAGAACCGGCGACGGTTTTTGATCTCAGAGTAGTGCTCATATTCGCTCACCGAAGCTTTCGGGATGTTCAGTCCCCAATAGAAAGATGCTTCATTTTCGTCGTATTCAATGTCAGAAATACCATTTGTTTCTGAATCATGCTTTGCTGGAATATATACTTTGAGCCAGGCTTAGTATTATCAGACTCCGAGATACGGCATTGAACCATGACACTCACAAGCGAAAAAAAAAGAGGCGCCCTTGGAGAAGACAATTATCGGACCTTTTAGAAGTTGGGCAGGCAATTTTCGAAGTCGGTCGTAGGGCAAGCTTCCTTTATCAAGGAAACACCAATGGGTATCCAGCGGAACAAGGTTCCTCAAGCCAACGCATTCGTTGACCGTCGAACCACTGCCATCAGCCCCTATTAAGATATCGCCATCATCCGATGATCCATCGGTGAAGTGCACCCTGACTCGTTCGTATCCCCCTACCTTGATGATCTCGTAATGAGTAAATTTTGCACCGAATTGGACATGACCTGCAGCGTCAATGGGTTTGGCCAAAGAAGATCTGAGAACCTCCCGGTTGATTGCAGAAGACTTCGAATAAGTTGGTAGGCTAGTAAGATCCAAGATCTCTAGAAATTGGGAAGTGTAAAGGCTTGGAGCTGTGGAAGATGCCGAAGAGGACTGCCCAAACCTGCGCAAAATTTCACGGAAGAGCCCATCGTCAAGACATGCGCTGAATCCCTTGATCGCCGGATCTCCAAGACGGATTTGGTAGCCTTCACGTCTTAGCTCCCTCGTATCACGTTCATAGATACGAAAATCCACACCGTTGTTGAGAAGGCCATTTGCTAGCAACAGGCCGGCCAATCCGCCACCAATGATGATGACCTTGAAATCGCCCATGTTGGTAAAAGAGGAGAGGGAGCCCAAAACGTCGGCTGACCAGAGTCAGCAACGTGTTTATACAGATTCCGATCTTCTAGCGACAGTTTCCAAGTCTGTCACACAATCTTGTTCACCCCTGCTAAGCGGCACCTCTGATCTAGCCAACTCTTAACAGGAGACACAAAAACACGCATCCGGCGGAGAGACGCGGTACGGGTGGGGAAGCATAGCTAACCTGTCGGCCCCACCGGGAATTCAGAATACGTACCTCTGGTCCAGTCTACAGTCTCATAGAAAGAACGATGTTTCTGTGAAGAATCTTTGCAGCGCACTCTTTGCAGTGCAGACTGACTTGCCGGCCCAACTGCACACCCAAACCCATGAGGTGAGCAAAGGTCTACCGATGCGGCACATGATATATGCAGAATGGATTTGTGCACGCTGGCTACTGCATACCTCATAATGCCGGGATCGGCACGGCGTGGGGAGATCGCCTGTCACGGGACTGCACCCTCCAAATTTTCAAGGGAAGTTGTGGGGCCGGATACTTCTTGGCAAGGGGTGAGTACAATATCACAGACGGTTCCGAAGCCGCGCACACCACGAGGCAACCTAACAGCAAAGACGGCAACAGATCACGATAGACACTGAGGAGACTCTCGGTTCTCTTCAGAAATTATATGGTAGCTTCGTTTAACGACTACTAGAGACAAATCAAGAGTATGCGCGCCAATCAAATTTTGGAGGGTGTCCAAAGCAGCTAAAGCGCTTTTGAAAAAAAAAAAAAAAAAAAGAAAGAAAGAAAGAAAGAAATAGTATTTGTCATTTCGATAAACCTCTCTCAATGGTTTCTACCGTTACTAATTGCACCAGTCATTCATACTCTTTGTTGGGGAGGGTATACTAGAAACGGTAGCGTCATATATAGTACATGTATTTTCACAGGAAATGCATTTGATATTCTCAGGGACCGGTGTCTCCATCCTCAAAATGTGGCGGAAAACTGTTATGAATGCAATAAACGCACAGAAGGCTCTGCTCCTCCTCAAGCGGTAATACTTATATCTTGAAGCTCCAATGGAATTTGTTTATGTAGATTGATAAATGATTCGCGATTGTCCTTGACGATTTCGTATCGAGCTTCGAGGTTTTTCATGCTGACGGCGCGGACCAAGGGGATAATGATATACATCACAAGCACAAGCATGTATATTGCATTATATATGCAATATATCACACCGACGACACTGGCAACACTTTTGAGTCCGCCAAAGATATCCGAGAAAATAAGGACGCAGATGGAGTTCAAGAATTGGAGGACAGCTGTCGTAATAGCGCGGCGATTCGTGCTTCCATCTATGCAAGGGCGAATCCAAATTGTGACACCCATCATAATAGCATTGATGACCACGAGAATAATGGCTTGTTTTTTGGGAACAGACTGGCTGGCTGCGATAGTAAGACCTTCCGTTACGATGTATAATTGTTGTATGGCGGAGAAGTAGTAGGCGTTTGCTCTATAATGTATGTGCAGGAGTATCGACTTGGATCCGATCATTCCCGAATACAGGACGTATGCTGGCGTTATGTCCAATTTCCGAGCCCTTTGAACACGGAAGATAGTAGTACCTGTAGTCCACGCCAGAGATAATATGAGCCCGGTCCACCAGGTTACAGCCAGGACGACTATCCCACTAGAATCAATCTGCGAGAGCTCCCAGAAGCCAAAAGACGTTATTGAAGGGAGAGCAATAGCCAGGAATCGGAAAACCAGGGCCCGGTCAGCACGCCGCAGGCACATTGAAGCGTCCTCCAGGCATTGGGGGAGCTTATTGAACTTTTTAAGAATACGGCACCCGAGTTGGAATGCTGCCAATACCGCGAAGAGCGTGAGCCCGACGAATATGAATGAGGAATAAGAGGTCATGAAAATATTGCTAGGCTCAATCCCGGCTCGGTAAGCCATTCGATTGATTCCTTTCACGATGATCTCACTCCTGTCTGACCCGTCCGAGGATGCTCTTCTGAGTAGACTTCTGCTGGGAGTGCGATCATTGGCAGAAAAGTCCCGCTTCTCCACAACCACCGAGATCATATTTGAATCTTCCACGATGGTAGATGGAGTGCCTCCTGTTGCACGTAAGTACCACGTACTGAAAGTCTGTTGAAAACCAAGATACACGATACCCAAAGTCCATTGGAAAGTCTGTGTCCATGACTGCGCTATAGGTGGTAGATTGACTGAGCAGAGGCCAATCATTGCCTGCAACTGCATAAAATCCAATAAAGCCAGTGATGAGAAAGATAGGTGGGTGGCGGTATTAACAAGACCTTTGATCGAGGCAACGATGGATCCGATCAAACCAGCACCGATAACGACGGCAAGAACCCATGAAACTGCGGCTTGATACACCGTGTGACCATTGGAAAGATCAGCCGACAGACAAGATAGACTTGTTCCTGTCGATTGATCGTTGACGTACACAAGGACCGTAGCGTCCAGGTCTGGCACAGTGTAACCAATGCCTTATAAGAAGCACGATGAGCCTATAAGAATCTTACAAAGGATGAAGGCCATACTACTAACCAGGAATTGCTGATGCGATTGATGACACATTCAAGCTCGCCTGGGGTAAGTCAATTGCACCAGATGCCATTGGACAAAGACTATCCAGGCCCAAATCACACAGACTAATTGTCTCGTTTAGAATCTCATATCCATAGACCAATATGACGATATCAGCTGCGACATTGCCTGATATACCAAGATAGCCAGTGAAAGCAAGGTCGAGCATCCCGGATCGTGACATTTTGGCATCAAAGTAATTCACACTAATAGCCGTGCTAGAGCTACATTCGGCAAGTGCAGTACTTGAGATATAATCTTCAGCAAGGGCAACCTGAGAGACAAAAGCTAAGTGTATAAAAAAAAAAAGCATCCATATTGAATACATTATGAAGCTTGTTGAAATATAGAAACTGCGCGATCGATATAATTCGAAGGAAAGGGAAAATAAATGGACCGTAGAAAAAGTAAAGTAGTAAAGAAATGAACTAGATTTTCCTAATCGTACTATTTATGGACATGAAATCTCGGTTGATACGTAAGTTTAGTGACTGCATAAAGGATCGGATTCCGAATACTACTAATTCAAAGTAGACAACAATATGGTCTTTCATGCGGCAGTGGCCATTGTAGACAGCTGTCTGGTCTCAGTAATCAGACCGGACAACCAGTCAATTTCTAAAGCACTACATTTGTGGGACTGCCAGTTTGGCCCTTTTAATGCTAGCCAAACTTGCCGCGTTACTGTAGCGAGTACGGGTAGAAGACAATAGGTAAATTGACAGAAGAATGTCATAGTTAGCCCCATATTTTAGTTTTGAAGTAACCCGAAGCAGTTGGTGGGGAAACTAACAAAAGTCAAAGAGGAGGTTGGAGAGATTGAAAGTCGGCGATCGGGAATTCGGCACTCCGAAGTTATGTGAGGACTATTTTTGTGCAGAGTATATTTGACTGAGCCCGTTTCAGAGTTTGACAGAGCTCTAGTACTTAGTTATTAAGTGGATCTTACCATCATGGCGATCCACTGCCCAAACATCCTCTCTCTGAGCACTAGGCTTATTTGATTCCTTCCCACCATATTTCCGGCTCCTGACATATTAGTGAGAGGAAGGGGAGGGCTTCTGTACCCGAGGAATTGTGTCTTGCTCCTCTTTTGGACTTTACCGATCAGATAGGCTCTTTAGCCTTGGGTGATAGATCAATGGCGTAATTTTGGCAATCGCCGATTGAGAAAAGCGCATAAATATACTCCAGTTGAACCCGGTAAGAATGTTAGTATGATGGGACCTTGGACAATCCGAATTTCTTGATTCTTCTGCTTATATTTAGATGATTAATATATTACCTTGTATGACTTCCTTCTGCCTCAATCACTGCCTAACATCTAAATCGCATAGACTTAGTTAGGTCTTTTTGAAAGTCTACAGGTACTGCATCCCAGGAAGCCCGTACAACCTCTCGGAGAGTATCATTAGATAAGTATCGATTATCTTGGTATCTCTTTTGAATATAATCTTTCATCCAGTTTCATACCATCGTCATAGGATTCAGATCAGGTGAGAAAGCAGGCAAAGTAATAGGATAGATACCACGCTCATGAGAGTCTTTTATAATATCTTTAACAGAATGGCCAGGAGCTCCATCATGTATAAGATAAAGATAGTTATCTTGCTGCCGATTCAAACGTATATAGCCATCAATAAAAGTACAATGCGTTCACAGTAGCTTTCTGCATTGATAGAACCCCATTCCTTCTCCCGGAAAAGACAAGGACCTTCTGAATCTCCATGAAACGATCCCCAAAACATCCAAACACGCTTCCTTGGAGAATAAGTACGAAGATGGGATGGGTCTCTTGCAATTCTTCTACTGCCTTTCTAGTAACCCAGATTCGGGCACGAAAGCCTGAACTAACCTAACTCCCATCAGACCAGAGAATTTGATACCATTGTTCATGTTGTCCAATTCATATGATCTAAGGCCCAGGCAAGACGTACACGTTTATTTGCGTTTGTTGGGGATGGCTTTCTAGGAGCTTCGTATGGAGAATAACTTCGATTTTTAAAGTGCTAGATCAAGTGCAGTCTCTGCACAGGGAAGATTGAGTTCTTTGACAACTTGTTTATAAGGTAGACGGAGTGTACGTTTCGACGAAGTTATGAATCTAAAGATGATATGTATATCTTCTTCGGGTTCTTAGCACGCTGGCCAGGGGGCTTTTGAGGTGTTGATTGCTTATCCTGACACGTATATTGTATTTAAGGATAGGTAAATCAAAATTGTACAGAAATTTGTTGGTAAGTAAATCCTGCATCTTGTTAAGTAAACACACGAATCCTATCCTCGCTGCTAAGCTATGTAGACTTCGGAGGCACCTCCGGAGTGGTACTAGGTGTATTAGCAGTCATATTAGCAGTTTCTCACCACCATGAGTCTCAGGAGAATGGTCATCTAAGAGGCCTTACTAGCTTCAGAACTAGACTAAGTAAGGAAAGCGGTGTTTAAATTAATCTCACCGCCTCCAGGGATTCGAATCCTTGAAGATACTATCATACTATAATTCTAACTGGGGTCAATCGGAATATATATAACAGCAGGAAGAAATATCTTGAAAGCTTACCATTATACATACCACCGCAAAGAGATGTGGCTGTGAAATAGCACAGATAGTCCTTTAGATAGTAGGTGGTGACAATGGGCTATTCCGGAATCCTAGTTATATCACTGTACACGTGGATCTTACCACGATAGTTCTGTGCTTGCCGTCCTCAGCACTAGGGGATCCATTCCATTAGCGCTATCCAAATGAATCCTCCTTCCCAGGATGATCTTGCTGCACAGTACATAACTTTTATGGATCGGAAGATCGGTGCTCATAAGGCCCGACGCCGGCAAAGCTCGGCCTCTTTCCCCCTTTTGGGCTAGACGAACTATTAGCGTTGTGGGTCTTGACGGTTATAAACCGGGATGCACTAATACAACTAAACTTCTGCATAAAAGCCTAATGTAACGGTCACGGATAAAAGCCTCTAGATACGGGACTTTTCGAGCCAGTATAGAACGAACAGAGAGTGCATGCTGCATGAGTTATTATATCCGGGCTTCACTGTATCCCAGAAATGAAAGCGGGGTGGGAGAGCTCTGTATATGATCCTTACGCCTGACACGTCTGAATGTCAACTTTATCCTGGGTACTGGGTCAAACATGGCCGCAATTTCTAGGAAAATACGTTGAATATAGCATGATAGATAAAACCAGTTAGACTGGCGTTGAGTACTTACTAGATGTAAATTAGCTTCATCTTCAGTAGGTAACTGCAATCCTTCAATACCTCCAGAAATAAGTATTCCTTTACATGATGAGCATAAAGCTAGTTCCAGGCCATATTCGGTTGTAACTGAGAAGCTCTTATATATATATATATATATAGCTCGGAAAAACTGGGGCCAGTTTGAACTATAATCTTAATCAACACAAATGATACCGTCTTAAGGAAGCTCCTATGGACTTTGGCTACTTGCGATCCCGGTAATCTACGCGGACAGTAGAGTCACCTAAATCGGTTTTTTGAACTTCGCGAGCTTGAGCTTTAGGAAAGCTCCCTGCTTTTTCTATCTCACTCATCCTGCCTGGTAGTCAGTCGACTTTGCTTTTCCATTTCTGCTTGAAGATTATAGGTCGTTAACATTTGCAGATCGAGCGAGCAAACTATTTCCCATGCTAAGTAATCATGGTTTCCTCCAGATTTCGTTTTCAAGCCTAGAACGCATGGATCGCCGTTGGCCAAAGTGAACCAGAAGCTTGGAAAACAGAATAAAAGCGGAAAGACCTGTAATGGTATTGCTATGTTCGCCGGTCAAAATCCCAGCGCCAGCATCAGAACACGCCAGTTCTGGAGCCGGAAATTAATTTAGGAACGGGCCCCGGCTAATAAAGCTTTCGCACGAGCCGACCATTCCTCACAGGCAGCACGACGTTGCCCAGCGATGCTGAAAAAGCGTTCCTCCGGCGGAATAAACCCGACATAGACCTCATCATCACCCTTGGCTAGACCAGCCCAGGCTTTATCTGTAAATTCTTGCAAGGGCATTCTCATTTGGAGAGTGTTTCCTCCTTTCCCAAGGTAATCGTGTAGTTCGGCTTTGTATGTCTCTTAGCATATTGCCTCGACTTGGGCACGACAGATTTGAGAGAAGGGAAAGGGAGTAAGAATTATTGACTTACTCTGAACGGCTGGAGGAAAGACTTCAATCACATTAACATTAGACTTAGCGTCCTTCAATTGAGTACGAAGACACATGGCGAAGGTATTTAAAGCCGCCTTTGATGCGCAATATCCAGGCAAGGAGACTGCGGGAACGATCGCAAGATTAGATTGAGTACTGTTTCACGCTGTTAGCTCTATTTCACAGCCAGATGATCAGGGAGCCTCTTACAAGATCAGACCTGTTGCAGTTGACCTCCCCGACAGGAAAGGGAGAAAAGCGGTAGCCAGAGTCACAGCAGCGGTGTAGTTCACATGCATAATCTGATGGTACGTGACTAAATCCACGGTTTCGGGAGATGTAAAATCGGTCATGCGTTGGAAGCCAGCATTTATGAAGACACAGTCAATATCGGGGTGTTGGCGCGTTACGCTAATCGATAAATTTGCGGTTAGGCTGGGCACGTATACGAACTGCGCTCCACAAGGTTGACTTACTCAGCCACAAATTGAGGGATGGCATCGAGTTTGCTGATGTCAAAGACCACGCTATATGCTTTTTCAGGACCGTTTTCTTGTACCCATGCGTCCAGACGTTCCTTGCGTCGGCCCACGGCTGTTACTCTGATACCATGTTCTAGCATCTTGTTGGCCATAGCAAGTCCAATGCCAGAGGTAGCTCCGATGAGCAGGACATGTTTGTAGGGGAAAGTCATCATCTCAAGCTTGTAGAGTTCCAAACTTCCTTGTGGGTATATCTGATTGTGGGAGATGTTAAGAGCTTGAGGGACACCTCGGAGCTAGGCGTTGCTAATTTATATTTAAGTTTTAAAATGCATACGGCTCTAATTTTTAAGAACCCAAGATTTTATGCTTTCGTCGCGGGATATTACGTAATTGGTTATACCTTGGTTGCGGTCAAGCTTTAGCGAGATCTCACTTGGTGAAATTGATATCGGAGCCCGGAGTTAACGCATTTAGCGGAGATAATGAAGGTTCATGGGATGGGGCCTGGTTACATGAATTCTAATGCTGATCGCTTCAGGGATAAGACCATATGACAACCATCATGGATTTTCGTGCCCAATGACAACATCCGCGCGTAACAGGGTAACTTACTCCGTATTGATCTGCCATTTACTTTGGTCAGCTCCGGTTAGAAAATCGATTCTACTTGAACACAATACCTCCCATCCTCGCCGTTTTTCGGAATTCTACCTTGAACCAAATAATCATTAACATTTTTGTTCAAGATATTTTCCTTCTTCCCCTCAGGCATTGGAGAAGCCATTCGTCATCATGCTTGTTAATTATGACGACGATGTTATTCTTCTTACTTGTGCAAGTGGCAAGCAATGTTCCAAGCTGATTCCTCTTCTCTACAACAAGTGGAAACAACTGCGGCTCGCTGTGAATAGTGCTGCGTCGGAAGAGTGCCTGAAGGCAATGTATCCTAATGCGACCGTTGTGCGAGCGGACATGGCTCGTATTGACGATGCGCGGCGTCTACTGTCGGGGGTAACCAGTATTCTTTACATAGGACCGTCTATTCACAGTCATGAAACTGAAATTGGATATAACATGATCGACGCTGCACGCAATGAATTTGAACATGGTAATCTTAAGCACTTTGTTTACTCGTCTGTGCTGCATCCGCAACTTCGCAAGTTGCCCAATCATGATTGCAAGCGTTATGTTGAAGAGTACCTGATTGAATCCGGACTCAACTACACTATTATCCAACCAAGTCATATCCTAGATCAGTTTTCAGTTGACAAAGTACTGCAATCACGAGAACCTGTCCTCCCTGTCAACTTCGATCCGCAGGTCACATTCTCATTTACGGCCCTGCAGGATCTTGCGGAAGCATTCGCGTGCATCCTCGAGGAGAGAGGGAGGCATTACCTGGCACAGTATACTGCTTGCTCCACTAGACCAACCTCCTATGCCGACATTGCAAGGATGCTGGGCGAGCAAATCGGCAAGTCTATAGAGATCAAGCAGGAGGACTACTTCACAGCCGCAAACTGGTTTCAAAACATGTTTCGTGCGAAGAACGGTGACGTGCCACCAGCTACCCGTGATGCAATCCATCGACTGCTGCTCTACTACAATTTTTATGGAATCAAAGGCAATCCGAATGTGCTAGCGTGGTTGATTAAACGAGAACCCACCACTATCAAGGATTTTCTCCATCAGCGTGTCTCGGAATTTTGGGCATCCAAATAAGTACGTTCAAGTTTGACAACAATCGCGAAATTATGAGGTGTATTTCCCATAGCTTTATACCCGATTAATATTATATAAAGATGCCAGTATCATTCTATACCATCCTGATATTGGGAATAGTTCTATAATATAAATAGTCGAAGCATTCTCTTGAGCATGTTTATTGTATCTTGATTATAGTACTTCGTCACTAGTGTCCAGCTATTGAGCTTCAACCAAGTCTTCTTCCTGATCTAATAGAGTATGCCTAACTTAAATCAGGAAATTTCTTCGACGTTCAATACTGGTATTTTCCTACAGACTATTTATTCATGTTCATAAGAAAACGAATACCAAGCTCTACTGCAAGGAGCAAAACATTTTCATCTTAAAACTGACTAAAAATAGCGCACAGATTCGTTACTTTTTACAAAAATAACTACAGATACCTGGGATTTTTGACAATTAATTTGCAACCATAATAACTTGAGTAGCACGATACTGCGACTGTCTGCAGCGTCTAGGAAGGTCATAGTAAGGGTAATTATACTATAGTCAAGATGTAAGTATAAATTGACTTTGTAACCAGTTTATAATGTTAAGGACTCTTTCCCTTTACAGCTCGTCCTGAAACGTACTTAAATATAATATTTGTTGAGACATTCACTGCAGCCAGGCAGCTGTCAGCTGATCCTTCGCCTCTTCTTCCTGCGTGGCCTCTGACCACCACCTCTTCCAATCACCAACCATCTTCTTGAGATCTAGATAGATCAAATCCATATATCTTTGACCCTTATCTTGACAATATTCACACCGTCGTTGAACATCTGGACCTCTTTGTAATTGCTGCAGCAGTACTATTATTTGCGGTGTGTGTGCAAGAGTATTGTATCAGGGTACCGGGAAGAATGTGCTGCATCCCTAACTTTTATACTACCTCGTATGCGCAATGACCCCGAGCTAAGAAGAGTGAGATATGATCTGTTGAATCAACGTTTCGGGTAGTTGTTGAAGTCGCAACACGCTTGAGATCTTGCTATTTAGGCGCGCTCGGAAGGAGCGGTTAAGGTTGATGTTGAAGATCACGTGACCATGGATACTAGTAATGTACTGGCATTACGTTGCAACATGATCTGCAGAACAATCCGGTTACCATTTGGCTATTCCGGATTCGTCCCGACAATCCGGAAATCCTGGGCCAATTCGGTAGTTAGCTGTTCTAACACTGTGGGGCGCGGATTTAAGAGTAGACACCCCCGAATTTCCGGTGGTTCCCCCCCCTCTTGAAGAAATAGCTAAGTTACGACCAGAGGAGTAGCCGAGGTGAGTTCCCAGTCCGCACACCAGGCGGTGATCTGAAAGCTGCAGTGGTACTAAAATGGTTATCCGTCTCAAGATACCAATTTGTGCTTTAACTCGTGGTCTCCCACAAATAAATGAGTACTTATTGTCTCGAATATACTCTCTTAAGTCAAATTATTATCAATATGCTCTTATTCATTCGCATTTCTTACAGGCTCACAAGATCTGATAGCCTGCAATAAAAATACAAGAGGTACTACCCGTGGTAGGAATTACGTGTCAGAGTTGACAGCCTGTCAATTAGGTGGAAAATGATGCACTAATGGAACCCAGTAGATTAATGATGGAGGACAATGTAGTCTAGTTATATCCAACAATAGACTGACTGGGATCAGTAGCTAGCCGAGGAGCTACCCCCGTAACTACTATAACAGCCACGACTCTCACTTAGAAGTGCTCTTAGGTTGGCATGGCTTGGTGCGTCCAGCCATGATGTCAGCAGCCGTTGTGAACCATTACCGACATATTCTATCACATTACCATATTGTGTCGCCCTACAAGGTAAATGCAGATTGTCTATTTACCCATTGCTTCGCCCCACGATATGTGCAATTGTAATCCATATACTCAGCAGGACTCCTGATAAACATACCAGTTAGCACAAAAATAAGAGAACTAGGACCCGGAAATACATACATAGTAACTGTCTTTTCATCTTTGACTGTACCGGGCTTAGCTGCCTGTCGACTGCCTTGCTGGATGAGACTGACTCTCCCATAGCGGCAGCAAAATATCGCCTATCGTATCCATAATTAGTAAAGCAACACACACGGGGTAGGTTTGAATTACATTGAATATATGGTCCAATTGTCTCACGGATAGTGCTTCTCCAACATCCTCGAAGAAAGCACCCAGAGCTTCTGCATCCTCAATTGCCTGGCTCGCGCCCTGTCCTTGAGTTGGTAGCATGGGATGCGCAGCATCCCCAATGAGAATAACGCGCCCCCGAATCCATGTCTTCAAAGGATCCTATATGCTGTCAGAACTCGACCACGAAGGATAGTGTGTCAATCATACTCACCATATCACGTAACTGCCATAGTCCGATATCTGGTGAGTGTCTAAATAATAATGATTAATATCATTTCAGCCAACAAGACGAAACATTCTTACTTGAATATGCTGGTCACCCAATCTGGGAACTCCGCAAATGTCTCCAACATCTTGACCAGACTTCCTTCTGAGACCCATGATTGCCCGGAGTCCTCGTTCATCCTCTCTGTACGGTTCTATCAGTGAGCAGCTTGGTGTAATAGGAACAACTACTTACCATCTGGAACCAGTGCTGTGACAGCATACACGTCACCTTGTCTGCCTGGACCCATGACGAGTCGACAGTTATGTGCTACTATCATGGATGTATATGAGTGCCGGGGATTGATTCTACTACAGAACTGGGGTTCCTCTTCCTCGAGGACTGCCGAAGGTATCTAAAATTGCCTTTTTTGAGCACTGTTATATCATGCGATGAACCCAATAGAAGGGCTTACCATGAGACGATAAGCTGTTCTGGGCTGTCAGCAAAGCTCCGCATAAAATGACAAAGGGGCGGGTCCGAGCATACCGGAGGTTCCAGTCGGCATAGGCGCAGGCTCGTCGATGAGCACACATTCTCGCAACACACTATGGCTAATATCACAGTCCTTTCTTAGAATTACATGATCTGGGACACCAAAAATATCTGCCAACTTACATCCCATCTGCGCCGATAATCACATCGGCCGTTAAAATCTCGCCAGTCTCAAGAGTCACATTACCCTCATGCGGGTCGCAATTAACAACTCTCGAAGCCACGCGAATAGTCGCCGGGTCTCCCCTTCTATTGGGACATCTCGCGGCTGCCTTGAGAGCATTATGTAGATCATTACGATGCCAAACGATCCGATCACCGCCGTATTCGGTCTTGGAGAGCAGCGGAACCTCGTTAACCAGCTTCCCGTCCACATCGTAGATTCGGAAGCCCTCATCAACTAAGCCACGCGCTTGTTCCAACTCTTTGTCAAGGCCCCAAGTCTTTTGCAAAATTTGGGAAGCATTGGGCTGCAGTGATATCAATGCACCGATTTCATGATTCAGGCGGGACTGTTCTAGAACTGTGATTCTTCGATTTGGAGCGCGCAAGGCGATCGCGGCTGCAAAGCCTGCAATGCCGCCACCAACAATGATGATTCGCAGTTGATCACTCGCTGGCATCTTGGGGCAAAATAAGTGCTGAGATTTAGTTCTTTGACTAAGATCCAAGTAACCAAAGGTCTTCCATTTTGTATTGTAAGCTTCTGAGACTACAATGATGGCACCTCCACATTTCCGCCAACAACTCGCCCACTTCGGATTCGGCATTGAAAAACACCGCTGCCTTCCAAGAAGAGTCGCTCTCGTAACCATCGAAGTGGTTGTAGCCACTTAGAATTCCCAGATGTCACATTTGCCTGTTTTTCTTGGTCCGCTCGCAGCCGTATGGCGTATCCGCCCACCTGAAAAGTGGGCGAGGTCCCAGCGTCAGAATTTAGCCGAGCGCCAATTCAGATTGAAATGATTGTTTTGGATACTAACGACTCCGCACTTTGCTTTTTTCTTTGCTTTTCGAACTACATTCCCCAGCGATTTGACGATCCCAAGTCCCAAATCATGCCAAAACGTAATCAGCGACAACATATCTTAAATTGACCGGCAGTCTTTCCCCCTGCGTCTTTTATTAAATCGCGTCAATACCATTGAAAGATGGGCCTGGGATAAACAAAGCTAATATTTACCTTGAGAACCTTAGAAAAAAGCACTGGTGATTGTGATGTACAGACTATATAGTAATGACATTCATTATAAAGTGTAAGTCTCTAAGACGACACATAACGGAAGCCGCGAGCCATACACTTTAGTATACATATGGTCAACGCGGTGATAGCTTCCACGAATAATCAAATAATGAAATCAACCCAGCGCATCACTCGGAGATTCGGCCTGGGGAACCCCGGATTCTGTTTTTTGGACTGTAACTGGAAACGTTGTTGTTCGAGCTGATGAGCGCGGTACCGGCCAATCACCCGGTATATCAAATGTAATGTCTCGTGGTACTGATCATGCATACTTAGAAGTCATCGAGTGGTGTGCCAAACAATGTTAATCTAGAGAAAATATTAGACTTTTCAGAATCAGTTATTAAGCTGGGACCCATTGGAGGGTAGCTGCAAGACGACAAAACGATCCGATAATTATGATCCCATGGAAGGGAATATCTGACTACCATTGTGACCGCTGCCGCTACGGAGCGATTCTATCGAACACCTTCAATAATTGGTGGAATCACTCAGTAGCTATAAACCAGTATGGGCGTCCAGAACGCGCCGCAAATAACTGGGGGCCCGGCACGATCAAGGGCGACCTGTCTGAAGAGGAACCGGAAAGGTACAGGAATAATCGAACAATTTATAATGCTAAATACTTTTTCCGTGGTGATCTTAATTCTTCCAGCAAGGATATACGTAGAGTAATATTTAGGTTCTGCTTCTATCTGTTTTAAACTAGGGGGGAACCCCTCTACATTTACGTGAACATCCTCGCAATCGTCCTTGGCTACCCCATTGAAAAAACTTCACCGTTGTGCAATCTATAACCCCAAGTAAAATCTGACTAGTTGATGTGGATATTTGGACCACGAACATTATTGTCAAATAGGGAAGCAAGATTGTCCTCGAGGTTTCCTCAGGTGACACCCAAGGCTGCGGCTTGTTCAAGCACAACCAACCTTCTGACCACTATGCTTGGAAATCTCACCTGGAGACCTGTCACGACTTATTGACTTTTGTTCCTCTTTATATGGTCTGAGAAAGCTGCAGGTCAGAACAGTTTGCACTTTGGTGATGGTATTGAGAATTGTGTGACTGCCAATCATTCCACCGGTCAGAGGGAGGATGTCCATAGCGACTGAATGGCTTCTAAGATATCATATACTGAAGAAAGGCTTTGGCCTCTAAGAATGTACCAGCGGCAACTAGACTTATGCTCAGTTATAAAGACTAGTAATTTGTATATTCGGACTTTCAATACCCGATTTCCTAGACTATTTGGAGTCAGTGCTATTCCAGAATACTGAGAACATGATAAAGTAGAGATTATCACCCCCCCCATTGTGGTAGTCTGTAGAATGTTTTGCAAGATCTAGGAAGTTGTTGATATTCATGCTGGTTAAAGTATCACGTCGTACTCCACATTTCACTAATTTCCAGTCTGCTACTCCATCTTACGATGACCTTACGAGAGTATATGAGGTGTAGAATGAAAGGACGTTTATTGTTCAGATCATTTGACCAAGGACTATACAGGCTTGAACATCATCGACTCATGAAATCTGGAAACATACAGGAAACGTCTCGGAATTCAACTCGTGTCTCCAACAAAAGGGCCACAGCATGTCCATCTCAAGCTCTTAAGCCCTGATGTAAGGAATACCGGTCAACTTAAAGGCACGCTCACCAAGAACAGGCTTGTGAACAGGTTCCAGACGGTTGACTGGACAATCTTTCCCATCACGCTTGGCAACTATAGGTGCAAATTCCTTAGCATTGGGCCAGTGACTGGTCATACGCCAAGTGAGAAAGGCATTCTTCTTTCTCAAGAGATCTTCCTGTGTGGCAGATGAGACGGGCATATAGCAGGTGTAAATGCAGAATCGAGCCTGATCACTCGAGGGACTCAGGTTATAATGGGGGGTACGAGAGTCCCACAGGAGCAAGTCACCAGGTTGGGCATCAATCTTGACCCACTCGCAGCCATGATCAGCAAGCCATTTCAGGCCAGCTTCGGTGTACCCAAACCATTCAGTCGTCCATGCTGGAATACGAGGCTCATCCGCAAATTCTCGATGAAAGTCATCCGAAAGAAGATGAGCACCCTTGCAGACGATCAATCCGCCATCTTTGGGTCCATTTGGGAGGATGTTGACAAGGCCTTGCAGACAACGGAATCCCGACTTCTTGGGATCCTGATCTTGGTGAGGCCACGGCTTGTTGGGGGGCATATCCTTCCGGCTTGGGTGTTGTTAGCGCCGAACAGAAGGGCTTCAAAGCCACAGTGAGTTTAGAGCCTTACTTTGGAAGTGCGAAATTCACCGCGTCGAAAGAGACAATCAGATCCTTATCATCGTAGACCTTCTCAAACGCTTCAATTACCCCGGGCTCGCTTCTAATATTCCAGACGAAATCTTCATGTCCAATGCAGTAGTGCATACACATACCCTTCTCGTTAATAACGGGAAGGGTGGCCTTGGAGACAGTTGAAGGGTCGTCACGCTTGTAGCCAAGCTCGCTAGGCAAATGATTAGCTCGATAGCGGCCAGGCTATATACAAGACAATTGAACATACAATCCTTCCAGATAGGAATACATATCCTCTGTATATTTGAGAGCTCTCTCACGTGGCACAGCGCCCTTCACAACGGCATACCCATCTCGGGCAAGGTCATCTCTGAAGTCTCCCCACTTGGGGTCCAAGCCATCCAGACGCATGGCATTGGGGCCACCAAGACTAGGTCGGTCCAGCTTAGTAGTAAGCTCTGGTGCCTGAGTGATGGTTGTAGTGGTAGACATGATGATCTTGATGGTAAGTCACTGGAAACGTCGGCGGTTGACCTGTCTGATTTAATCTTGTTCAATCGCACCTAATGTGCCACGACACGAGCTTAAAATCGATCGCATCAGGTGTGTAATATTCTGAGTCTCAAGGATCCGATGACCAAAACAGCACCAATTATGCACGCATCTGCCTACTGCAGTTGAGCATGCACTATATTGTGGGCGCCATGGTGTGGAGGTGGAGAGAGTGGGCGCCCACATATTCCCCCCACCCGGCCGAAATCATCGACGCACTGGTTGAGGCGTCCACATTAGTACGTATAACCATAATCATGATGTGGCCTATTAGCTTAAGCCAGCTTAGAAGTCGGAATATCCGGTGATTGCTTGAGGCTGTTGGATTCCGGCTTTTCCTCGCACTTCTTCGAACTGCCGAAGTGCGGGGACGCTGGCGCACGTGGCCTTTCGAAAGATCACGGGACGCGCATTGCGGGCCGATGATGGGTTTCGTATCTCAACCTTGGGCGATAGTTCACCATCGTACGCAGTTCAAAGCATGGCAAATAACCACAAGAACTCGTCATCGACCTCCGGTCCGTACCGTTGCATTCATTGCGACAGGTGCTACGAGCGTCAGGATTACTTAGCTCGGCATCTCGACTCGCATAGCAACAAGCGTAACTTCCGGTGCCAGATCTGTAATCGTGGGTTTAATCGCCGGTATGTCTGTCTGTTATAGTCAGTCCAGTTTGGTCTGACTCCAGGTCTGGAGGGATGTTTTGCAACGCCACCAAACGCTCCATGGCAATATCTCGGCAGACGATGAAATGTCCATCAAGCGACGGAAGGACCGTCTTCCTGGAATTTTAACTGACTGTGGGTCGAAGGTGAAATCAACGTACCCCTAAAAAGACTAACATGCATGCTCACTCCGCGAATACTGATATCGAGCTAGGCTGCTGAACCAGAGCGAAGCTCGAAGCGTCAACAGCGATCTACGCCCCATGTTCGTCTCGCCGAAGTGTCGGGGTTGTCGCCAGAGACTACGACGTATGCTTGCCCGCGACCACAAATATCGAGCGAGAGACAGCGTATCATAAATGACGTATCATTGCAGTTGCCGGTTGGTCCAGAACGCGAAGGCCTCTCTATGGCACCAGCGAACTCTGTGCGTTCAACGACAGATCTTGCTAGTGCAAATGTACCAGTTCAGTCACCGACTGTTGATCCTAACATCTTCACCCAACAAGGCCAACTGATGGAGATACCTTTACAAACCAGCCCTAATGGCTGCCCCGCATTTTTCGAGAATGCCATGCTTCTTGACCTCGAAGGAGCTGGGACTGGACATGACTCTCACCAAACGTGCCCTGATATGTTTGATCTACTTCCAGACTTTGATTCCGGAATTGTGGGAAATAGCCTGTTTGGAGAGAACTTTATTCCAGACTTGGAACAGATTGTACAAAATGACTTTTTGCTTCCTGTGCAAGAGAATGAACATCACTTAGAGCGTGAGTACCTCAACTCTACTAAGAGAAGGGTATATGCTTTCCAGCGTTCCTTTTGGTGGGTCTACAACTCCAGGCCCGAATTTGGCTTAACCCAAAATTCTCATAATGCTTTAACAGGAATCTTTTCCAGGAAGGTTCGCAAAATACTGGCAATGGGGATACTAGGTTGGTAGGAAGTTCAGAGCTTGAACCCTCGGTTTTATCACCTCACTCCATCCCGAGTAATCTCACTTTTCACGAGAAACTCTCATCGCGATTAAGGGATGAGCTCTTCCGACTCATCGTTAAAACTGGGGATGATACTTTATCAATACCAGAGCTTCCTACTGTTGATCACCTCGATATCCTCATCAAGATCGGCCTAGCAAAGAAGGTCGACATCAATCCATGGATTCATCTTTATACCTTCTATAGCAATAGCCCAAGACCGGAACTCATCGCGGCTCTGGTGTCAACAGGGTGCATCTCATGCTTGACCCCCACAATGAATAAGACGGGTATAATTATGCAGGAAGTTGTCCGAGTGGCATTGCGGAATTTGGTATGTTCCTATCTTATGCAGTCAGGGATACATGAAGGTCGAATTCTGATGTCTCGAACCGATACTTAGTCCGAAGCAGATATTGAAGTCACACGAGATCTTCAATATTTGCAAGCATCCATGATGTGGCTGGAAATTGGCTTCTCGTGTGGTTACAGGAGAAATATGCGTATGACCGAAGGTGCCCTTCAAGCTCTGGGTATAGTAAGTTCATAATGCTGGGTTCGATGATTCCTAGGCTAATCGCATTTTAGGCCTTGCGTCGATTAGGGGCCTTTGACTCATCCTCGTATAAACCCATCAATCCGTGTGAGATATCTGATGACGATGCAAGTACCCTGGATTATATATGGAAGCAGTGGATTAAACAAGAATCATTCAAGAGGTGAGTATGATTGTTCCTGATATTTTGATCCTTCCATTTCACCCTAACGGCGCTCGACTAATATCTTCCAGATTGGTGTATTACTTTTTCTGCCATGATATAGAGGTGGCAGCAGCGATGAATCAGCCGCCGACAACATCATTTGCGGAACTTACTCTTTCTTTACCAGCAGCACGAGACTTATGGCTGGCTCCAACGGCAAGCACTTGGAAAGATATATGGACGGCCAGATATCAACCACCAAGACCAGAAATAAGTCTGAGAGACCTGCTATCAGATCCTACTCTTTTAAGGGATCTTCCCATGCATTTGGATAACAGGGTTGCAAGTTCGGCCCTGCTGCATGGGCTATTAGGCAAGGCCTGGGATCTAAGGCAGCAGATGTTGCTTGGTCGTCGTAGCGCATCTAGACAGCCGGCCCGTAAACTGCTATTGCTGCAGAGCAGACAGGAGGATCTGTGAGTCACTTTCCATTGAGAACTAATCCTCGAAGCTAATGGTCCCTTAGCTACACAGATCTTCAGCAAATCCGGGATGCTCTTGTGGACTCGCCTCCTCTGACTACCCTTATGGCCGAGTTCAGCATAATGTATCTGCACATTGACATAGATGCTTTACAACGTTTTGCCGGCAAACTGGGCGAAGATATGGCAAGGCAAAGCTATCCGGACCTACGTGATTGGAGCATGACTCAAGATGCTCGTATTGCCGTGTGGCATGCTGGACAAGTCTTTCGTGCTGTGCACCGTGTTGGCCCTTACCAACTACGGGGCTTTGATATCTTCGCTATTTACTACGCATCCCTCACCCTCTATGTATATGGACTGCTCGTTTGCGCCCAAAAAAAGTCAACAGAGGCTGTCGAGACCTGGAAGACAGAAAAATCTGCCCTTGTCTTTCTCGATGGTCCCAGTAGCCGAGCGACGGAATCTTTCGTTGCGCACAATCGGGGTCAACCGGTGTTGACATACATAGCAGGTCCCGATGCTGAAGCAGATAGAACTTTCTGTAGTCTCCAACAGCCTCGCCTAGTTATGCGTGTCGCTTTACAAGTTCTGAACAGCAACTTCTCAAAATTATCATCGCTCGGCCCTGCAAACAATCCTATTCCACCCCTGGTCATGAATCTTCGAGGTCTTCTTCACGAGCTGGCGAACCTACCATGAGTGTATCGTCAATCTCTGGGTTAATGTTTCTATATATATAGAATGTCTTTATGTCAGTGACTTGACATCGAGAAATAGAAAATTTGCATCTATATTCACCTCGGGCACGGAGTCCGCTTTCAAGTAGTGTCTTTGCCAAGGTGCGAGATTTGTCGGATAATATATCTCAGAAAGAAGAAAACGCAAACATACCTAATCAAGGTACGACAACAGTTTCCATTTCATTCATACCCACTATGGCCCTTTATGCTACCTGGCAATGATTTGGCTTCTCGAGAACCGATGAGCTTTTAGGCGTTATGAGATGGTATTTATTCCAACCACCGCCTATGTGCATATAGGCGAGCGCAAGCTGCACCTTACGGCGGCCTAGAACAGTCCCTGAATACGTGATGACAATTCGTATCGTACGGTTCTCCCTGATGTACGACTGCATGGCCTGATCAACAGCAATATGTGGGCATTCAGTGCATCCACATAAGGAGGACAACGCCGCTAGATACGGTTCACCTATGCTCTCCTAGGTATAACCAAGCCAAGCTACTCAATATCACAGCGGTGTTTTCCAACTTCCAGTTATCAAGTGGATTTACTATTTTGTGGAGAAGAAAGTGGGCCGGACATTTGCGGGGATGGCGGAGATTCCCACTTTCCTTAGTGACAGTTTGCCCAGATCCACTTGCTGAGTGGGGATTATCTTCCATACTATTAAAGAATGTCCAACCACTGATATAGATGCAAAGCAATCAAGAAACTTCCCTAGTCTGACACACATGCTTTTCAATCAATCGAATTAACCATTACCCACGCCGAAAACCCCACAATGGCTTCGTCAACCCGTCCAGAGAACCATCTCCCGAAATTATCCAGATTCATCACCACCCACGATGACGCGGCATAGCAGTCTTCCACAAAGGCCAATCGGAAGAATTGCCTGCTCAAGTTATCGGAACTGGACAATATACCTTCGGTCTCGCATACGCGACCAACCGCTTCCCTGTCCTAATGCAAGAGGACGAAGACGTGAAAGTCTACTCGGAATACCTTGCCAATCCCCCAGGCTTGGTCAGCATGTCTGGAACGGTATGCCGCGTAGTCGATTTCGAACCATATTGTCAATGTGCGATGCACCGAACAGTGTCTCTGGACTACGGAGTTGTTCTTGAAGGCGAAGTTGAATTGATTCTGGATAGTGGGGAGACACGTTTGTTGCGCAGAGGTGATATTGCTGTGCAATGAGGAACAAATCATGCGTGGAAGAATGTAACGCCAAATAGGGAGGTGGATGGTCAGATGGTGGGAAGCTGGGCGAGGATGCTTTATGTTCTGGCTCCTTGCGAGCCTTTGCAGGTGATCAGAGGAATTCTAGGAGAGTCGGCTCGTGGTATTGGCGTAAGAGAAAGCTCATGAGATAGTTGGTAATTGTTGAAACTGTGTTATTGGAAGCGCTTTATGGTGCCATCGACCCCTATGATAATGCTAGCCGCCTGCGTGGCTTTTCTTATAATCATCACATGGGGTCTTTTATATATTCCCATACATTAAGAATGACTCGGTAGATTCTCAGAGATGATTAACTCATTCTCCTGTTCTGCCTTGGTAGCAAATTGAATGGTCATTATATGTCTGAGACTTCTCGACGATTGGTGTGATTATATTAATTTCTCTGAAGGGATCCTTATGTTCGGAGTAGGCTTATAGCATAATCTATGAGCCACTCACGGCAAGACAAGATTGCATACATCGTGAGGATGTGATGGGTGCTGTGGAGGAACGAATGGGTGGTGAATCTTGATTCATTGCTGACTAGCTACGTGGAATCAATAGAGAGACAAGCAAAAGGAAGGTAATTCATACTATAGAGAACCGTGACACATCGCTATGAACCCATAAGAGAGACCGACTTCATTGACTTATATACTTATATACTAGATAGTGAGAAAGCATGCTGGTCTGAATGGAGATGGCACCCTCGTCTCTCTTCTTCAGTTGAATACAAGAGGCATGTATAAAGTAAAGCTACCATCCGAGGAGGGCTCGAAGGGGCAAAGCAGTATCTGTGTGAGCCAAGGCAAGAAGATTGGTCTCGAGTGCTGGTGGTCCGCTTAAGATTGCTTGGCTTTTTCCTCCATATAACGCCGCCACTGTCTAATGGTCAGTGTCATTTCTCGATCAATATGAGAGCATCATGATAACATACCACGGGATTGAGATAGTAGACTGGAATACCAAGCAAGAAGATAAAGCCGGAAACTCCAGCCAGCATTCCCATGCCTGCTGCGTAGCTATACTTCTCGACCATCGGGGTGAGAGCATACGCAATGCCAAATGAGATCAGGTTTTTCGTCCCCACAACGATGACCAAGGCGGGACCTGTATTTTGATCCCATGCTTCGGCCGCAAATGTCGTTGAGATAATAAGTACGGCAACGAAAGCTACCTCGAAGATAGCCCAGGCCATGTACGGACCACCCCAGGTAGATCCACCACCAGCAGTAAAACCATAAAGTAGGAGGGTGAAGACCGTGACAACCCCGGGGGCAATCAGTAGCAGAAGACGGTGCTCCGGAGTATGAACGCCACCGGACCTCTTGGCCATTTTAATGATGAACCAGTCCCCAAAAAGTCCAGCGTAAAGGAGACCGCCAAAGCTGCCAAACACGCCACCAAGGTTGATGAGACCAACATTCTTCGCTTTCCACCCGTAACTCTGCAGGACATTGTCGTATGTCAGACCCATGCCAATCGAAGCAGCAAGGACAGCGGACGAAAGAAGGGTGGCGTAAATGATTCCCGGGGACGTCAGACACAGCAACATTCGCCACCAAGAGTTCAGTACAGTCTTCACGGGGGGATTCTTCACCCCTGACCAAGGCATAATCAGCTGCAGATAGGACTTCTTAGGGATCAACTCTTCAGCCTGATGGTTCTGATCACCCTCAGCGATATTATTGGTGGTGATATATGCTTCTGCCTCTTCGCCTCTCAGAACACGAGTAACACCATACTCGTCCGTGATGACGACGCGTCCGTCAACTATTTGGAGAGAGCGAGAGTAGGCGGTCTCAAAGCAAGTAAAGAACGTGATCAGCCCACCGACGGCAATGGTAATCACGAAGACCCAATAATACCAGCGCCAGCCCAGAGCAGCCGCTTCATAAGAGCTGGCGATGTTGAAACAGCTGTTGAGAATATTTTGAGCCGACCAGTACAAGCCATAGATCTTGCCTCGTTGGTGCAGAAATGTCACCTCAGCAAGAATAAGTGGGAGTAGCTTTACAGAAAACGCTTGTCAGAGGTTTCACCCGCATCAGGTATTAAAGACAGTCACTTACTGACTCTGCGGCACCCGTAGCCAGACCTTGAATGATTCTTAAGGCAAAGTGCTGCGTATAGTTTTGTGAAAGTCCACAGCCAATGGTAACGGCTAGGAGCACAGTAATTGAGATAAGAGTGATGGGGCGTCTACCGAAAGCCAGTCCCAGCGGTAAGATGAAATAGTTTCCTTGATGATTGCCATTAGCTTGAATTCGTGGTCACCATGAGCTGAAAAGTCTGGGTTATTACCGATACCGATGAAAAGGGAGGGAAAAGTGGTGAGCCAGCCCACCCTGGTGGAATCCACCCCTTCTTTAGCGTAGAGGTCGATGAAGATTGTCAAAATGGATCCCAGACCTCCAACCACCGACAAGGACATGACAGCTAATTGTTCCCTTGTCAGGCCCACCCTTTCTGCCGCAAGCGGTTTGGGTAAATTAAGCGGACTCACAAAACCAGCAGCAGCTGAGAATGATCCCCATTTTCGCATAATAGGAAAAGTTCAACGGATCGTTCGGGTCCCTGCTAGGGATCGGCAGGAGTCGAATTTCTCCATCAGCAGAGATCAGTACTTCATCACCAGGAGATTTGCCCAAGGGGACGACATCCTCCACCATATCAACACATCCCTTCTCGGTGTCGGACAGAGACATGATCGGGTTCGAATTCTGCTGAGGCATGTGTGTTTCCTCGAGCGAGCGTTGCAGTGATCGAGACCACGGGGGATCCCTGTGGATTAACTATGCGGAGTCCGGGGAGCCGAAGGACATTGCAGAACTTCTCTTATGGAGGATCGGTTGGATGTCTTCATATCGCGAGATCTTGGGCCACATGCGAGCTGTCCTCCCCAGATTCCCCGCAAAAAGGATCGCTCTAAATATGTGGAGGTGGGACCAGGTCTGCATCTTCCGATTCCCTGGCGAATAGCCGTCGAGCCTGTTCTCCCCCCATAAGTGTCCGCGATTACCGAGCTAAATTGTGGGGGGAAAGTGGGCATCCCAGACTAGATGATTTTGGGTAGGAAGAATCTGGACATCAAAGGGCAACCATTCCAAGGATGTCGCATTCCTCCTCGACCCCATTTACTGTTGACAACATCCCGTTTGGGGTGATTTCAACCAACGATAACCCCAACCCAAGATGTGCCACAGCGCTAGGTCATGACGCAATTGACCTCAGCGCTCTGGAGAGCGATGGCTTCTTTGATGCCATTCCTGAATTCTGCGACAAATCCATCTTCTCGAAGGTAAGTCGGTACTTTGTGGCCGATTGCTCCAATGAGCCATTGCTGTTCGATTGTACTTTGAGAATTGGCTTAAATCGTGGCATGGCCACCCTACTAACTTTGGAAATCGCAGCCTTATCTGAACGATTTTGCGGGTTTTTTCATTGAAAGCCGTCGGCAAGCTCGGCATCTTCTGCGTGGCAGCCTGCTTCAACTGCGAGAAGATGAAACGCAGGCGCATCGATATTTCATCGCGCTATCTCGTGTTAAGGGTTACTATCCTATGCAGACGAACAACTTTTCGGATTTCTACTGTTCGCAAGAGCATGCTCAAAATTTACATTCATCTCCTAAGCTTCATCACTGCAAGGACGAAAGGTGACTGACCGGGTATAGTGTTCTGCTATTTTCGGTCTTCTAGAGTCACCCAACTGGCGCATCATTCCAACCGTTTACAATGGCCGTACATCCAGTCTGAACGTTGAAACTACATTGACCCGCCCCCATGGTGTTTTTAAAGATGATGTCGGGGAGTACACTTTCACTCCGACCAAAAAATCGGACATGGAACTAGAAATGGGAGTATTCATTTCCAAGCCTTTGATACCTGGGCAGGTTTTGGATATCAAGAATGTCGCAGACCACATATTTGGCTTTGTCATTCTCACAGGTCAGCTCGGGATATTCAAGGATTTGAAATGGCACCTCTTGGTCGTTCCACAGTAAAGGGTTCGGGACTTCGATTTCCCCATGGATCGTGACTATGGATGCCCTTGCCGCGGTTAAGAGTGCGGTTATGATTAAGCAGGACCCTGGTCCGTTACCTCATTTGACATGGAAAGGAAATGATGGAGATGCGACACTCGATATTCACCTCCCTGCCCATTCTTTGAGTGAGTTGATTATATTCGTTTGGCAACGTGAATCCTGGCTAATGATGAAAAGGAAACGAGAAGTTGTATGACTTTACCGAGACCAACCTCAATGAGCTCTATTGGACTCCATTTCAACAACTCACTCATCTTGACAGTGCAGGTGAGGGTCTAACGACTGGAGACATCTTTGGAACGGGAACCATCTCCAGTGCTGTAAGTCACTCTGTCCTCTATGATACCGAGACCTGCATGACGAATTTTTCTGACGTGATTGGCCTCAGCGTGTAAATGCAGATGGAGAAAAGGTAGGTCTAGCATGTCTGGTAGAGCGCTCGCTCCCTCACACCTCCCTCTCGTGTCTGAAGGAAGACGGCATTTTGTGGTTCGAAGATGGCGATGAGGTGATCATGGAAGGATTCTGCACCAACAAGGCGACCGGATGCTATTTTGGATTTGGGCAATGCCGAACAACGAATACCCCGGCCGTAAAGCTAGATCTGTAACCTAGTGCCTCGGCTAGACGCCGCTACGCACTGCAATAGAGATATATTGTATAGCTACAAAACTTGTGCTTTCAACGGAAATATCGAGTAATATAACGTCTAGATTGCTAACAGAACTGTCTGCATCTATAATTTGTGTTCGATTTCACTGCTCACCAACCACATCCTCAAACTCCCCAGACTCATACAACATCGAAGGCTTCAACCCGGCAATTTTCCAACATTCATCGATCTTAGTATATCTCTGCTCCATATAAGTTCTCCCATCACTTGTTTTATCTACTTGCTTTTTCAAAGGGTGAGAACTTTCCATCCATCTCCCGTGACCGGCAATTTGCTGCCATTGGACCACGATCTCGCTTGGCGAAACTGACTTGAAATAACATTGACCCAGCAGATGCTGTGTAAGCAATCTTCGATTTCCCAGTAACTCGGGTGAGAGAAATTCGGCGATGAAATCCTCCTGGTTATAAGTCTTGCTCAATATTGTATCTGAGACAAGTCGGTAGTCGACTTCGATTTGGGGCCCAATGACGGCGCATAGACGCAATGCATCCTACAATCTGTCACAATTTGCAGTCTTGATAGGGTTCGGGGTAATATTTTCGGTCGTCACTGTCATACCTTTTTATCATAGCCGTCAGCGAAAGCGCGTGCTGTCTGGACAATGGCGATATAATCGCGGAACTCAAGGTTCTTAGGGATGTAAAGCTGGAAGGCCATTGCGGGTGGGTAAATTGGTTAAATTGACAGTTTTTCCCCGTGTTTTAGTATTTATATAAGTAAAGTACTTTATTAGAAATGGCTATAGAGATAAGTCAAGAATGCGGGGTCGGTCCACATCGGTTTAGATGGGCAAAGTGGGCGGGCCAAAAAGTGGAGAGGCGGTTGAGCATCAAGGCGGGGAAGGGGCCCTGAAAGACCACAACCAAGACCATGCCGAATCACTGGGCAGCTTTAGAGACTTGAGGAGAGTGGCGAGTAGCCGAAGCCGATTACATTGAATTGATAATCTAGATCACTCTGAAGATAGTAATACATATATATATATATTATATATATATATGTATATATGTCACACGCCGGTTAACTATTTGAATCACATGAGCGGCACGCGTTGGCTCAGACAAACACTCAGGATGACAGTCACTGCTTTCCCTGGAGGTCAGTCCAGAAGCAATCAGGGATTATCCAGAAAAGACTTACAACACACTTCCAGACTCTGGGCCGCCTGCTGCCGAACAAAACATAGCGTTTAGTTGTCTCGTAGGGAATTCATATGTAAAGTGACAAATGGCCAGGTCACAGCACAGTTATGGTCAGGTTCTGAACCTTTGACCAGCATAATATTAACAATCATTCACTGATCAGTAGGTTATTATAACTATCCTTAGTACCAAGATTTGACATGACACCTTATTTGTTATTAACTAGACGTCATAAAACCATAAATGCCTTCTAGAGTTAGAATTTCTTTATAGCTCTAAGGTATGTTTCATGTATCATTCTGAATATAGCCTGATTAGTAACCAGGTTGAGAACTAAGAAGGCCTGTTGCAATCTGCTTACCTGCCCGCCTGAGGTATTTGTCCTACCACCCTCGCCAGCCCACGCCTTGACATACGGTCTTTTAATATCCCAGCGAAAGTAAAGTTCGAATTATTTTTGGGCCATATCCAGTTGATCAGACTAATATGCCCGTCTGGAGAAAAATAGTACGGGTTCATACTTAGCTATTACTGGAGACCAGGTATTTTTACGTTCCTGTAGTGCCTGTGCTCATGAATGTTCCTCTTGGGACAAAAAGCAGGAGGATCATTACCTGTTGCGCTGACATTCGTGATATGCAGTACTACGCATGCATGACATCATGTTTTAAGACCAGAGTCTCCCAGATCCGGTAACCAAACATCGGCCTTTTTCAATGTATCTACAACGTGCGCCTTCCTTCTGATTGCTCCTGACGGAGCAGTATACCAGTCTCTGCTCGTTAGTATTAACTGGGTGGAGGACATATCGTACACTTGGGTTACTCGAGCAAATGTACGGGCGGCAACATTGCCGCAAGATTTATTACCGGTTGCACACCCAAATTCATACGGAATTGTTATTGGCGGTATCATTGTGGCTCTGCGCACGGATTTTAGCCCGTGTGTCATCTCTAACGTAACCGGCAAGCGAGTCGGCCAGGTAAGCCAATCAGCTACCTGTGTATCCCATACAAATTCAGCAATTTTTGAGCTGTGATACTACAGCCAAACTTCATTATTTCTGGTTTTTCTGATAGAACTGGTATATTAGAATATATCTAAACTTATTTTAAAAATCTTATATAATGAATATTAATATATGTTTAAGTAAAATATATTATACTGTAATTTTGGTAATTTATTTCAAACTAGTATTATATACGATATAAATCCTATTATATTACTTATCTTTGATATTTGGTTTCTTAAAGTATATGTATAGCTTAGGTTGATAAATGTTAGTTTAGTATGGGATCTACAGGTGGCCGACTGGCTTACCTGGCCGACTCGCTTGCCGATTACGTTATGAGGCGTTAGTCATCTCGGATAATGGATCCCGACTGTTGAATTTGGGGATTATTCCCATCCTCCTAATATGCTTCTGTCCTCCGATCCGTCTAACTATTCATTCACACTTGTGACTGTTCAGGTAAACCTTGTGTTTTGCCCTCATTCGATTGCTCGCATTTTTTCGGTCGGTCTGCCCTGCTTATTTAAAGCTCACGCATACCAAGCCCTTCAGCCCATACTCACCTGCTAACCATGATGCTGTTTCTCATACGCCTAGTGTTTCCCTATCCCTAGGCGCTAATATACTTTATCAAGGCCGTGGTCTGTGAATGGATGGAATCCGAACCCGTTTGCGTCAAATGTTATACTGAACATATAAGCAGACGACCAAATGTGGGTCTCTTTGAGCAACCTTTGTCCTCGAGGTTTAGGCATTGTACGTAACCATTTTTACCCCTGAGTATACAGTTGAGATCCTTGAGCTCCTTCTATAGAGCTTTCCATGATTGCATACCCCTTGTTCCAGCAACCTCCGGTTGACTACAGCTATTACGCGTACCATGATCAAATATTTCCATCGATATCCAGCCTTTAAACCCAATCGGAAGGATCCAAGCTTCGATAATTACCGGTATAGGGAGGTAGCCCCATGTCCATACTCCAAGCGAAATGGGCGTGCATGCTTGGACCAAGTAAATTGCGGCGCTTCCCCTTCAACAAACCACGGGTGATCTCTGGAGAATGGGCCCAAAAGATAGCTGGAGAAAGAAACATCTTCACGGTCGCGCAATTAGCAATAAAGCATTCCAGTGACCCCGCAGAAAATTTTCAGAGTGAGGGAAGTCAGTGACCTGAGACCGCAAAATGGTCACTCCATAGCTTTGTGGCTTCTTGAAACGCATCTAGACATAGCCCGAAGTTTGGTCGATTGACTTGACTGACACTATTGCAATGTGACTTTCCATGTAGGGCGGTATGATCCTTAAGACGATTACATATGGATAATTAATACGAGTACCGGCATCTCTGCACTTCTAGTATCAGCAAATTGCTTTAGTTTGCTGATGACCACGTGCCTGTCGCCGATAGCGTCCTTTTGTAGATCGACAGAATCTGCAGGTATGATGCGTCGAGGACTCCAGCAATAACAATTCGAATACCTGGCCCTTCTTAACCTGCCACTCAGTGGCGATCTGTCACCTTCGTAAATTTCGGCAGGTGTCAAAGACAGAATATGTAAGTTAAGATTGTAGCATAACACGCGGATCTTCTCATCGTCCTCGGTAACAGAGAAGTTTTGAGCTTGAGGGAATGCTTCCAATTAAGAATAGATGATTTCAATGCCTTTGTAACTAGCGCTGCTGCTGCTTCAGTTTTGTGGTCCGCTGTTGTGATACTGGCAAAACAACCGTCTTCAGATCCGCTTGTTCATTCATTATTATCGTACTTCTGGAAGATTTGCATCCTTCAAGTTCTTTCACCGCCCATTTCTGTTCGTTATGATTGGGAGGACTCGAAGCCGCCAACTCTGCGATAGAAGTGAGCTTGTAAAAGTTGATCGCATGCATGGCTTTTGCCTCTTTATATTTAGTCATGTGTTCGATTTCTCGAGAACGAGAATGCGTACCGATCTGGCCAAGGCCTGCGATACAAACAGGAGACCTTTGGATGACCATGATTAAAATCATAAAATACCAGTTATAATCTCGCAAGCACTTGACCAACCACGGCAACGGCGAGTACAAGGGGTCAAGAGTTTGTACACTTCATGTAGGCGCTTTAGTGTGGGATTTTGCCGGAACGCTTTCGGATTTCAATGTCCGATGCGAAAATACAAAATGCTCCATGTGGCTTGGTTAACGGTATTTGACTGCTATAGTATTGAATGATACCCGGTAGAGCAGGCAACTTAATTTGAGACAAGTAGGAATCATAATGTATAACCAATCTGAAGAGCTATATAATGCTTACGACGTAACCTGACGTAATTACATTGAGGTTCAGAGGAAGCCACTTCAGTGACTCTCCCCAGTATTTGGATCTTGCCATCGCCTAAGTCTACAGCCCATTATACAGTATCTAGGAAACATCTTCACAGTGCTCTGCATCAATGTCATCTTTCCCTCCAGACATCCGCGGATCCCCACCCTCCGTGCGTGCGATCCGTGCTGCGTCTGTCCAACTCATATCTTTTCCTGCATTGTGCTTGATTTCAAACAACCGGTCGACTTGTTCAAGTGATAAGGTAGCAGTCTCAACATAAAAGTAGTAGATCAGTGGGATAAAGGTAAAGTTGAAAATGGCATAGAGCATATAATACCGCCACTGGATATTTTGGATGGCGGTAGGGGTGGCCACAACCACAACATAGACGAAAAGCCAATTGATTGTTGTGGCAAAAGACGTGCCGATGTTGCGCATTTTCTGAGAATTGATTTCGGCAGGGTATATGTAAGGAATAGAGAGCAGCGACATTCCGTAAAAGACGTAGTAGACAAAAATGAAGACTACAGCCATGATTGACATACCCTTGTTACCTGGCCCGCCATATCGCAGACCCACCGCAACAAGGGCAAAGCAGACGCAACTGGCTGATACGCCCATGAGCATCAGCTTCTTTCGCCCAACACGGTCGATCAAGAGAGCTGCGATTGAGCCCCAGAACATGAGGGACATCGAGTCAACAGCGGACAAAATTAGAGCCATGCGAGTGCTCAAACCGACTGACCGTGTAAGAACCACTGGGAGATAATATGCAATAACATTGGTACCTCCCACCTGTTGGAAGAACGCAGTGCCAGCTCCCAGAAGCATACGGCGAAGTGTTTGCTGCTTGCTATTCCGAGTGAAGATTTCTTTCAAGGCCACAGACTTCTGCACTTCAGCATCATGGTGAACAGCGGCAACTAAGTTGTGAATCTCGTTGACAACCGACGGATGGTCATCTGGCTTCGATAAGAGCCTCGCGTGAATTTTCTGCGCCTCGCTAATGCGATTCTTCATAATGAGCCAGCGAGGTGACTCAGGTGTGACAAGTACCAAGGCAATCGTAATGATAGAAAAGAAACATTGGAATGCGAGAGGAAATCTCCAGCTCACAGATGAGTGTGGAACAAAAGTGAAGCCGTAATTCATCCACTACGTCCTGGTCAGCAACCTGGTTTGGCGGGGAAGGTTAATGTACTGACATTCGTGATCACGATTCCAAAAATATTGGTCACTAGCTGGAAAACAATAAGTTTACCTCTATCTTTCGGTCGCGCAGTTTCTGTCTGCCAGATTGGGATAGCGATGGTATTCATTCCGTTTCCGATTCCCGCAACCACGCGGCCGGTGATCATCTGCGCGAGAGAATAGGAAGCAGTTTGAAGGATTGCACCGACAATTAGGATGATGCAGCCAATCAAAATACATCTTCGGCGTCCCAGCCTGTCTCCAGCATACATAGACAGGAGTGTTCCAATAATACAGCCGATATCGTATGTTGCCACGATCTGGCCTTGAATCGTAGCTCCTGGAAAACCGAAGGTTCTGAGAAAGGCCTCATTATCCAGGAGGCCACCAAACACACCCTGATCATAACCGAAGAGAAGGAACCCGGCGCCGCAAGCAGCAGTGATTCCATACTGAAGTGCGTTTCCCTGAGTGTTCTGTAGGAGCATTGTGAAGGTCGATCTATGAGAAAGTGTGAAAGAACCAGATTCAACCCAGAATCTATCCAGGCAATTTACCTGGAAGATTAAAACTTCAAATTATACTAGAGAGGCGACATGTAATAATCGTATAAGAGCAAATCGCCCTGATGACGAAGCTTCCCGGAATCCATTCACCGAAAGACTAAGCTACACTTGGGCCGAGTCGGGATTAAGACCGATTGATCAGCAAACCCCGCAAACCCCGCAATTTACGACACCCACCGTGGGGGAGTCTCCATACCCCAGATGCTGACATCTCTTTTTGCACCTTTGCTCTACCATCATTCAACCTCGGCAGGGTACGGAACAATTGTGGGCTCGATGAAACGGAACGTGAAGCGACGACATGCCACCATGGCTTGCATATCGTGTCGGCAGAGCAAAGTGAAGGTATTTCCTGCCGCAATCCTTTCGACACTTACAGCCAATCAAATCTCATAAATATAGTGCGATAGCAAAGTACCCTGTTGCTCTCATTGCGCGAGCAAAAAGAAAGAATGTCGCTATCAAACTTCTGATAAAAGAAGGTGAGATAATCGTACTAGTCCCGATAAACATAAGTGCCATCTTACGGACTAAATCTTCATGGCAATAGGTTACCTCTTCGTGTTGCAATAGAGCTGCTGGTGTACAGAGTCGATCAGTTGTGTCAATTTCTCCATGAACATGGTCTCCAAACCCCAAAAATGCCTGCCGATAAGGATGCTACCCTACAGAGAATCCTCGATACTCTTGGAATGACAGGGAAAGCTGTCAGCCCCATACCGCCACCTATGCCTCCTAGCATGGTCCAACACGATGAGTGGTGCTCCCATAATCCTACAATAGCCGCAAATGAAGCTTCTTCCGAGGGCTTAGGAAAGAACAATTTGAATCGGCAGCGTGCTACCAACCTGCCTGTCATCGAGCAAGATGACTGTTGGTCTGATTCGGGTTTGTCACCAATTCCACAGAACAATGGCATGGGCCTCATGGTACCTGAATGTCATCCATCAGACTTGACCGGGGAAAGCCCAAGCAGTATATTCAATACCTGGCTGTTTGACTTAGAATTCGGTACACACATTACGTCTTTTGCATCTGAGATACAACGACAGCCTATCGTGGGCGCTTCGTCCAATGATGAACTTAATGTACCACTAAAGCTGCCAGCCGATTGTTTCGGACATGTCTATTCTGAGAGCGGCTCGGCTATCTTTAGAGAATCGGCCAGCACATTTGACATTGAAGGCCTGGTTGATGAAATCTCCGACCGCGTTGGCACCTTGAAAATTGGCCCTGGAGGGAAGACCCGTTATTATGGCCCAACGTCCACGTTCAATCTAAGGGATATGCCATCCTCATCCGACTATGATATAGGACAGACAATCTTGAACTGTGATTCTGGGTCAGAGGAAGAGATTCCTGCGGCTCTAGAAGATCAGCTTCTTGGCCATTATTTCAGATGGCAGGACCCGTCATTGCATGTCGTTGACCAATCTATTTATCAAGAAGGGAAAGAAAAGTGGAACAACATGGAGGAGACCCCATACTATTCTGAGGCATTGAGGTATGCAATGTAAGTTATCTCTATTGCCAATGCTTTCGGAAGCACCCCTTAATACCCCAGAAAGGTGTGCGCTCGGTAGTGCGTTTGAACCTCGATACCATCCGACTATCGTCACGTTTCCGAAGACTCTCGTTGATTTTTTTGGCGATCGCGCGAAGTCAAGACTTGAAACGGAGCTGGATTCTCCTTCTGTCGCAACCATTCAAGCAATGGTTATCTTGAGCAGCCACGAAATTGGAAACGGGAAGGACACAAGAGGACTTTTATATAGCGGTAAGACAACTTTTCCCATCTCGATGATGTTATTCAAAGATATCTTACATGCTACATAAGGATCGGCATTGAGGCTTGCATTCGATCTTGGTTTGCATCTTGACATGTCTAGCTACGTGTCCACCGGAATGATCTCAGCTGCCCACGCAAACCTCCGTAGAACTGTCTTCTGGGCCGCATACATAATTGACCAGTTTGCCATCCCTTCTACCCTCAAACCTGGATATATCGCTTTTCTAAGTATGTGTAGCCAGCTAGGGTTCCATCTTGGTAAACTGTTTCGCACCAGCATGGAAATCGTGACGGTTGGGAAACCCCGTCAAGATGAAGCCTACGTCGACAATTGCGGATTGCCATCAGGCGAGCCATCGTCTGCCAGCCATGGTTCCGCCTTGATAGAGGGCAAAGACGCCATCAGCCAACAGCTAGTTTCCCTCTGCGAGTTGATGTCCCCGTGTGGGTATATACTGTAAGGCCCGCACAATTGATATTGGCTCCGACGCCGGTTGACAACTCAAACAGATACGGTACATCCGCTATTTCAAAGGAGATTCTTCAAAAGCTCAATGCTAAAATTGTTGCCGAGCTCCTTAAGTGGAAAGCGTCCCTCCCACCTATGTTACACATGGATCTCGATGACGACAATTCGCATTACCTTCCACATGTGCTGCTCCTACAGTACGTACGCTTTTTTGCTCCACCACGCCTTAGATACATGCTAATTAAACACCATGAAAGCATGCAATACCATCAGAGCATAATCTACGCCCATAGACCATGGATATCAAAAAGTCATCTACAACCGTATCCACCCAGAGGACCCGGATACTCCCACGCCCGCGAAATGTGCATTCAATCTGCCATTGCGATCTCAAAGATTCTTAGTATGTATGAAAATCGCTATACGTTGCGGCGAATCAATGTACAAGCTGTATTCATAACGTCCTCCGCCACACTATTCCTCCTCTTCGCCGCTTTCTCGAACTGCTCCTCTCATCTTGGAAATATTTCACTGCATCTAACGACATGTTTCAGAGCCTTAGATGAGTTCACTCTCTCCTGGAAAAGTGCTCAAACAGCGAAGGACCTTCTAGTCGGTCTACAGCGCCAATGGGATCTACGGATGCGGTCCAATAAAGCGCAGCCGTGGACAGGCGGATTATCACGTACTACGCAATAGTGGAATGTCTCCAACGGACTTCATCTGTTAGGTAGACTCGGGTTTGACCTATATATGACGACCCTACCGTAGATACTCACGCTTCAGCACTAGAATGGGCCCTCTCTCTTTACGAACTTGTATACCAGGAACTTGCTGGCAAAGAAGTAGCAAACAAAGGTTTTAGCCTCTTACCAATGTCTTATAGAATATTGTTGTTATTACTGCGCCAAAGAGACACCGTGATGCCAAATCAGATCATATATGGTAAATAGTTTGGGTGCCAAATTGCTGTGACGTATCCTCCGACGTTACACTCCTTTGAATCTCTATTTAGCTACCATTGTACATTGATTTACTTCCCTTATATGGCTATATAGTCTACACCAACATCTGGCAGGAGCAATAGAGTTTGTTCAATGACCTGAAAATGGACAACCAAAGTATAGAAGCGGTTCGTTTCACAACTCTCTCTTGTTAGAAAGATTATAAATCTACAATTTAATGAAGATATATTACTCACGGCTTTTCTTTCAAGTCAATATTTACTTACGTAACCCCATTAATAGTGCCTCTTTGCTCATACTTCATCTTCTTAAAATGCAGTTATGAAGTTCTATAATTCTCCTAGCCTTTTTCTCTTCTAAATACTATCTACTAAATGCTTCTTCATTTACTCTCCGTGCTTACTGATATTCATATTCTGTTACACTTGGATACGTACTTCTCCTTGTCCACAAACGATTTATGAAGTAATAAAGTCCTATCTTTTGTCGTTCTTACCTGAAATTCCCATTCTGATTAGCTTTATTTGAATTAACAAATACAGTTTAATTTTCTACTTTCATTTATTTGTATTATCTGGTAGATGTCTGAGCCCAACGTCTTCCAGAATCTGCTAGTCATATTGTATAGGTATTATCATGAACTACTTGTATGATAGTATATCCCATTCTATAGGCTAGGATCATGAACAAATCGAAGGTTTCTTTGATAGCTTACGTGTCCAGGGGCTCATATATAATAACGAAAGACAAGATCAAGCTTTCAAAGTGCATATTCACAGGTAATAATATAAAGCCGAAGAGCTTAGATATATAGTATGCTAATATCAATATCCGATAATATTCCTAGTTCACAGTAACATACTGACGTACAACCTACACAATCATTAGGACACACGATTGATACATGTACTAGTCATTCTTATCTACAATCAGCTTACTGCAGAGAAGTAAATACTCTCTACTGACTTCTACAGCACGCACCTCACTTCATTATTTGAATCAAATATACTATACCATCACATGCTAGTAGATACTAGTAACGTGAATGGTAGATACTAGTTACGTGAATGCTCACTACAAGGCATGTTTCTTCGTAATGATTGGACTCGTGGTCATGACTGTCTCAAGGCAGTTGATGTGAACATTACTTAAATTAGTATAATATTCTCATTATATCTCATCCTTTAGTATTGGACACAGCATGTCATAGCCATTAAAGAGTTCAGGCAATATTACTTACCACCTTAACTGCATGTCATTAAACTGAGCACCAACTCGTTAACGAGAAGCCAATGGTTAACAAATTTTATAAATAAAATATATATAAATTAAGAATAATATATATTATCAAAAGAAATCTGGAAGTTATTGAGACTATCCGGTATATCTATCAATATTACTATTCAGTCTATAGCTGATGGGTCTCTGGTCTAGAAATTCAAGGAATTATAATATTAACCCATCTCTAGGGAGGCTAGGGGACAGATCAACTGATATGTAATGCAAGCGAGCCCCACGGGGGAGATGCCCGTTTCGAACCCAAGAGACATTACCTCAAGTTAATCTAGGGGAACTGTCCGTGAGGGTGGGCATCATTGAGGGCACAATGAGCAGCTTCAGGTACCCGAAAGATGATTCAGTGAGGATTGACTTATCCTGCTCGCCATGAAAGTTAATGATGCATCTTCGTCAGATTCTAAAATCGTGTTCAATACAAGGAGACGGAAAATTGATCGAAGATGCTATTCGTCACTTTATGACAGCACAGGGTCTTCAAATCCTATTAACACCCTTCGATGCTATGCTGATTCATGCTATTGTCTTGCTATCTTCTCATTTGTCCTCTTTGTCTTCTTATTTTACACTGTCGCTTAATGATATTTCTAAATCCATGGTCGGAGGAGAATGTATTAGCTTACCCTTCGGTGCCGTATCGTCACTTCTACACGAGGATCGAGGCTAGCGGTTAAAATGAACACAAAAGAGCAAAATAAGATCCAAAGAATATTTAATTAAAACACCGAAGATGCTGTTCACAAGAGAGTGAAGTATATACACTAAGAAAACTTCTGTAGAGAATGTTATGCAGAGGCAACTTATTTCTTCGCGACCTTGGCCCTCGAGGTCCTTACCCGGAAGACATAATACAACACGATTGCCCCGAAGATGTTGAAGACAAAATAGCACCAAAATATACCGTAGTTACGCCATCTTTCTCCCCAGTAGATTTCGCGGGTCGCCAGGTATTCATCTGAAGAGGTCATGCTGCAATACTCGCAGTTTGCGGTGGCGTTGGGGTTATAGATTGCACCTGATGACGTTTCAAGGTACTTTGCCATGTACTCATAGCAAGTCTGGCCCGACGGTGGGTCGAAAACATCGAGTTCAGCAGAACTACATTCAACCGAGCGACCATGGAGTGCAGTGGCACTGAGACCACCGACATAGTAGGTGAATGGGGAGACGCGGTACATGAAAATCCAAAAATGTGGGAGGTCACTGGGCGGCTGCATCACTCCGTTGAAGATAAATGATAGACCGAACATGAGGGTTGCGAGCATAGCGGCAAGAGTTGGCTCAGGGACGGAGCACACGACGAATTGGGCCATGCTGGCAGCGTAAATATAAAACTGGATAATGAATAGCATAATAAGAGCTCGTTGCTCGCCTGTCTGACTTGTACCTATGACAGCCCAGTAGAATGATGCCCAGGAGCATATACCAAGGCAGACCTGCCAAGGGACCTCCACTAGTATTTGTGAAAGGATGAATACTTTCCATGAGTAGGTCCGAGATGGCCGCTCGCGTACTTCGTAAAGGGAACGTTGGGCGACAACTTTTGGCATGATCTGATTGCAAAGAGTGTTGAAAATTGTACACAGTAGGAAGATGCTGAAGATCACATTTTGGAAACCTTGCTCGGAGTTGTCTGCCTGAAAGAATGAGAAGCCGATGAAGAGACCAGAAATAATACCGAGAATAAACTTGGCATATATGTATTCTGGTTGGCGGAAATAGCCTTGAAAGCAACGCTCGAGCACCACCCACAGCTGAACCCACAGAGGCGCAGCGAACTCAGAAGTGCTATCGGCGTCGCTATTATTGTTGCGGTCAGTCAAAAGCTCACCACTGGAGCCCTTGGCTGAATGAAGACGATCGACTTCTGCGAGGACCTCTTGATATTCTGCGCTGTTGTTCCAGGCCTGAGGCCAATCAACGTTGGGACAACCGTCTCCGGCGACCATATCCAGGATATACTCGGCGGGATTCTCTAGTGTTCCGCAGGCCCGGGCACCATTGCGCTCGAAGTATTCCAGAAGAGTGGAGGATTGTTTTCCAATCTCGCCAAAGTATACGGTCTTGCCACCTTTGGCCAGGAAGAGGAGATGGTCGAAGGTTTGGAACAAAGTTGCACTAGGCTGGTGGATTGTCGCGAGCACAGCCTGACCGTGGTCTGCCAGTTTTCTGAGGAATTGACAGATTGTCCACGAACTTTGGGAGTCTAAGCCACTCGTGGGTTCATCGAGGAAGATTAAGAGAGTAGGCTTTGCAGCGAGTTCGACACCGATGCTGAGCAGTTTCCGTTGCTCAACATTAAGGCCCTCTCCCAAAGATCCCACTACCGCTTCAGCGAATTCCTCCATGCCAAGGACCTTGATCACTTGTTCCACGTATTCGTACTTTTCCTTCTTGGGCACACTGTATGGCTGACGTAGAACTGCACTGAATCGAAGAGCCTCTCGCACGGTTGTTGTATCCATGTGTAGATCCTGTTGTTGCACGTACCCAGTCCGACGTGGAAAGTCGGGCATTAGCGGCTGTCCATTGACCAATACATCACCAGTAACCACGCCAATTGATACTCTCTGCGCAAGAACATCCAACAAAGTAGTCTTTCCGGCTCCCGAGACACCCATCAATGCTGTCAGAGTTCCCGGCTTGATCCAGCCATTCACGTTGTCCAGCAGTCGCCGAGTACCTTCCTTGACAGGAATGTCGTAGTTCAGGCCTTTCCAGGAGAAGACGTCGGTCTGCTCCGGAAGGTGGATTGTATCATTGGTAGGTTGAACCTCAAGCTTGGTAAGATCGTTGGCCACAGTCTCAGCATCCTGTCCAGCATATAAGTATTTCGGAGCATGACCCGGCCGGAACACGAGGGCTTCAGCCTTGGACTTGTCACTTGAATTGAACTCAGTTGCCACCAAATATAGAATATTGAAGAAGACCATGAACGCAATGAGAATGCCGAAATTGCGCCACATATGCGAGTAGGAATATTGATAGTTCTGTTCAATGAAGGCATCACCGGAGACATACCGCTGGCCAGCCACTGAGCCTACAGCAGAACACACGAAGGATGTTCCTGTGGCATACGTTGGAATGACAGATGTGCACTCAAAATTCTTACCGTGGAATTCATTGGCAATCAAAGATTCAAAGGTATAGTAGATTGGGTTGAGCCATCGAATCCAAGCGAACCACGGGTGCATATATGGCTGTGGCAGGGTAAACCCTGTATAGACGACAATGCAGAGAACGAGAATACCTGCGAAGGCCATGGCTTGACCAGAAGACTTAGTCAGGGCTCCCAAGCTGCGGAAGAGACCAGACATGGTCAAAACAGCGAAGATCAAGAACAGGTAGAAGATGAAAAAATTGCCGGCTTCTCGACGTAGGTTGGCCATAAAATATAGGACAATACTGAAAATGGAGATTCGCGCAAGCTTAATCGGAAGATCCACCACAATGCTGGCGAGCGCCTCTGTAAATGGGTGAACAAAGGCATAGCCAGCTTGCTTCTCCACAATAGGACGTTGAGTGTATAGCTGAAGAATTTCATTAATGGTGAGTAAAGCATTCATGAGTACGGCAAAGTAGCACACAGCGCCCTTCTGGAAGAAGTAAGCTGAGGTGTCCGGGGTGTTGTAAAAGACTGATCCAATGATCAGAGCCAGGATTAGCTGAACAATTAGAGGTGAAATTGCAGTAGGCAGATCATTGAGCATTCGCTGATACGCTCTGCGGATACAGAGCCGAAGCTGCATGGGAATAGAAAGCAAGTAAGGGCTGCGGGCGCGGGTATGACTAGCCTGTTGTTGTCTGTGGCTGACCTGGAGTTGGTTAAAGCTGTCACCATTCGGAGGGTGCTCTTGCTTATAGGTCGTAATTTCTTTCTGCAAATCCTGGTACTCAGGGCTGTTTTTCCAGAACTCAGCAAACTCCTTGGCGGTTCGTGGCACCTTCTCCTCCATACCCGGTCGGACTTGGCGCTCGTTAGGGTTTGTGATAGCGGTTAGATAGTCGCCGCTAACCTGGCGTTCCTGTTTTTCCCAGCCCATATCCTCAAAGTAGGAAACAGCTCGGTCTCGGGGTCCATAATAGATCTCATAGCCCTCATAGAGAAGCACTACTTTGTCGAAAAGGTCATACATCGACTGAGACGCTTGGTATGCAGCGATTGCGTGGCAAGAACTTCCAATATCCGCTGCAGTTCGCAGACTGCGAACGAATTTCAGAGCCGAAGCTGCATCCAAACCGCGCGTACTGTTGTCCCACGCTCCCACACGGCACCGACTCAAAAACATTTCGGCAATGCTGACTCGCTTTCGCTCGCCACCACTCACACCCCGTATAAATTCGTTGCCCACCTTCGTATTGTAGGTATGCGATAAGCCGAAGATTGACATGACTACCTCAACGAGTGCCTGGACATACTCATTACGAGTCAACCCTTGGATCCGCAGGTGCGGAGCGCGAGCATGAGCGGCAAACGACAAGGTCTGGCCCACTGTCAAGTGCGGAAAATGTAGGTCCACCTGATTATCATTGACACATTATTAGCACTGTATTCAGAGGTGGGGGTTTCCACTATGATCGGCCGTACCTCTTTGTTATAGGATACTTCGCCGCGATGGTGTTTGATCATCTCCTCGAAAGAGATCCCTTCGAAGTGGATCGAGCTTTCCGGGTCCATCCTCAAGCCTCCCAGGTGACCGGTGATGGTTTTCAGGAAAGTGGTACATCCACTTCCTGGACGACCCAAAACGAGCAAAAGCTCGCCGCCCTGTAGTAGACCATCAAAGTTTTGGAGAATGCGTCGTGGGGGGGTCACGTGGCCGGTCAAAGATCGTATGGCATAGCGAAAGGGAAGGGTCAGGGCCGATGTCAATGTCTCTTGGAATTGTAACGCAGAGCCAGAACCGCTGATCGAGAGATTCGAGAAGACGATGCCCTGGTGGGGAATTTCGATGCCAGCTTCATTGACATGTTCTAGTACTGTCTGCGCCCATCGATAGTGGTCGAACTCAGGGCTTGAGGGATCCAGTCGGGGATCTTTGGGGTCTCTCTTGCTAGCCGAGGCGGATAACGCTTGTCCGAGCTTGCTGGATGCGATGCGATTTAGGGAGTCCAACTCACGCTCCTCAATGGCGGTTGGGCTTCGCTCTATGATAGGAGCGAACTCCACGGGATGGTCATCCATACTGGATTTGAGGATGACGCGGGAAATCTGGAAAATTTTCCAAGCCGAAAATAGGAGGAGTGCATATATATAAAGGAGTTCGTGAAGTCAGCCCAACACGGAACATTAGGGCAACCGAACTTTCAAGTATGCTATCTTTCGAAAAATAGGTCATGGCCTCGTGGAGGACGGGTAAACGGAGCACCGATATGCCGACATCCACTAGAAAAAGTCGGAACCGTCGGTGTTGGAACATGCCGAGACCTTGTGCCTTGCCATAGGCCAAATCACTCAATTAGTCAAATTCTTAAGGTAACGTAATCCACTGTCGCGCGGCGCATCCGCAAATGCCATCCATACAAATGATGCTTTTGTTAAATTGAAGATATTTAATCATCAGGAGACTGAAAGGCTAAAGTTACTATACATAGTCTGTACGAATATTGATTATACTTTGAATAGTCTTTCTCAAGTCTTCTACCCACGTAAATAAGCTGGTTATACCAATTACCTGTATGCTATTTTTTGACTGTAAACGTAACGTCCAATTAATATATTCCGTACTAAAATATCTGACACAGAGTTTTAATCAGATATTGTTCAGAGTAGCTGGAATCCATAGACAAATTTAGAGCTTCTTGAGTCTGGTTTATATACTCACGCAGGAAAACAGCTTTTCTAACAGATATTATTCACTAACTAGTCTTGATGCACGTTTGCGATGGATTGTGGCGGATATTAAATGTCATATAATTTCTGCCATCGAGCTGGGTTCTTGTGAAAGTGTTCGCGAACGAGAAGGGACTTGATTTTTGAGTCATTCAGGAACTGCGTAATATAGTTGTCCATTATTGTAAGTCGTAGTATTCGTAACTTGTGGCTTGATGAAACATACCAGCTGTTGAAGATTGGAAAGTCTTGTTAACTTTGAAACCTGGTATGAGCGGGACAACCGCCTGTGGAAGTCCGCCGAGCCCCGTACAGTGAGTGGCACAAGTGTGGGGCACCGGAACTTCCAGAACTTTGTGTGCTGCTGGGGCGAGAGACGGACTAATCAGACATGGACAAATATGAGCACACTCCCATAACTCCCATATCTTGCTCCCGCATGTCAGTCCACGAATTCAACTCCTTAACTCCGGCTAAGTCCGAAACAACCCCTCGGCTTGCATCACTTAATACTGCAGCAGACCCACAAGACTGGTCGAGGTATTCCGAAAGCGGACGTTGATGTGGGGAAGCATGTGATATAAATCACTCATCAACCCTCAAGACTCTCGAGCTCAGTTCAGCTCTCAAAAGCCATTATCTTTGACTCTCAAGAGCTACACCTAAGCCTTACATCAATTTTCCAAAAATTCTCCAATTTCTACAATACCGCCAACGACATGCCTTCCCTCAGTGGTCGTGAAGTCGGCCACATCGGCTACGGAACCATGAGTACGTGGACGTGATCAACCATACAGTCATTATTTGCAGCAGCTGTTGATTAGATATTCCCTAAGGAATGACCTGGGTCCCTCAACCTCCCTCGCACGAGCAATGCTTCGAAACCCTGAACACCGCTCTCAAGCTAGGTGCCAACTTCTGGAACGCTGGCGAGCTTTACGGTACCCCTGATTATAACTCGTGTCATCTTCTGAACAAGTACTTCATCAAATATCCTGAGAATGCCGACAAGGTAGTCTTGAGTATCAAGGGTGGCACGAAGCGTGGAGAGCTTATCCCTGATAGCTCTGAAGCCAACATCCGCCGTAGTGTGGAGGAGTGTCTGCGTGTACTGGATGGAAAGAAAGTAATTGATATCTTTCAATGTGCTAGACAGGATCCCAACGTACCAGTGGAGCAGCAAGTGACTGTTCTAGCACAATTTGTCAAGGAGGGCAAGATTAGAAGCATAGGTTTGAGTGAGGTTGATGCAGATACTATTCGCAGGGCGTAAGTTGCTATCTACACACACAGTCTCCTGCGGAAGCTGGTTACTTGAAAAGGAACGGCAGCTGACGAGATTATACAGTCATAAGGTCCACCCGATTGCGGCAGTAGAGGTTGAATTGTCTCTCTTTGATACTACGATTCTCAACAATGGTGTTGCTAAGGTTTGCGCTGAGCTCAATATCCCTGTTATAGCTTACTCGCCTTTGGGCTTTGGTGTATTGGCGGGTGCCTTCACCAGCCCGTCTGAGATTCCTGAGGGCGATTTCCGCAAAATAATGCCGAAGTTCCAGGAGAATGCTATGAAGGAAAACATGAAGCTGGTTAATGAAGTTAAAAAATTGGCGGCGCGTAAGGGCGTGGCTCCGGTACAGATTGCACTGGCCTGGATCCTTACTCTCAGTGGAAAGCCGGGGATGCCCACCATTATACCCATTCCCGGTGGTACGACGGTTGACAAGGTTACTCAGAACCTGGAATGTGTCCCTTGCCTTAGCGATGCTGAGATGAACGAGATTGCAGACCTTTTAGACCGGATTCAGGTGGTCGGAGCTCGCTTTTAGCTACGGTTGTACGGTCTTCATAAGATGTAATATTGATAATTATTGATACTAAAATTGAAATCAATGCTATGTATATAGTATAGTACAGGATGAGAATATCCTGAATATGCTAGATTTGTCAGCTAGTGTTCACAAGGCAGTTGAAAGCTGCATGACACAATGTAAGCAGAAAATATGTCATATTAAATATAGAAGAGTGAACATGCAATCCCGCAAAAAAAGAGGCAATCAACCAAATTGCGGAATTCTTGATTAATACCTCATGGAAGTTGCGGAAACTTACTCTGCTTAACACAGTGGGCAGGATCTTTTGAAGAGGGCATGAAATAAGTAATTCGCCGAAAAGTAGCTTAAGCAAACACTGGAAAGGGGATTGAGTCACAGTCAACCTCAAGACCAGTGAAAAAGAAGGCCGCGGGTTCCATACAGAGAGACCATATGCCAAATCAGGAGTCGTGTGCCCGACGATCATCCCTGAAACAGAAAAGTTAGTGTATATAATCAACGATACATACAGTTCAGCATTACCCGGAATATTCTCTGATACATTCAACTTCCGAGGTTCCGCGTATTTCAAGATAGTATCCCCTGAGAAAGATAGGGAACGCTGAATTAAATTTTGGGCTACGATCAAATATTAACCTGACATATCCGGTATGTTATGATGATGAAAGAAAAGAGCGTCTTAGTAACCGTGTTTCCAAGTATACAATTGAATATGTGAGTGTAATAACCGGTTTCTAGACTACGGTCGCACCTCCCATATCTCCAAGATACCTTTAGACTAATAGAACATTACAATGATGACATCGTTTGGAAGTTATGAAACGATGATCATGCATAGCACAAGTTATCATGTTATGACCCCGCTTCAGATGAAGGTTAAATAGAGACATCCCAACATTCACAGCAAAACGTCTAAGCGAGCAAATTTCAATAAGAGGTTGATTATAAAAGATGTCATTTTCACTCCTTGTCATAACCACCCTTCAAACCTATTGGACACATGTACTTGTGTCACTGGCTGTCGCAAAGCTTTTACACAACAGATTCGGCAAAGGCATATCTCATATTCCCGGTCCTTTCTTAGCCTCATTCAGCGACCTTTGGTTATTCATCCATTATTACCGGCGGCAAGGACTCACAGAAAGGGACCTGCACAACAAATACGGTTCGCCTCTAATTCGGTTAGGGCCAAACACCGTTTCCGTGGGGGATCCCGTAGCACTTAAAGTCGTATACGGATGGAAACCGATCCTACGGAAGGTGCCATTGCCTACATAACCCAGAGATCACTGAATTACTGACTAGAAAATGATGAGATAGAGTCGTCTGTATATCTCTCAATACGTAACAGCAAAAGATGGAACAGTACTTGACAATGTTTCTTCGACCCGCGACGAAAAGAAACACAGCGTCCTCCGAAGGGCAGTCGCAAATGCCTATTCCCTTGGGACGCTGGTTGAATATGAATCACTTGTGGACTCTACGACACGCTGCTTCTTTGAGCAGCTCGAATCTCGTTTCGTGAAGACTGGGGAAGTGTGCCCTCTCTCCCGGTGGGTCCAGATGTACGCTTTTGATATAATGTAAGTCTCTATCCAATCCATAAAGAGGGTATACTCGGTGAAGACGTCCTAAACTTACTTTCCACAGCGGCGAGCTTACATTCAGCAAACGGTTTGGATTTCTTGAGGGCGGTAAGGATATTGATAATATGATATACCATACTGGGAAAGCCATGGATTACATCGGAATCGTAAGACTAAATCGCGTGCCGATTGGCATTGTGTCTAACTGACCAACAAATTCTTCAGATGGGACAGTTGCCATTCCTGGATGAATATGTAAGACTGAAGGGATTCGGCCACATCCTCCGAAAGATCCGTCCAACGGGACCTCTTATGAAATTCACGTCAAAGCAAATAGACAGCCATATTGCCACTCATAACTCCACAAGACCCGACTTCTTGACGAAATTTCTCAAAGTCCGTGCCAAAGACCCTCAACTTATGACAGACCAACGGCTTGCAACATACGCAAATACTAATGTCAGTGCGGGATCTGATACTACCGCGATTTCTCTCAGGGAAGTCATATTCAGGATTTTAACACATCAGGGATGCTTGGAGAAGATCCTGACTGAGATTCGTATCCTTATTCAGAAACGCAGCTCAACTGGCGCAAATGAAGAGGAACTGATGAACCCAATAACTTGGTCAGAAAGCCAGTCCATGTCATACTTTCAAGCTGTGGTCAAGGAATCTCTCCGAATTCACCCCGGTCTAGGACAACTCATTCCACGTGATGTGCCTCAAGGGGGCATGGTGGTTTGTGGACAGTATCTGCCGGGAGGGACTGTAGTTGGCTGCAATGCATGGACAGTACATCGTGATCGAAGCATTTTCGGCCACAATGCGGACGATTTCGTGCCTGAACGTTGGCTAGAGTGTGATCAGGAGAAGTCTCGGGTTATGGAGAATGCTATTTTTACCTTTGGCGCGGGCTCGCGCGTTTGCCTTGGGAAAAACATCGCCTTGCTTGAGATATCAAAGCTCGTCCCCGAATTTCTGCGACGGTTTGAGGTCACTCTGGTTGACCCTAGTAAGTATACTTTGCGACCTGGTTGGCTAGTACTACAGGAAGGGCTGGATGTGAAGTTGGAAGTTCGGGATCAACGAGTATTTTTGTGACGAATGGGAGTATCTGTCATGGTAGCTACTGGGTTCAAGTTGGATATACTTGGGTGTTTTACAAGATATGAGGGAGAAGTGGGGTCCATATCCTCAGTCCGGGTGTGATTGCAAGGGGGGTAAAAGTGAGTAGATATTTTGTTATAGTGCACCCAATATCTATTCAAACTAAGAGGGTATCCTACTTTGCATGTGGGGTTCTAAACCTGAAAACTCTGTAATTACAAGTGTATAAACATTTTACTTGGACAGAGTAAAATGACCTGTCGATCGGGTAGTGATATCAGGAGTAGTGCATCCCTAGTATATAATATCAGAATATTGCACAGGGTATTCGGCAGGCTAAAATGTTGCATTTATCATTGCTATATAGGCTCCATGACTGGAGGCGCGTAAGGGTGAATAAGGTGTTGGCCATGCTAATATAATTATGTGACCTCACCTACCACCACGTCGGTAGATGCTCCAACGGATTAGGAAATTAGATCACTTCGCCCGCTGTAGCAAGTGCATGTGAAAGATTTTCTATACACAGAAGTCCGAGAAAATTCGTTCTTTCGTATCGAATATTTGGAAATGTTCAAGGCTGACATTGCCGCAGAAAGATCTTTGGAAATTTACCAAGAAAACTGCTGATTTGCCTCAACGTTACTAAAACGCGAATTGGGTTGGGTTGGGTGATGGTAGTAGTATTGGTCCTCTGGCCTCTCGCTTATAGTTGAATCCCGGGTTAAAATGATATGATATGATATGTGGTTGTGATGTGTGCCCTTCATCTAAAGGACAGGCTGTTAAAGGTTAGCCTGGTCGGGAAATATGGGACGCTATAATTGACGACCACTATGCTAATAATAAGTGTACTTACACTTACACGATAGTCAAATAGATCATAAGACGTGTACCTCGGTTCAGAGAGCTAAAGGTGGAATTTTGAAATCTCATAATCTATGCACACGAATTTATCTCCTGTATTGCTTTAATTGAAGAGAATTCCAAGTCGCTCGCGATGAGAGGCACAGTACATAACCCCAGGCACCGGCTAATACAGGCCTTGAAGTGGCTTTAAATCCGTCAGAAAAGCAATAGGGCTAAAGCAAGTGGATGTGCATAGAGAGCAGTACTGTTCGTACCATGCATGTCGCTTTAAATGTTTTCCGTGTTGATTGCTATTTGAAATAGAATACGAATCTGCACCTAGCTTAGTGTGTTGTGATTAAGGATCAAACTTCTTAGGCAACGTGCGGGCACCCACAAGATAATAAATATATTATCTTCTGTTTACATAAAATGTTTTTTTCTGACTTGCAGCCTCGTCGAGACTTTCGAAAATCTTAATTGTGACTTTGGAACAATAGGTCTTTCGAACAGAACATGAAAGATAACAAGCAAATCAAGAGAGAATCTAATTGTAATCAAAAGGCAGAACCGCAAAATGAAAGAATCAATCAGGGGGATAATTCCCAGCAGCCATGAGAGTAACTTCCAGAGAAGCAGTAAATGTCACTCACAGTAGCCTGGGATTGAAACATCATGTATAGCACCACGGCATATGACACAAACATAGGCAGCCATATACACAGATGGGGGCAGGATCAATTGCGAGGTAGAGTTAGTAGCAATATGTCCGAGTTACCAGACATCGCGGGAAGTAGGCTAGACGTCTGCCTTCGCTTATACGAAGTGATAAAGATAAATGCGCAAGCGGACAATATAGCAAAAGAGGCAACCAACCGGCGACAGCCCCGAGCATACTCAACCAAGATACGCAGTAAATATTCATGTAATACCAATGCCTTCAAGTTCAACTAGCACCTTACCAAGTCGAGCGAGATCGGGTATTTGTCTATACATCCCCAATAACAAGACCAGTCTGTGGCAGGTTGTGGAGATATTTAGGTTTAATATTACCTAAAGCAAGGGGTCAGCATATAAGCCATTATCATCAACGCTACCATCAGCCGTACATACATTCAATAGTGCATTTAAGAGATCAAAGCCACCCACGCAGACTTTTACTGTGGGACAATAACATGAAGCCTAGTGGAAAAACCTAACTGAATAACAGAAAATCACCCATGTTTTCCAGGCGCAGTACTGAAGTGAGGCATCGAGACTGGGGGCTGACGACGTACGTGAGACGAACAATTCGAAATGTATAATAGACTCTGGCCCAAAATAGAAGACAGCGTATGCCGGCAATTTGCTGTTTTTCTATATTTACCATATCAGACATAGAGCCTAGCAACGAACCTTGGAAGGAGTTGCGGACTGATTGAAAACACGGACGTCTAAGCAATATACTCCGAGGTCGGGTCTAAGCTATTCAACTCAGATCTCTAGTAATAGTACAAGCAAACAATATAGTACAGAGAGGTACTGAGTCTGGAATACTAGCCAACAGCCTTCATAGACGTGCCATCAAGTAACCACTAATATGATCAAAGCTAGATAAAGACGCCCAATCTCAGAATATTTCCTTTTCATTGCTCATGTCTAACAGCTCCTCATTCGCTCCTTGCTTTGATACTTTGTCAATAATACTACAATGGCTGCTTAAAGTATCAAAGGTTCACAGGTTAATGTCGGTTACCATGTCTTTTACAGCAGGATAGCAGACCACATATAACGGCTGTGTCTGGTGGCACGCTTTACGAATATCCAGCAGCTAGGAATAAATGGGCATAAAATGGGTTGATATATTCATCTTCTAGGCATATTCATGCTAAGAGAAAGACTGACAGGTCTTATAGGTAAGAGGTACGATGGATTGTTTCAGTAGAAGTTAGGGAAAAGTTCAGTCAAAACCTCATTAAGCACTAATGGCAAAGTAACCCTCTGCTGGTCATGAGAATCTCCATTAGTCGCACCACATGTGTTGTTGCAGTTTGTTGTAGCAGCAGAACAGTAGACATAAGGCAGCTTTCTCTGAAAATTTGGCTCACGAAAGACCTTATGCAGTAGAAGCTTGACGTAAAGTGTCATCGAGCATTACTATCGAGTCGGCTGTATAACCAGGTGGTACTTGTGAAAGTCAGAAAAGCGCGGCGATGTCAACGAAGCTTGTTATTCGAAACCACCAATAACTTGGCAGATATATCCGGCCCCGTATAGTACTTGTGTTAATCATAGTACCATGCTTCTGCACCTTCACTTGAACACGTAGTTTATTTCGGGGCTTAATTCACATGCGGACGGACAACATGAGAATAAGAAAACTACACACAGCCTCGGTCCAGCCACCAATCACGTTCAACTCAGTCAAAGTCCACTCAAAAGTGTCCTTCCATAGTGATAGAGCCTGGGTAAGCATCAGGATTTACTCATAAAATAATGTTTATCATTTTTATATCTATCTCATTTCTTGGATATCTGCAACAGCCGAATCAGGATATTCTTGGATAGTCGAACCATTTTATAACGATGTTGTATACCAGATTCAAAAATAGAAAGATTATTTTTTCAAACATACTATTACATACATTAAGAAGATATTTACATTTATAATAATACCATACTGCTTATGTGGTAGTTGTCTGTATATATTATATATTATATACTCAACCTCAGCTAGCTCTCTTATATGATCGCCATGGCTAAGATCCCTCACGCTATATGATTTTTGATAGAACGTGGATTGACTGTGATTTGAAATTCGAGTGTGCTGTGTCAGTGGCCACCATTACTGTAATAAAATAAGTGATGACAGTGGAGATCAACAATATGAGGATAAATCATAAGATATTGATCTGGTGAACACAAGAAGATCAGCAATTTTGTAGTGGTCAAGGTTGGGGTTAGTCAAATTGAAGTGGAAGAAGTTGCTCAGATCCTAGAGTGTTAGTTGACTGTTCCAGGTCGTATATATCAAGATTAGACGTAGCCCAGCACTGTATTTTTAGTTACAATATATATTTTTGCTTTTGGAACACTAATTATATTTAAGTAATGATATCTTGCTATTCTACTATAATCCTTATAGTATTATATTATATGCTCAAGCGCGGGAGTCCTGCTACATGGTATTCCTAGTGTGAGGTACTGTTTCTTCTGGTAACTGACGGGAAGCTTCAAGCACAAGCTAGCACGGATAACCTTCAGGAAGACCTTCCAATCTATCAGCATATGACATTAATTCAAAGTCAATACCGTGGATTACTTTACATGGAGTTTTGTTCATGGTTCTAGTGGAAGAGGAAGGTCATATAAAAACAGTATCAGCACATTAATAAAGCTCAGTCTACCTAGCCCCCATTTCATGGCCTCGCTCGGTTAACACTCGCTATTAAAACAGCCACTAGGACTGCAACTTCTAAATGGACATGCTCAGTATGCAAAAGACAGCTACCATAGTATTTATTATACTTCATGAAGCACGTTGCCGTTAAATAATATAAGTAGTAAGCAAATTGGCCATGCAGATCGGCCACCTCTGTATTTCATACTAATCCAGTAATCCTTGAGCTCCAATACCTTCGCCAGACTTTTCATCGGATTTATACTGTTAAATCAGCATATTAATGTATATCTAATCTTAAATCTACAGGTTATGTCGGGCATACATTAATATAGAAGTATGTTACATTACATTATATTTCAAAGTAGTTTGTATTACTAGTATTATGAATAATAACTTTATGATATATTAAAATAGATAAATTTTCGGCTTTATATAAGTGTAGATACTTTATACATCTAATTCTGTACATAGAGCTCTTTGTATCTCGGTTTATGGGCTTATCCATCATCATAGTGTTATAGCTGCCAATTTGTTGACTCATTTGAAATTGAACTTTTAGTTCAGATTACACTAATCATTCTATTGATAAGTAACTGAAATATTATTATTATATTAAAATACTTCAACTGTTAACTGTTACTTTTAAGCGTTACCATTAACCTGATCTGGCTGTTAGCCACTCTACTTATTACTATCTAGGAGTCGCGTAGCGAGAGGTATAAAGAAGAGGTTCCTGGTATAATACTTGCTAGTCAGGTGGCCACGCCTACTAGTATTACTGCTTCAACATTTTACATACTCTCTTGCGAACATTACCGTCCGGTTGTAAGTAGTCTGATGTAGGAGAAAATTAGCATCCTGTTCTTATGTAATATATATACTATATAAATTCGAGGGATGGTTAGTCATGAGTATTCAGAGCAGATGGCTAGACAAATCAAGAAGACTCTCTTCCAACAGAGATAAGAAATAAAGAGTCATAGTTATATAACTTCCATTTTCAAAGATAAGTTATATATATTAAATAATTAGATCTGCTTTTCTATATTCTTTTTTTTATTTCGGGTTTTTATATTCTTTTCTTTATAATACTAGTTTTTTTTGTATATTGTCCTCGTCTATATCTTTTATTGCGGTGTGATGTTGCAATGATCAGTTATTGATAATATATATACTTGGTCTCTTATATAACGAGGCCGGAGAGGTAAAAGGGGTAAAGGTATAATAAAACAGAGAAAGTTCAAAGGATTAAGCTAATACAATAGGTATATATGATAATCTATAGTCAAGCTGGAATCAATCCAATAACACGACAGCATTACAACAGTCCACCGGGTGCATTGGGAAGGCAAGGTGCGTAGTAGATATAACAAGGAAGTTTTTCTGGAAAAAGAAAAGACCAGGCTTCACTAGACTAGAAGATTAAAGATCTATTAAATAGATAAAAGGGAAGACTAAGACAAGAATAATAACAACTTAAGAGGTCTGAGTAAAAAGAAAGATAATAATATTATTCTTGTTACTATAGTTAAGCCTGGATGATTATCTATTTAAATTAGTCTGGTCTTGTGGCACCTGATAATCTTCACAAAATTAAAAAATAAATAGTAAGGTTGGCGGTTATTACATGTAGGATAATCGCCGTCTTACCTTGGGATTATTGACATAGTCCAAAGGAACCAGAATAAATCAGGTCTTATAGTGCTGGCTAATCATTGGCCGGCTGCAAAAGGGGTTTATGCAGTGGGTCTCATCCTCTAGATTGGAGCGTGTATTCTGTGGTAAGATATTAATTCAGTATTGACTATTCTATTCAGACCTGCAATGTATTTTCTATATATTTTCCAAGTACTACTGTTTTCTACCTGACCATCGTCGGCGTCGCCCATATTATTGGGGAAACGGCCGGATAATTTCCTACATGGGCCGGTTAAAGTCTAAGTCATACGGGATAACTTTAGATTTAATTTAGTGCTCCATAGCTTTACCTTCTTGCAGCCACAGCGTGCCGCTTTCTGCCATCTCAGTGCTGTTCTGGAAGGGTTCTTCTTTACCTGGCTGAGGTAGCTTTTCATACTATGTAACATATGTCAAACCGACATCTGCATGAATCCTCTGTATATATAAGGTATCACCTGATACGGGGGGCAATGCGGATAATAGTTTGAAGCAATGGATGCTTGTTAATTGGATGGTAGCGGGGAAAAAACCAGAAAAGAAAAATTACCTAATGATGTATAAGCAAGGAGCTAAGCCACAGGGGACAGCTTCATGTTTTGAAAAACAGAAGATACCAGTCCTGAGGGGAACTGATGCTGGCCAGACGGACGTGTTAACTACCTAAATCAGGCATGGGACACTGTTTGACTCGGACCGCCCGACTCCCTTTCTGGGCTTCGGAGAAATTTTCTCTTTGAGCTCTATTACATTGTCTGCAGTACTCTCAATCCACTCGAACAATTTCTTTTTTTCTTCCCCCTTACCGTGGCCCCTTCAAGCATACAAAAACTGCAATAGCCCACCTCAAGCCGTATGTACAATCAGGACTGCGTACAGGTAGTACCTTGCCTACAAGTATTAATCTTCGTCTACTGTAGGTAACTGCCTCAGATAAAGAGGCCAACCTAAGCAGGTGCTACTGTTGAGAATGTGGTCAAGGACACGGAGAAGACTTTTAAAGGAAAAATCCAAATGGCTTGTGGTGGGGTGTTAGGGGGCGAATAACTGTGGTCAATAACAAAGAAGGACCCAATGGGTGATAATATAGCTATAGTACTTAGCAGTCGAAGTTCACAGCGTGGTTGATGTTAAGAGGATTAACTTTAAGCAATCATACCTTTATAAATGTTCCGGTACATCCGTAATTTCTAGTCGCTGGTTTGTTTGCACCAAATTGCAGAACTACCACACCTCGAGATGACATCCTAAGCCTGCATAGCCCGGTATTACGGCACCAGGGTATCCACGTCTTCCTCCCAGAAGATATACTACAGAGCTGACCCAACTCGCCGTACTCATACCGAACAGGGAATTTTCAAAACTATCCACCGTTCTAGTGGTACAGTGTATGACTCATTGAGTGATTGTCCTGGAAACGCCGTTCCATCAGGAATGATTGTGATCATTGCCTGACAGGGTCAACTCATTCCTGTCGAATCAGTCCCTTTAACGGTTACAATCCGGATTCGACGTTGAAAGACTGAGTCCTCTCCTCGTCTGATACTTTTGATCACAGCTATTCTCCTAGCTCCTACATGGCAGTACAAGATCTTTTGATTACTAGCCTTGGCGTTACTCTTTCAAAGAGATAACGGCAGACCAGATTGGTTTCGATCCTGTCATGCCACATCTGTTGCCGGCGCCTAGGTAAATGAAGCCGGAAATAGCAAATCCCAGCTGATCCGCTCGTCGTTGCTGGCTGTCATCCGTGCTTTGCCTTATTTTGCGATGCGTCGATAGCTCGGTCAATCGGTTTCCTTCTATTACTTTCCAAGCTGGAAGTAGCAGCAATACCCCAAGCAAGAGGTTGTCATTGGAGCTAGTCGCACATGACAGTCAATGACATTGCTCATACTTTCGATGGACCATGCTACATGCATGGTTGCTGGTTTCGACTTAAAAACGTTCCCCTATTATTCCCGCCGCCCCCGGCTTAGCGCTGTCGCGATAACAGGGCAGGGTGAATTAAGCCCAGCAGGTTATTGCACTTGAAACCAATTTTCTTGCCGGAGTACTATGCCCGCCTCTAGAGCTTGTTTGATTGTTGTGCCATGAGCTCTGCTTAGGGATTAACTTCATGCTTGCACCACTGCATTGTCTTCTATGAAGTCAAAACAAACAGAGCGCATACACAGTAGAATATAAGTTTTCTTCGCAGCCCTCAGCTATCCCAGCCTCTTCTTTCTCAAAGGGTGAGGAGAAGCTTAATCTGCAGGTATGTCTCTCTGTATTAGGGACTGTAGCGTCCTTGAAACTATAATAAATACGCGATACTAAACAGGGAGTCATGTGTGTGGCCGCCTTATCCACATCCTCAGAATCATTAGCTTTTTCCATCGTGTTTCATGAGTATGAGCAGGCCATGTGATGCTTGAACGAGGCATTATTCGCCATCGGATGATAAATCGTACTGACAGGCCTCTCAGGCGTCGAGTTCGTTGTACCTAAGTTAGATGATATGCTCTCTTCATTGTATTCGTATTCAGGTTTCTTAGCCAGCTCAAGTGGCCCACATTGGCTAGCTCAGATACTTATTTGTCGCTAGTCGCGTGGTCGAAGTAAATGAGCCACTAGTTTCCAATTGTGGCAAATAGACACGGACACCTACTTGGGCTATACACTCTCAGAAAGTAGAGAACGGAGTATACGGGATATAATTGAATCAGCCCTGTGTATACTCTCAGGGAGCCAACGACAAAGTATACATTCACTTAATATATAAGGACTCTCATTCAGCCAGCGAATTGATTTGGCTTTCCTTTTCGATCCTTTGTCTCTAAGCACGCCTAAGTTTGGCTCACGAACATATGCCATACGTTCGTGGGACATTTGTCTAATCTGGTTACAATTGGTTGATCGCGATTCAAGTATAATCAAGGGCACTTACAACAAACGTCTTGCACATCAACTGGCCTTACTTTTGCTCAAGCAGTCCCCTCAGACGCCCGAACTTCGAGCGCGGCTTAAGTCATTTCACATAAGGAATTGTCAAGATAGTTGACCTACTTGGACACATGGGTCCCAATGGTTTAATATTGTGCTCCTAATTGTCTATATATACGATAATCTAATCTAGGGCTTATCTGAGAACCAGGCACAGAGTCTAGGAAGATGCCAAGAAAGGAAAGGCCTTTCCCCCCCCCAAAAGGGGCAGAAAGAAGAAAGGATGGAAGGACAACGGAAAATGGAAATACATGAAAAAAAACGTCATGGAAAACCTGACTTCTACTCTGCCTTCTTGGAAGCCTTGGTTCGAAGCTTCATCATGACAAACACCAACATGTATCCACTGATCGCGAAGATCACGCAGATTCCAGCATCTCGCCAGCCGTAGTAGTAGTCGTTGATGTTGAGTGTCTTCAAATAGTCACTCCCACGGGTATATTCACAGACTTGGCACTGGGAAGTCGCCTCTGGGTTGATCAGATTGATGGCAGAGCCCGCACCGGCCATATATTCTGACAGATACTCTTTGCACGTTCCATTAGGCGGGTCAAAGTAAGCGAACTCATCTGAACTGCAGACCACCTCGGCGTTCCAAATTCCGAAGGTGAGCATGCCTCCCACAACATAGTTGAAAGGGTTTAGGTAGTAGAACCAGTACTTCCAGAATACATTCAACTCTGGCTGAGGAACGAAAGCACCACAGAATAGTACTAAACTGTTCACAATCAGAGGATTGACCAGAGCTGCAAACGTCGCGTTTGGAGCATAGGCCGCCACGAATTGCCCAATGCCAGTGTAGATAAATTCATATATCAGCATGATAAAGAAGATTGCTCCAACTTCATTGGATGCATGAGGCAAGTTTGTCTGATAGTACCAACAGACAAAATAAGAGACAGCACAAAGGCAAAGATAGGGAAACTCAGAAACAATAAGACCTGTAACAAAAGCAATCCAGGAGTACATCCTCGACTTCTTTTCCCGGGCATCATAAATGTCACGGCGTTGAATAAACAGAGGCTGGAGCTGGTTGATAACGCCTGGTGCAACAAATGTGAAATTAAAAATGGTAAACATTTTTAACTGTAGACCTTGCACAGTGTGTCCAAGATGCCAAAATGAAAAACCATTGAGTAAGGCAGAAATAATGTGTAACTCCAGCTTGTTATTCACATATTTTGTATTCCTCAGCAAGGCCACATTCATTCGTTGCGTAACGAGCTTTATTTGGGTCCAGAGACTGGTAGCAAACTCCCTACCGTCATCTACCGTTGCTGGTGGTTTAGCAGCAGCATCAGCAACAATGTGATCAAGCTCTGCTAATGCAGCGGCATTTTCATTGGAATCCAGCCAAACTTGGTGCCAATCCTTATCTTTCACAGCTTCAATACCGCCAGTGACCACATCAATCATATGCTCAGCGGGATTGCTGTTTGTCGGACAGGGTGCTCCGTATCGTGCAAAGTAGTTCTTGACTGTACAAGCATTGTCACCAATATCACCGAAGTAGACCATCTTGCCCCCTCGAGCTAGTAGAAGAAGCGTATCAAATTGAGCAAATAGCTGAGCAGAGGGCTGATGAATCGTTACTAGGATTGCCTGACCAGCATCAGCTAGTCGGCGCAAAAATCTGACTGTGTTATAAGCAGATTGGCCATCAAGTCCAGATGTAGGCTCATCCAAGAATATAAGGATGCTAGGCTTGGAAACAAGCTCAACACCAATAGTAACACGTTTACGTTGTTCAACGCTTAGTCCCTCACCGACACTTCCAATAAGTGTGTCTGCGAGATCATGTAGTTCCAAAAGATCAATAATAGTCTCAACGTAGGCTAGTTTCTCCTCCTTTGGGACATTTTCGGGTTGTCGAAGAAGAGCAGAAAATTCGAGTGCCTCTCTCACAGTTGCAAAGGGTTCATGGACGTCAAGTTGTTCGCAATATCCAGCCATTCTCTGGAAGGACACAGGAAGTTCACGGCCGTCAACCAAAACAGTTCCTCGAATTGTGCCGTCGGTTTTTCGTTGTGCGAGTACATCAAGCAAAGTCGTTTTTCCTGCGCCAGATGATCCCATCAAAGCACCAAGCATTCCTGGTTTGACCCATCCGTAGATATTGTCCAGAAGCACCCGATCTCCCGAAGGGGTCTTTACTGTATAAACCAGGTTTTTCCACGTGAAAACCGAAGTGTTCCGCATAAGTGTGGCACCATTAGAATCATCAGCTGCAGCAATAGCTCGAGTAGTTTGTGATTCTTTGCTGCCTGGAGGTTGGGTTTCTTCGTCTGTATGGTGTTGGAAGTGCTTCATCTTTTCTCGAGGGATTAGAAGCGAGCTACTGCCTGCTCCTCTGGCTTTCCACATGCATGTTGATACAATAGCAATAATCACAAAGAAGACCCACCATCCGCAAATAACTCCGAAATTGCGCCAGAGTTGAGAATGCTTCCAGTGAAGAGCAGCAAGATAATTGTCACCAGTGACATAGGTAGCACCTCTTTCCGCACCTTGCACGCCAGCGCAGGATTGGTATTCGGAGTCACCATAGCCATCTCCATGAGGAATTAGAGACGAGCCAACACAAGGCATTGTTGTATCATGGAATTCATTGGTCAGAGCTGCTTGGAAGGAGTAGGCCATTGGATTCGCGTAATAGAGCTCCACAAACCAATTCTTAATGTGTGGTTTGGGAATCATGTAGCCGGTGTACATCACGAGAAACTTCATGATGATACCAGATAAGTTAGAAGCCACTTCTAGGTTCGGGGATGCAGCGCCAATCGACCTGAACATTGCGTTGATACACTAATGTTAAATTAGCGCAAGACTCAAAATCACTCCTTGTAAGTACTGTTATCCTTTCTCAGTACCAACTGTGCAAGCAACAAATAAGATAGATGCAACTTACAAAAGTGATAGCAATGAGAATGATCCAGAAAGTGAAAAATGCAGCAGCCGTTGCTTTGAGACCAACCATCCAATACAACACAACAGTGAGAATGGTGCATTGAAAAATAACCACAGGAAGCTCTGCAGCCAGGATCGATAAAGCATAGGCAGCTGGATGATGGTAGCCAAATGCTTTGTGTTTGAGTACAATTGGTCGCCCTTTGAAAGAGCCGGTAACTTCAGCCATTGCCAGGGTCACTTGGTAGACCTGAGAGAAAAAGACTGCTCCGCCCTTTGTAAATAAACCAGCCGAAGTATCCGGCGAATTATAGAAACAAGATCCCACGATCAAAGCCATGGCAAGGGAGACAAATTGTCGAATGAAGAAAGTGGACTTTTCGCCCCAGATAATTTGATATTGGCGGATGACACAAATTTTGAGCTGTTGCAGGAATGCAGTCGTTAGGGGGCTGTTTTTCGGGAGTGAAGTGTCTTTTTCGAATGCCACAGATTCTTGAAATGCAATCGTCCGCTCCTGGGCCAGCGGTGTCGCTGGATAGTCATACCCACTCATCATATCTTGGCAGATCTGCGACTTCTGATAGACTGCAAGGAGTTCATCATGTGTTCTGGGAAATAAACCCTCATACCCGGGGATAATCTTCCGCTCAGTTGGTACAGTGACACCACTCAGAAAATCAGCCACATTGGCACCATCAGTATAGCCAAAGCCCAAGTCCTCCATGAAGGGCTTTGCTGAGGATGCTGGACCATAGAAAATTTGCCTGCCTTCATCCAGCACTAAGACCTTATCAAATAAATCATAGATCCCGTTACCCGCTTGGTATAACGTAACAATAGTGGTCAGCCCCAGAATATCAGTCATTGCACGCAACGCTTTCGCCCATTCAAGTGCAGTGGATGCGTCCAGGCCACGGGTGCTGTTATCCCAGCAAAACACCGAGCCCCTTGTTGCCATGCACTCGATGATTGAAACGCGCTTCCTCTCTCCGCCTGAAACGCCACGCACGAACTCGTTTCCAACTTTGGTGTCCTGGGTATGTGAGATCTTCATCGACTCCAGAAGGAATTGCTTGAATTCACCCGCCCAATCTGCTTGAGAGGCCCCTTCAGGACGATGAAAAGGGACCTTCAGACGGGTAGCAAAGTCCATGGTCTGACCAACTGTCAGAGTCGGGAAGAAGATCTCCTCCTCGCTATTCATTACGATCTGGCTCTGATACGGCATGGCCTGTTCGGGTGTCATAGTGCCAAATTTGATATCCCCTGTAACTGATCGATAGCCGGCTCTCCGGTTTGAGAGGATGTTCAACAAGGTAGTGCAACCGGAACCCGGACGTCCTAGTACAAGAAGCATTTCTCCCGGCTTCACGCAACCATGACTGTTCTGTAAGATGTGTCGCATGGGAGGCTTCTTTCGCATATCACGCGCAAGTTGGACAAGGTTGAATTGGGAGAAAAAGTTTTCGTTCACTGCCGCCTCTGCTGAAAGGACTTCGACCGTCAAATTTTGCCAGGTAACGCCTAGCTCCCGCTTGCTATAGCCTGCAGCCAGATCTCGTTCCTGCATCGCCAAAACCTTGCCAGACAACTCGGAAGTGGCTGGTGCTTTTGGAAGATGCTCTCCCCCGTCATGGGGATCTGTGAGGGTCTCATGGCTCTGCTCCTCACGAATATGGGAAGTTTTTTCCGTAATCACGGGTGCCACTCCCTTTTCCATTTCTATAATTGAAGTTATGATTCCCTTGAAGTGGAGGAATAAGACTTCGAAAGAATCAAGCAGCTTAAGGACTTTGTAGTCGGGGCATGCGATACGATAGAAGATAATTGACAAGAAAATGAAGTGGAATAATCGAAGATAATGAGTTAATGCAGTAAAGGAGATTGACTGAAAAGAGAGAGACAAGGTTCTGGAGAAGGAAACTTGAGGAACAACTTGGTTATGCCGTGCAGGCCCCATCGCCCTTATAAACACCCAACGGAGCGAATGAGTAATGTTCCGTTATGGGGCCAACTATGAAATGTTCATCTGGGATAGGTTTCATTGTGCGATAAGAAAGAGTAACTGGATATCGATTCCGATCAATACACAACGATGCCGATTACGCATTAAATGAGCGATTTATTCATAAAATTTGTATAAGATACATAGTCTGAGTGGGTCAGCAATTTTGGGGGGGGAGTTCGATAATCAATAGATCAAGACGGCACCAAAAGCGCGAAGTATTGGGGACAAGAACTTCGGCTAAACGGCAGCCTTCCACCTCGGGTAGACCAGGACCGGCAATTGACATACAAGAAGTCCCATAGGGTCTTCTATCCTTATCCGCAGTTCTATATGCATTTACTGTGCTCCGCATTCCGTATACAGTGACATACTTAAGGTTCAGGCAGTTTATTGCTGTCTAGTATCGGTTGGTGATGGAGGGATATCCCACTGGAAGTTCATGGTGAATTTCTGGCACAGTGGGTGAATGGTATTTTGTATTATTACAGTCACTCTGTGAAGAGAGTTTAGACTAGTGAGATAGATGGGCAATAGTTGAACATCATAATAGATCTATTTATGATTGCTCAATTCCTTCAGACATCGCGGCCAATCTGACACCAGATGAGAGTTTGGAGTTGCGGATGGTTAAGTGGGGGCCCTTCTGAGCTAATCGGCACATATGCCGACGGATTTTATTATGCGTGCTGAAGTTTGCATTACTCTGTATGCATGTCTACATTTCGATAACACGACACTTCTATGAAAGACCCTCGGTCAGCATACGACACTGAAACGATCCAACGTATCTCTTACTAGTTACAATCGTGAAGAATCGAGATTGTTACATGAGAAGCATTCAATTCCAATCCCCTGTTTGTCATAAGACTGACCTCATACAGGTTACTCTTAAGTAGCCCTATAATCTCTTTCAGTGGATGTGGATGGCTGGGAGCACAAGATATTATGCATGCATTTCTGAATGCAATAGTTATCCATGCTATAATCTTCTTCCGAATACTAGGTGGCGAACGAACCTCCACATGGCCTACTAATAAAAAGGGCCGGCCGAAATTCGAGAACCTGATATAAGTATCTATAATTGAGAATAAACCTAATTGAGCTTGTTTACCACCCGGAGTGGAGATATTCTAGAAAAGTCACGACTACTACTGGTTCTGACTTAAGATCACATGATTTGTGCCACGGCAATACAACTCCTAGCCCCATCTTAGCTTGTACGTGATCTCATCTAAGTATTATTGAAACTCGGAAATCTAGCTGTCTTGGCGCAAAGTGTGTTCCATCCATTGAGTTATACTTTTTGCCATCCCTAACTTATCTTAATATCTTCAGGGCCCCCTCCCTTCTACTTCCATTTTGCACTTCCGTAACGTATCCTTTTCTCGAATTTACGCACATTTTCACTCAGAACATGCGCCCCCGAGCAATGCCTTCTTCCGATCATTCACAGTCCGATAAGGTCCGTAAGCGTGTCTGCAAAGCATGCGATCATTGCCGTCTTAAGAATACAAAGGTATATTATTAGAAGAATATCCCACATAAGCCATTAGTATTATTTGTATAGTTGACTAAATACAAAAGTGTAATGGACAAAGCCCATGTCGTCGCTGTCAAACAGACAAAATAATCTGCGTCTATGGGAGACAAAAGAAGGTGCAAGATAAAGTATACCCTAAGGGGTGAGCTAGCCCTAAAACAATTGATGTATAATCGGAAGATATAAGTTGATAATTTAACTCATGTCTGGAAGATACGTTGAAAGTCTGGAGCAGGAACAAAAGTGGCTGGTGTATGGTTGGCGGGAGTTCTACCGCCGCATAGCTGTGGGCTGCCCGGTGGTCCCTTGAGGCTTGAGGACAAGGGTCATCCGCTCACCCACGACCTGCTTACGCGGCTTGGCGTCTTTGACAAATCCTATGGTAATTGCATCAAGGACACCCCCGAAACTATGCAGCAAGAGCTGTGGAATAATAACATACAATGCCAAATATTGAGCGATAGGAGCTCTTACAGCTCGGCGTGGTCTGAAATAAACCCCGCGTGGTCTAACACTAAATATGGAATAACCCTTTTCCATCTTAACCATGATGAGGATTTTGATTTTCATAAAAATTATATATTTTCAGTATACTAAGATAATGCACATCTCAAAACTAAGCTTAAGAATATTATAAAAAAAGATTCTCTAATAAAATATTCTAATAAATATTTTAAGTATTCTAAAATCTCTAATTACCTTAAAAATTCTGATATATAGCTTATTATAGACTCATCGTGGTTTAAAACTAAGATTCTTGACCATGATGAGCTTTTGCCAAGAACAGCTCAGCGTGGTCTGAAGAGGGCAGTAAGATGACTGGCAGAATATTAGACCACGCTCACCTTTTTTCAGACCATGATGAGCTGCGACCCGGGGTATTTACCTTCTCACGCCGCTCAGTAACATAAGGTTCCGAATAATTACCAGACAAACCAACGTGGAAAAGCCATTTCCCGGGAGAGATCGCCGCTATCTAAACGGTTCAAGTGCGCTAGAACAACCAAAACCAAGAGGCTGAAGCGGGTGGAACGAATAAGCAGGTCTATCAATAGGATGGATTCTTCATTTTCACCACACTTTTGGTCGGATTGGGGGGTCAGATGACAGCCATGGCCGTCGAGGACTAGGAGGCTGTATTTCCTACTGCTCCGCCTCTAACCAACGGGATGAAGTGCTTTTGAAGCTATCGAAGCCCAAATAGATCGGTAGTCCCGCCATTATCGCTGACCTCAATCCTCCAGGTACAGGGAACGAAATTATCTTCATAGCATGCGTGGAGATGCGTTCCGCCCATAAAGATCAAATTGGAGGCAAAACCTCTCTGTTTGAGTTCTTTGGTAGTTGTATCGTCCAGCTCCACGAGCCCGAAGAGTAGTTAGAGGGATATTATAGAGCTGCGCAACCTGAAGAATACTAGCGATCTGGTCTTCTTGAATAGCTTATGGCTCGAAGGACCTTATCTTCTTGCTTCTGATTTCGGTGGCATCTGTGGTGGTTGAATTGCCTCCTCCAGGAGATCGGAGGTGGTGTTTTGGAGGGGGTGGGCCGCGCGACCGTGGATCGCTACTAGTATTTTAGTAGCCGTAAACACTCCACCTTCTATCATATCGAATATGTTACCACCGTGCTGCAATGTGGGGACGATGTAACACTTTTACGTATGAACAGCCCGGATATATGTTACGGCACTACTATACAGTATTTTTGCGGCATAAAAAAGGCCGGAATAACGGCACTCCCGCAGTATTGTGTCTGCCTCTCTTATGCACCAGTTGTGGAGCATAAATACCAACTCTACTAGCCACCAATCCGCATTGGTATGGAATCGGCACATTGTGGATGCAAGGGGATGGAGACAACGAGATGTGCTATCGAGGAAAGCAGAGACAAGCAAACACGGACATGCCCCAGTCGCGCGTTGTTTACTTCTTCAGATCTTCCTGGTTATAGAGTACTTACCGACTGGAAACTATATATTGGACGACTGACATCCGTAGGTCGAGATCTGTGAAATCACACTTAGTTTACTTGCCTGCCATCCCATAAGAAACATGACCATTGCAAAGGAAGCTGTCCTAGTCACAGGGCGCGCTCCTCGGAGACTCCTTGCCGCTCATGTCGATGCGATTGCAGTCACAAGTCCAACTCAACTGTTTGGCTTGACCCCCAATGGCACGCACGCTGCGGCCGGCTTTCGAGAAGTGAATTTTGAGGCCTTGTGCCGTGCGGTGAACACCATGGCATGGTGGTTAAACAAGCATCTTGGTAAATCGAACAATGAAACCATTGCATACCTAGGGTGCAACGATATCCGCTACATTGTTCTCATGCTGGCTTGCCACAAAACTAATTACACTGTGCGTGTGGCAAATATCTGTACTGGAGTCTGACAACAACTGATTGTGGTGTAGCTCTTTCTCCCTTCGACTCGTTTGGCAAACGATGCATACAACCATGTCCTTCACGCAACCCAGACCACACGGTTGCTTTTTAGTCAGGAGAAGAAACAGCTGGTCTCGCGGTTGACCGGTCTCAGCAAGGCCATTCCCTCCCTGGAAATACCCAGTGTCGCTGAATTGTTTAGTGACCGTGACCACACAGGTCACCTTCACTATGATTGGACCCCTTCTTTTGAGGAAATGGAAAATAGGGTTGCTTTTGCCATCCACAGCTCGGGAACAACAGGTATGAGGGAGGCGAGAGGAAGCCACTAAACATCGAACCCATTGCCCCTGAATGTACGGCTGATGATCCCCCGTCAATTCTGCAGGTATGCCCAAACCGGTATACCTAACCCATGGATTCCTAGGCACTATGGACTACGGCGCGTTTATACCGCGTCCCGAAGGCCGCTCCTTGTCGTTTTTCAACGATCTAGCCTCAACCGATCCTGATTCCAAGGACCTAGTTCTCTCCGTCACGCCATATTTCCATCTCATGGGTCTCGTCTCATTCTTCGAATCCATATTCCACAACCTTCCCTTCGTGGCCAGTCCTGACCAGCCATTGTCGGTCAATTTCTTGATCGACATTCTTCATCACACGCGCCCGACCGTTACTATTCTACCCCCCTCCATCCTGGAAGACATGAGTGAGTCGGATGAAGCCCTAGCATGCTTCAGCAAGCTTAAATTTATTTGTTATGGCGGAGCACCTCTAGCCCCAGAAGTCGGGGCCAAACTGAACCAGTATACCCAACTTAGAACCCCTATCGGTTCCACTGAAATGGGTGTTATCAGCTCGCTGGTGCCACAGCACCACGACGATTGGGGATACTTTGAATGGAACCCGGCCTATCGTGTCGAGATGCAAGACATTGGGGATGAGCTGTACGAACTGGTCATTCCCCGAGTCGAGAACTCCCGCCTCATGCATGGGGTCTTCCACACGTATCCCGACCTCAAGGAATACCGGTCCAAGGATCTGTATGTGCGACACCCCCACAACCCGAACCTGTGGCGGTATCATGGACGATTCGACGATGTGATAGTGCTCAGCAATGGAGAGAAGCTGAATCCCATCTCGGCAGAGAAAGTCATAGAGGGCCATCCGTCTGTGCATCGCGCGCTGGTCATCGGCCAACGCCGGTTTCAGACCTGTTTGCTCATTGAGCCTTCCTCAGATCTGGCCACAGACGCCATCGACGAGCCGAGCTTCATCGCGACCATCTGGCCCCTGGTCCAGGCCGCCAACCAGATACTTCCGGAGTACGGACAAATTATGAAACATATGATTCTACTCGCTTCTCCCACTAAACCATTTCAACTGACTCCAAAGGGAACGACTCAGAGACACGCAGTCAACTTGGCCTACACAAGAGAGATTGACGCGATCTATGCCGCACAGGATGAACAGCAAGTCGAAGTGAAGTTACCAGCGGCAACAGACTACGAAAGCTTGCGTAACTACTTGCAAAGCATTATCTCATCGCTCACTGGTCGCTCGCAGGACCTCAAGGACAGCGACGATCTCTACACACTGGGCCTCGATTCAATGCGTGTGATACAGCTCAGCAAGACTTTAGGAAGCTCAGTCAAAGCACGTAACGGAGAGTTGGATATCAAAAGACTCAATGTTCAGGAGCTTTATGCCCATCCCACACTAGGAAAGCTCACCTATCTGCTGCAGGAAGTGCTCCAAGAAAAGACGGCCTCCATCCCAGTCATGTCCCGTGCTGAGAAAATCGCCGAGTTGGTTCACAAGTACACGGATGACCTCCCGGTCCGTATCCTGGGAGCCAGAGATCTTCCTGAACGCTCGACAGTCATCGTAACCGGCTCAACCGGTTCCCTTGGGACCTACCTTTTGTATGGCTTGCTCTGCGATGCGCAGGTCGCAAAGGTCTACTGTCTGAACCGGACAGAAGATGCCGTCGATCGCCAATCGGCCGGTTTCGCACAAAAGGGCCTGGACACTGCTCTACTAGCTGATAAAAGTAGGGTAGAGTTCCTCCATACATCCTTCGGGGAGAGACATTTCGGTCTGAACGAGGCTGTGTACCGCAGACTGCTGGACTCGGTGGACATGGTCATCCACAACGCATGGAAGGTCAATTTCAATCACCCAGTCTCAACTTTCGAAGATCCCCACATTCAAAGCGTTCGCGAGTTCATCAACTTTAGTCTTGAAAGCCGCTACAACACACACATTGCCTTTGTCTCCTCCATCAGTACAGTATCCGCCTGGAAGCCCTCTTCCGCAGGAGAATCTTCGGTTCCGGAAGTGCCCATGGAGACCGTGGATTCGACTCTGGAGCAAGGCTATGGTGAATCCAAGTATATAGGCGAGAGGATTTGTGTGGAGGCATCCCGGAGATCGAAGGTGCCCACTAGTGTCCTGCGGGTTGGACAGATTGCGGGCCCGGATAGTCAATTAGGGTTATGGAACCCACATGAATGGCTCCCTACTATTGTGAAGACATCTATTTCCATGCGCCAAGTCCCTGGGGAACTGGGAAGTTTTGTGGTGGATTGGGTTGCCGTGGTGAGTAACTTGAGCCCCGAATGGGAATATCTTCCCTTCTTTCTTCTCTTCTTCTCTTTCACGTATGCACTAACAGGATAAACAGGACACCCTTGCAAAAATCACTATCGAGATCCTGCACCACCGTCGTCTCGAAGCAGCAAGGTCGGCTTCTGAACATGCGGTTTTTCATCTCACGAATCCATTCCAGGCACCCTGGGCCGATCTCATTCCGGCCATCCAGAAACGGTATCCAGTAGAAGTGGTGTCGTTTGTGGACTGGATAAACGCACTAGGATCTGTCCAGGATTCCTCGTCGGATGATCTCGTTGACAAACCAGCTCTCAAGCTCTTGGACTTCTACCGCGCCATCGCTGGTGGCAGTCATCAGGGCCCGATATTGAGTGTCGAACGGTCTAAGGAAGTCAGTCCGACCATGGCCTCTCTTGGACCGGTATCGCTGAGTCAAATGTCTAACTGGTTGAATCAGTGGGGCTTTTGATGGCACGTTTTTCTCTTTCAGTAGGCTATTGGGACGAATCTATAAGGTTCCACGACAAAGCGGTGTTGGGTTTACAGTAGAATACTGGGATATAGAAGGGTATCTTATTTTCTTCCACTATTGAAATCTGGAGAACTTAGAACTTATAACGAAATTCCGAAAATATTTGCCCTACATAAGGGTACTAGGATTTCTATTCTTGATATAGACGGCATCAACGGTTCTAGCTGCTGCCAACGCCTCGGCCATGTCTCGAGAAAACCCGAAGCATCCCCCGTGGACACAGGTACCATTATTGGGGCCCTAAATCTTGTATCTCAATCGTATATATGGTCGTATGGTGTGAGGATGTATCTGATAACAATTCTACCAATCATTCTAAACCACTTCGAGAGTAATATTATGATTCAAGATATGTGATCCTCCCGAGAACCCAGGGACCTTGCCGCCGGCGATACTACCATTGATGTGAATCCAATCGACTGGTTGAAGCAGTTCACCACGACACATTAGCTTTCAGCAAAACTATGCTCTACATTTAAATATTTTGAGAGATATTTATGTTTTTCTTCTTGTATGGTATTTTTTTTTTTATGTTTTTATTTGAACGGTGAAAACGAACATCGGTATCACTCGGTATATAATGGGAAAATCAATTATGATTATGGTTAACAGGATACAGAAACAAGGGCAGGTACTGTAGCATTTGGCAAGACTGGGCCTAATAGGGTTGAAGGATGCTCTCATAACGACGCGTTAGCAATATGAATTGGAACGGCGGGGTACTGGGGGAAGATTATCTGGCTTCTGGCAAATTTTGTCATGATATAGCGAGGAAAGAATGTATTCGATCCATCTAGATCTTAAGAGGATTGTTGGTTGGTTGGCGGGAGGAGGTGGTGGGTCAGAGACCACGCAGGAAGAAGAGGAGGCAAAGGCTCAGCTGACCCTGGCTGGAGTGATGCCTCAACAGATTACAGGGCGAAGAAGTGAAGTTAAAGCGGCGATGGCACTGAACCCAACAGAAAACAAAAGTGGGTGAACACGGACATACAACAGGATGGATCTGCTCGTGGTCAGCCACTCAATCACAAGTATTTTTCTCCTAATGAGTCATTGAGGGGCGAGGTCGAGGCTTAGGCGTCCATGTGACTGAGGAGACCAAAACCCTTGCCTGTATTACGGTCAAAATGAACTTATGGAAGCTACCCAATTACAACTCCCGAGATAAAAAGCAAACACGGGGATATGCAATGATTGGTAGGGTGTTGCGAATCAGAGCACCGCTAATATGCACCAAATGCCGCGTCCGGGTGCGCCTGACTTGTAAAGGGTGAACAGCACGGCGTCGCTGTCAAATCAGTCTCTGGAGTTTGGCCCACCTTCGGAGCGAATCTGCAGCCTCGCCTGCAAAAAAGCAAGGTATCCGGCTTTCTTCGGATACACTGTAGTGTTAGTGCATTAATCAAGTTTTACGCCACAAGAATCAGTGCTTACTCTTTGGGATTTTCATTACTATAATGTCGGAGTGAACGGCCTGAACGTCCCAGCTCTCTACTCATCTCTATTATCGCGTGTAGATACAGAATGAATTAAGCAAAGTTACAGAAAGGATACTACGGCGCGGTTTTGGGTGTCCCAAATGACACGAGTATAAATCTACCACTCCGAGTCCAGATTCTTATCCGGCTCCATGTGAGGGCCAACGCGCTTATGTTGCGAGCGGAAATAGGAAAACTGGGAATCTCACCATGAACCCAAGTTGGTGCAGCCTAGGGGTAAGAGCCGGTAACCCAAGGTTAGGCTGGGCTAGCTGTCCAAACACAGGAATGCGGAATAGGGAAGCTATGGTCTAGATTTAAGTGACATGCATTAAGGAGGGCAAGCGATGAGTTGACCATCATGCATTGCCCGAGACTGTTCGGAATAGCCGAGCAATGCGCAGATTGGGTTGTACTCAAAATAAGCAAAAGAAAATTCTGTCTGGAATCTGTCCCATCTGAACCATGTCCACTTGCATTTCGGGGTAGTCTCGCAGAGCTAACGATACTTGACTTGTGTTTTGCCCCGCGGGATTCTCGTAGCTCTATGACCTAGTTCACGGGGTCTCTTTACCCTTTCCAGGCATATAGCTTCCTCCATGACTACCACGCTGGATGGGAAAGGTCCTAGGTCGCTCAGAAACGGCGGAATTCTGAGATGGTTCATTCGAATTGCCGGTGTTTTCACCTGTACGGGACTGATATCGAGGTTGATATGTGGCGCCCGCTGGGACGTATCCCCCTCCGTGTCGCTTGGGCTGATGACCCTTCATGATGTCTTTTAAGATAGGGAGTTGTGTGAAATTAGGCGGAAGACCGGCTTACCTGGTTTGGAGCCATCATATTTAAGCAGATAGTTTGTTGTCGGGATCGGTGTCAATAATCCAAGATCCGAAGGATGATAACGTAACTGAGAACAGGCAGAGAAAGAAAGGGAGCAGGGAGGCAAGAACTTAAGGCATCGGGAGGCAGAGGATGGAGGCTGCCTTGTTGAAAGTGGCAACCTTGGTCAGATCAGCCCCACGCTAACGCCGGGCCAGCCATTCATGATGGAGCACTTCCAGCCTTGGGTCTTTCTTCCCCGCGACAAGGGAATAGAATAAATCCAGTCGAATTCCTCCGTTCCAAATTAATTCAATGGAGAGCTTAGACGGTTTGCTTCTCCATAAACCTCCATAAAACAGCGTGCACTTCTCCGTCCCCTTAGCCTTCCACACAATATGGTCGCACAAAGCTATGAAACGCGAATCATTGTCTCTTTAGTATTATCTATAATAGCTGGAATTGTTTCTCTGGGATCTGTCTTTGGTTCATGTCTGATAAGACGGCCGAGGCATGATCCAAAAACAATACCGTTCAAATCTCTCTTCATCCTCCTTCTAAGTCAATCAATGTATCGGCCTACGTGGTGAATTTCGTATACCGGTCAGGAATGTCCTTGGCTGATAATTCACTTTAGACATATAGCATTTGCTGTTTATTCGCTATTTCGAAATCTGGGGGACGTACAACCAGAAAACGATGAAGCCACGACAGTCATCGCTCAGATCTGCACATATCTGCAGAGTATCCTTATTCTGAATGTACTATACCGGCTCATACATACCTACAAGACGCAGAATCGTAACGATATTAGGAAGACGATTCTTCCGTCAAAAATGCACGGCAGTACTTTGGTGAGCCTCATTATTATTTCTATCGCACATTTCATTACCTCGTTATTGTCATATTCTGCAAACGGCCCAGACTATCAGCATTCGACTTACGGGCTTCAACTTGCGTTCGACGGTCTCGTTATGATCGCTTCCCTACATGTTATCTTCAAGATATACACAATCATCCGGAAGCTAAACAGTGCCCGACGCTCTTCTATGGTGCGCTGCTCCCCATGGCCTGCTGATTGCATAGTTGAGGTGCTGACGGACAAATAGAATGGAGCTCCCTCTCTCGCTGTCGGGGGGTTCTTCTTCTTTTCCCACAGTCTATCTCTTCTCGTTGGTGATAGCATGAATCAGAGAACAGACATGGAGGGCGGAATCATAGATTTTCAGACAATAGTGCCTCGAATAGTGGTGCCGGCTATCTGCATAACGGGGCAATCCATAGGCATTGTCCATTGTTGTATGCAGGTGCATAAATTAGGCATCTATGGCCTATCCAGGCCAACCTCTGCGAACGATGAGCGGGCTCACATACTTACGGGCTCTAACGAGGAAATGCTTTAAGGCAGAAGCTATCTAGTCGATCTGGTCTGTTTTCTTTTGGATTTCATGTAGCAATAATGTGAAGGTGTGGCAGTTGGGTTTATAACATTGCAGTAATTGAAGAGAATGATATCATGAACTTGGTGTTCTGATCCATACATTTACTGCGTTCCTATACTTTGGTAGTTTGATTAAGAGAGCCTTCAGTTCAAATATGGCTATTACCGACTCCACCACCCACTTCTCATATTAAAAGCATCGTACAATCCGAGCGGCAAGCCCTTAGTGATAACACGCCACACGAGAAGAACGAGGAGGGTCAGCAGGGTGGAAACCACCCAGAAGATCCAGAAGCTTTGGGATATACGGATCATCACAGGGTCGAAATTGAAGAATTGATTTCCAAATATCGTCTAGAGGGTTAGCAAGAAGTTTTCATAGCCACAGATTGGATAGATAGATCTCACTGATACTGTCGACACTGGTAGAAATACGAGTGTGACGAATGCAATGGTGGCCATGGAACTGCTATCCGCCTGCATAATTCGATTGCCGTCTTGCGTGACGAGGTGGAAGGACTAAAGTACGTAGTGCGTATTAGTGTCTCCATGCGCCTTGTCGGTATTCAAGGAAAAGCATAGATGATACTAATGCAATGATATTGTTCATCCGTTTTTCAAGACCCTTCAAACGCAGACTAATGGACTGGAACTGGGTCTCAACGTGCGTGAGCATTCCCTGTGCCATTTCAGTGGCATGGCGATCCCCGTCAGGGATGTTCTCTAGGATCCGTTGATGATGCCAGGATAGCTTTTTCAAAGTGAGCATTGTGGCTTCGGCGCTCTCCTGGAGAAACAGGATATGCTTTGAAACATTATGTAGCCCAGTGAAAGACTCCCTGTCCTTCATCGTGGTCAGGGTGTTCTAGGAAGGTCAGTAACTACCCAGGTACACTTGGCTAGAGACACGGAATACCAGTTCGATCTGGCGAAACACATCCATCACATCCCAAACCGTATTGTCCATTTGCAGAGACAGCTCCTCGAAGATGATAGCAAAGAGGCTGTACGGGTCACGGACGACGTTGGTTGGTATTGACGATGGTGAAATATCTTTGAGACGTTCTTTGAGAGATTTTGACGCTTCGAAACAGAGAAGCGTCACTTCTGGACCACAATTCGAACCCACTGCCCATCGCAAAAAATACCCTGACCGTATCCACGTCGAGTCGCCGTGCTGCATCTGTGGTGCTCCCGGCCTGGGATCGGATATCCGCGCGTTGCCAGGAGCATCATGAACCACCGTGATGTTCTTACACAAATAGTGGAACCAGGAGCCTTAACATGATGTGCAAGTTATTGATCGGAATAAACATGGAAGATAGTACTTTACATACAATTATAGCCATTTATGGAGTTCAAAGCTCCAAATGAGTGCGTTACCGACCGCAATCTGCCCGCAAGGAATGCAGACGGCGCAGCATAGTGATCAAAGAGCCAGAGAAGTCCTTCAGCAGTGGTGCTACTTGGCATATCCAGGGGCGAGAAGCTTTATAGCATATTAGTCGCAAGCGATCCCACTTAGTGGATGTACCAACATGATTCGAAGTACAGGTACAGGCAATTTCCCTAGTTCAGGCATGGTGACCTTTCGCGGAATTAATTGGTAACAACCTGAACGTCGTGTTAGCTACGATATGCTGAATGCAAATCTGGGACGATCCCTGTTACCATCAGGCGCCTGAACCGAATCTAGTACGTCCACAGTGAACGTGTGGGGGGTCAGAAGCATGGGTTTGCCGAAGGCTTCGCGCTTGAAAGGATCCAAAAGCGACCGATCTTGAAAAATAGACGACATATTGACTGCTTGATGTTGAATCCTGCCCGGGGTCAAGAGACAGTAACGAGGGGGCACCCACGCGTGGCGGGGTCAGGAAGTAATCGAACGGGGTCATCCCCGACCGGGGCTGAAAAAAAAAAAAAGATGATAGTTTAGTCAGAGTCAGAGTAAGCAAACTGGCACTGTAGTGTCTTACAATACACATGATGGGTTACTATTTCTGGTACTAGTAGTACTAGTGAATCAGCTCTGCATGTGATGTAAAGTCCTCTATTTACCAATATACATATATGTACATGAAATTCAACCCTATAAAGTACTTAAACTCTAATTGGCTCAGCTTAAATAACGCACATCAAGGATTGGGCCTAAGTTGTCTGACACTAAGAAGTATAACTCATGATTGAGAAGATCATTCAGTGTGAGCCTGATTTCTCTGATCCCATTGAACGCACTAATCTCTGACCACCTCGCAAATGAGAACTCGTCACGAGGTGATTCTCAGCCTTGCGTCCTGGCTGACTAAGCCGCCTGCATGGTTCAGCTGAACCGCGGGCAAACGGCTGTTGATCATAAGACTCTCCCTCTCGAAAGCTTTGACACGACTTTTTGAATGGCTCCTATCTCATGTCCCCTCATCGTAATTAACAAGTCTTCCTAGAGAAATGCAGTCTGATCTTGAACTTGGGCATATCCATGACCACGGCCCAGGTAGAAGCAGCACAGTTTCCTTGGTAGTAAGGTTCACTTCGGACATTCTGATAAATAGATAGAAGGGAACTAACTATCCAACACACAGAGCGGAAGCATGGCTACCGATTTCGAAAGGCCGGACTGGCTCGCAAAGGTCGGTTGACTCGCTGCCCATTGTAGGCATTATACTGATCTTGATACAAAAGAGTCCTAGGTATTATGAGATATACCTGAACCCCAGATCTTATTCGGATACACACTATGCGACATATCGGCCAGGAAGAAAATACAGATCCGTTGAGGAGTACCGTCACAAAGACAGCTTAGGGCGCGTGTGGATAGGCCGTGAAGATGACCGTTACTTGAGTGCTACGGATGGGCGACTAGTAGAACTGGTAGTTCAAGCGTCCGGGGATATATGCCATGGCCCCGCCAACTCGACCTGGGCTCGGAAGAGAATTGAGGAGACTACCCCGACGATACTTCGAGTTGTGTACTCGCTTTTGGGACGACAGCTTCAGAATGATCAGGACGCATGGTCAAGGGTTAGCATGTGCTTGGAGTGGCTTCCGTCCTGTGTGACCATCGCTGGTCTGGTAAAACAGCTTTTAGCTCCATGTGCGTGAACATGGCTGACATCATGTAGTTATTTCTTCCAACAGATCTTGGTGGAGAGTTAAGAAACAATGGCCATTACGAACAGTTCAAGTATCACTACTGGGGCTATTCAACGGCTTCAACCAATCTTCACGAGGTCGAACCATCGAGCACTAACAGTCTGCCGGGTTCTCGCCAGTTGGCAAACGGGATATCAAAGCGGCCTCTACGTCCGAGACGGCTGTGCTTGCTTCAAGACAACGGGGTAATTGTCATCGTTAACGTCGAAGAATGGGAGGCAGCGTATGGCAGCCTCGAGTATCTGTTCATATGCTATACCACTGAGCAGTACAGTCATGAGTCGAACGAAGACATGGATGAACTTCATCGCATTGCTAAAGCTGCTATCCGGACGGCAGGGGTTGCGGCTTACTGGATCGCGTGCAGTTGCATGCCTGATGATGACGACCAATTTGAAGACATCTACCGGATCAGCGACGTCGTGCGGGGTGCCCAAGCCTTGGTGGTGATTATTGGTCCCTCTCCAGGTCTCAAGTCAGAGGAAGGTGAAATGCTCCGTCATTTGGGAAGTCGACTGTGGACCTTTCCTGAGGTCCTCCTAAGCCCATCGGGCCAACCAATCTCCATATACAAGCGTGATTGTCCCCCAGATTCCTTCCGGGTTCTATCGAAGCGGAACTTCGCAATTGAAGCCTGGGGAGACACCACTGTCTCAAGGGAGCTTATTGATCATTATGAAGGTTCAATTATACTCAGCCCTCTCGAGCTGGTCTCCATCGCCTTACAATGCTTTCCGAACCGTGAAACCACGAGGTACTATAAAGGAGACCTTTCGTACGCCCTGATGGGCTTGTTACGACGTCGTCCAAGTGTTAACCCGAATGACTCGGCCTTTGAAGCCTTTTGTCGATTGTCTTGGGCCAACGACAGCGATCGGGTGCTTGAGAGGCTGGTATGCATGCTACCCAAAACATCGACCAGCCTTGGTATGAGATCAACGACTTCTGGGGCAGTCATCTTTGGGACATTGAACCTCTTTGCCAAGTTGTCGGCTTCGGTGGCAAAGACACTGTGATTATGAGTGGTGCTTTTGGTGCTCCGATTCGTTGGACATCCTTGGAGCCGGTTAACATGTTGATGCGTAAGACGGCAAAACGTTCGGTAGCCAGATTTGTTCTTCGCAGCACTCCTGGCTGGATTGTTATAGGCGTTATGTCGCTAGCAATTACCCGGTCCAGAACAGGAACAGACGCCTACCTTGCATTCACTGTGATCGGGTGGATATTCATAGGCCTGTATATTTTGGTCATGTTGGTGTCTCCGTACCTAATATCCATTCTTTATGTTGGGAAGACATGGGCGTCACAGCCATGGCTGTTCGGATTTGAGGGCTACATGGAGATTGGTGAGATCGAACAGCTGGTCTTCGGTATTAACCTCGGCCGTTTGAAGTGGAGTCCCTATTCCAGCGATCTCTCGCTTCATGTATCCCAGAACGGTGAGTGCGTGGGGAAAGATCCCACTTGCAGAGAATCCACCGCACAGTTTGTGTCCGCTGCCCAAAACTCGCGGTATGGAGAGCTCAAGCTCTTCACCTTGGTTGATACGAACACCTTGACCGTCACCTTATTCCGGGCTCGCCGCCCGCCGGTGGCAATGCTACTTTGCGGCAGCGAGGGTGGTATGCAGCGAGCGCTGCTCTGTTCTTATGATTGGAAATCCCAGACCCTCTATCGCGAGAATGTCCTGCGGGTGGACACGCTCGTCTTGGACAAGATGTCACGGGTGGACAGATTCCGGCTTGGTCTGAACAGGCCTATGGCGGAGACGGTAAGGGTCACTTGCCGAACGTGAAGTGATGTCACATGCGCGAGTCAAGAGTAACATACATGTTCGAAACGAAGCACTTTTCGGTCGTAGAAGTGGCATCAAGTGATTCAATCTGATTCCGTAGTTCAGCTAACAAACACTCTATGGCGGTCTTGCAGCAATTCATCAAGAAGCTCATGGATCACTACGCCCGCTACTCCATGGCCCATGCTTCGCTCATGCGGTCTACTTCTTGTACTTCTTTTCCTCCCGCTTGAAGATCATGAATTAGTAGCAGACAGTAGTGGAAAATGAAGCCAAACACACATTCAGTGATGGAAGAATGATGCCTGAGGACGCAGCACGTGGGACGTGATCAGAAGTGTCTGCCTCAGGCGGCACTGCATTACCCGACTGGGCGATGACTCCGCCACTGAAGTTTCATGATTCTCTCTAACTTCCTCAATATCTTCAACTTTGTCCAAATTACTCCCCCTTAGTGGATTCTCTTACCTTTCCTATACTTTGCATGGACAAGATAATCCTCGGGGGCGTATCTTTCACTTCTGCGCCTTGCTCAGGTTCAATACGCGCTCTGACTACACCAATTGAGCGCATTGAGTGGAGGCTCATCAGAGAACAAAGCGATATGCGAGCTATGTGCTCCATGCATGGTATAGTAACGCAAATAGTATCTGGGCATGCCAATGAACCTAGTACTCTCGGCTCGGCTTTTGAGATTCTTTTCTGTTTGTTGGATGACACATCATCGTATTGTTCAAATATCTACTTCAGGATGCTCTACGTTCAAGCCGTTTACGCCACTTCAGAGGCATTTGAAACAGTTGTCCACAGGATATGCCTAGTACGACACCCCTTTGGACGTTACTAATGATCCCATTTATATTTTACACGTAGAAGATATGACACGTTCCAACGGTTCCCAAAGGCTGGTGTCTGTTATACTTATTACACAGGGGGTCATTAAGCAGTTGGGAAGGTGTTACCTCCTTTGATCAAACTGTATCGACCTTCGGGCCGAGCCGGCTTCTCGCAAAGACCCCCCGGCATGAGGAAATGCGGGAAAGCGTTCTCCACGAGACAAGGCCCCCTGTGCACCTGGATGAACCATGATTCTGCGCAGGGAGCGGTTTCGGAAGTAGCAACGCGTCCTCAAAAAGCGTCATCGAGAGTCTAGAAGAGACATCAGTCAGGTCGGCTTTATGTTTGATTACACATGCAAACGTAACAAGCAAAGCATGTATAAAATATACATATCTTTCACCTGCAATAGAGGGTGTGGGAGACATGTAACTGTATGAAGCAAGCTGGAGCTACTAGTCCATCCCTTTTCAACATGATAAGATCAGCACATGCCTAAATCACCACAATCACAGTCTGCATGCGTCGGTGGCCTACCATCAGTCCATTCCACGCATTTTCGTTCTATTATCTGAGAGGGTTTGTCTGCCGCTAGTCATCGCTCTTGGGGTAATTCTGGCTGAGGGCGTCACCGCTGCCACTAATCTCGGTGATGTGTGCACTCCTGCATGTGCTCGATCTAAGTCGCCTGTCGATAATGTTTACCCTGGAATTATGATTAGCCACACTCATTTCTCTACTCACCCTGTCTAAAACGTCTCTACTGGCGGTTCGGCGACATATCCAGCCATGACAATCGATTATTGCAATATTTCAACATGGCAACATACTCTGAGCTAGTCCCATGATAGCCGGGACGACACCGTTCAGACGCGCTTTGGATGCCCTCCCCAGATAGATTTGCCAATCGATAGCTGTACACCGGCGGTACAGACTACTATATCAACCAAGACATGCAGCAGCTCCCCGGGGGTGTGATGTACGGAGCTGTTTCCGGCTCAACAGATGAAGGGTTTGGGAACTTTGATATGGGGGTTGATGACATTCTGCTCCCGGTCAACGGCATGTTGGACTGGCAAAACTTGTACATGTTCGGCTATGGAGCTCACCACGAGCTCGCTACAATCAGGAAGCACTTCGAATGTAATTTGCTTAACATGACAAACGACGAAGCGGCCCAAAGGCTGTACAAGTTACTACCAAAGCTGCTCTGAGGAAAGCCGGTGAAGGGTGGAGCCAGCGCCAACGGTACGATGACCAGCTTGATGCCGTAGTAATTGGTGCCCAGCCATCCGGTACTCTCTCCAGATGACGATGCATCTCTGGGCCAATGTTATAGAGAAAATGCTCAGATACTACCCCTCTCAATGTGAGATTGGAGTCATTCGTTGACGAAACGATCACGCATGCGACGAGTGGTCTCGCGCTCCGATCTCTGCAAGGTTCGACCCAACCTCACCGCAACAACTGTCACAGTACAAAATCCCACCATCTCCGCCGAGGCGGTGGAGGTGTGTGAGAAATTCCTCGGCGGTATGAAAGACAGTGATGGCGACCAGGTGTATCAGTCACACCAGCCTGGGCGCTTTTCTGGGATGCAGAAACAATGTACTCGGACACAGCGACAAAACTTTGGGGTTTGGATATCAACTCCATGGGCGGAGAATATATCACCAAGTTTCTGCAGCTTTTGGAACTTGATCCTCTCCCCATACTCGAGAATATCACCTCCGATACACTGAAGGACTGGGTAGAGTGGGGCTGGCAAATGTATGAGGATTCCCTCGACACTACGTGGCCAGATCTGACACCGTTCTATGAAGCGGGTGGCAAAGTGCTTCATTATCATAGTGAATATGATGGAAGTATCCCGACAGCTTCCTCAGTGCCTTACTATGAATCTGTACGTAGGACAATGTGTCCTACTCTCGGGTACAGTGCCAGTCACGAGACAGTGGTACCGCCTATTTATCGTGCCAGGAGCCTTGCACTGGCATCATTTCTTGAGTGACTGGCCTTCATAAGTAGTAATAGCCATTGCTGTCTATATGTAATCAGACCAGATGCGATATATTGTATTCGGTCTCGTTCGAGACCACCCATCCTATTGACTACATGCTGTACCAGCAGGTCTGAATGCACATATTCTGACGATACGATTTATGGAACTTAATAGAATCCCTCCCGCTGAATTCGCTCGTTTGGCACACCGATGGACCGCAATCCATCCACAGCAGCGTCTGCGAAGGCCTTGGGTCCACATATGAAGACGTCTTTGTCTGTGGCGCTTGTTTTCCAATACTCTGGCCCAACTCGACCTTCATATATAGCGACGCTCGTACATCGTTTGCTTGGCGTTCGCGTATTTAGGTTAACAGAGTGGCTGGTGAATAGATCTATTTTTACCTTGACAGCCGGTGAAACCTTATCCAAAGCCATTTCGATGAGTGTAAGCATGACATCCGGCTCTCTTGTTGATAACACAAGCACAATGTCACCTTGTGGGGTGTTCTCGCGCGCACCCAGTGCTTTGAGTATGGCTAGAAAGGGCGTGATCCCGATTCCTCCAGCAATTAGCAGCAGGTTGACCTTCTTTTTGTTCAATGCAAAATCCCCTGTTACACCCACAATATCCGTGACAACATCTCCCTCGAGAGGAATAGCATAATCCCATCTATCTGGCGGCGAATTCCTCAAGACATCAAACAGAGCTTTTGTCACAACACCACCCATCATCTCCCGCATTGTTAATTCAAACCATGTGACATCGGTATCTTCGTGTGCGCTAGATACTGTCCATGTTCGCACACGGTCATCATTTATCGACCCAGGTGCTGAATCCGCCATATGCTGATACTGCGGTGGACCTATCCAGTCCATGAAATCTAGCACTATAGCCTGACCTGGTCGGACCCTTAACGGCTGAATGCCGTATTTAGAGACTACCTTAAACCTGAAAACGGCCAGGTCATCTGAGAGTTGCTTCCCCGTTTCTAGTGTTGCCTTTTGTCCCTGTGTACCAGTCGCGTCTTCATGTCGTTCTTCGACCAAATACTTGACTTTGGGGGTGTAAGGACTGCGCCCAACTTCCGTTCCAATGCGCTGCCTCACGGGTAGTGCGTTCCGAACAAGCGTAAATCCCGTGGTTTCTAGAACAGTAACTGTTGCGTGTCTAGACATTATTTTGAGAGCAGATTGCCCAACAACATTCCTTGCTGTACCGGTCAAGTACAGGATGTCGCCTGTTGTGAACGAGATGATCGTAAACCCTGCTAATCCGCTTGATTCAATATTGCCAAGACTGTTCATGAATCTGTTTCCAGAGTAATCAGGCAGGACAACGCTGCGTCGGTCCGATGGCTTCACCCGTAGAAACCCGGGTAAGCCGCCACGAGAGTTCATGCCCGCGTGTGAGGGAAACATGGCTGCGGAGGTAGCGTCAGGTCTGTGCATTGTTGCCACAAAGACCGTGTCGGCGGATTTTATCATATCAATCACTTCAGGGGGTAGCGTCTCCGTTGGTGCCATATGCAGTGATTGGTAAACGAGGTGTGGTTTCGCCCACGGGAACGGGTCAAGTTGACGCACATTTATATACTTTGGACAATTGCTGTGATTACCCTTAGTACCGGTAGTTCTGGCCTTGACCAAGCTGAAATGAGACTCTTACCCCAACGCCTCAGTAATCTCAACTTCAAATATATAATCGTGGTGCGACATAGCCTTTACCATGTGAATTTTCCCCGCAAACTTATTCCTTCTCCGCGTCGGGAATTCTATCCCCAACCCAGCTGTCAGTGACCTCTCTTCTGATCTTTGGCCTTCCATTTGGTGATTGGTGATATCCTTCAGTAATCCCCACCGCTGAAGAGTCGGTAATATTGGATCGCCCTCCCATAATCGTGCTCGGAAAACTAACGACTTTGAACTTGGACTGTCTACGAATCCGACAGTGCCCGTCGATCCTGCAACTATTCCACCCCAGGGCCGTCCATCAGCATCGGTAGTCGTGAGTGGAATGAACGGCAAATTCGAGGTATGGAATATTTGATGTTGTTCACGAAGTTGGCTTTCGACCGCAGTCCAATGAGACGATACGGCGGTCGCGTAGCCCAGTTGGCGTTGGATGGCGACTTCGCCAGGGTGCCAGCCTTGAAGGGCGGGGATAGCCATCCCCTTTATCTCTGAGTTGAATCTGATTGCCTCGTACTGATTTCAGGTTACTATAAGTTCGTTTCCTTAGGATCACCATGAGAGGACAAATATGTGCGGGCGGAACTCAATGGATCATTTAATTCCTGCTGTCAGTGTTAATTTGATCGCGTCATTGTAACTAACGTTACCCGAGATGACAAATACGCCACAAACTCTCCGAAGCCTAGACTTCCGTAGTGACTTCGGAATACGAGTATTCCTTGCTCCCTTTGCATAGAATTTAGAACACCAAGCCGTCTTACTCATGGAGAGCTTTATAGCTATGCATTTACAACTGGGGGTGTCTTGGAGTTGTTCGGTTACATGTTGGCGTCGGATATGTGGTGAGGCTATGGGGAGAAAGGTCATGCAAGGCATATATTTAATGCCTTGGTATGCACCACTCTGGTACTCTAAGCTCGGTGCGCACCATAGTAAAGGTACCCTCTACTGGCATTTCCGAGAAAACTGAATATCTCCGCTTAGTCCTTAAAGGGGTATCTCCCGTCACGATACTATAAAATACACGACCCCTCCCTATAAGTTATGACAATACCCACATCCTACATATATAATACTAGCACTTTTTAGGAGATATTCGCTAATGTCGCCATCAATTATTGATCATCATCTCTCTCATCGTATACAGATACCCATCGGAATCTACGTGTCGTTGGGAGACGTTTATGTCTGGTTTCATGGTAGCTAAGTGGTATAATGGTGACAGACTGGAACATGGGTGAAGCCGTACCATCGTTGCGACTGTTAGTGATAACACAGTCTCAATTGGAGCTGTGCCTCTATTTCGTGGAACGCTCTACCTCTTAATTGATCTATACTATGCATGCACTATAGATACTTATGTGCAGAACTAGGGCCTGTCTGTTATTGAATAACATTTGTTTGGGCCGCTGATCGGGAGTAACATTGGAGATGTCATGAGTGAATCGGCCAGGGTTGTGATTCCGATAGACATTCTTTGTCATCGTATCCAATCTCACATCCCCTCTTCCTCTTATACAGGGGAAATAAAGATACTAGCTACTGTGTTTTCTGTTCCCGGTACTCCTCATTCTCGCAATGAAAGAGTAGGGCATGTATCACTTTGGCATTGGGTGATGAGCAACTATAGATTTACTGGCTGTTTGCCGTACTATTACAGTAAACACTTCAGGACGAGGGGAGCATACGCTCTACCTCTCTTCACGCCACTTTAATATAACTTCTAACAAAATTAGGCTATACAATACTTTTGAATGCTATGTGTTTATTTTCGCGGTATGTGCATGAAACTATAGTGAGAGAGATAGGAATATCCTTATGATGTCACAAACTGCCATCATGGTCGGATTGCAAAGGCCGGGGTAATATATCACCATAGGAAGACAGTTCCAGCATACCATATCATGACGGCGGCCGCGGAACATATTGCTGGTCCTCAACGTAGATACGAGCGCGACCATCATTGGGGAGTCCAAGGGAGGTGAGCCCGCGGTTACCGATAGCGAGCACAGTTCCTTGTCCCGGGTTGGTGTAGTTTCCGGGTACATCATAAGTACACACACTCGGCCCTAAGCGACTAAGTGCTGAATGCATAATTTGCACTTGGTCAGGTAGGGCTATCGCACCCTGATACAGAGCACATACAATAAGTGTGTCTGTATGGCTGGAAAAGTATTCATCGCGGTAACGCATGTATAAGGCGGTCACTTCTGTCATCAACCGACGAACATTGTTGTCCCCGGCATATGGGTCAGATGCTGATGCTGTCGGGCGAGGCGGAATATGAGCAAGAATAGCACCACGGGACGATGCTATCACAATGGCAGAGCATGCTCCAAGCCCTTGTGTGCCGATGGCAAACATTTCATGTAGTGATACCACTCTGACAGCATTCATCGGCACAACAATCATAATCTGCTTAAGGGACCAATTGAGACTTTTTGGTATCTTAGTATACAACCACTCCCTCCCCAAAAAGCACCTATGAACCCAGCTACTTATACTCTCTCGCAGTGCTGAGAACGCTATATCACCGGGATATGCCTTGTGTTCTTGGTGAAGTAGAACCAATCAATGTGGAACTTCTACATTCGTAGCCAGGCATACTCCGACGCGGATTGCAAGTTGGATCGCATGTCCCCTGCGCGCTAGGAAAATCGCGAATGATCTATATATATATACAGCGCCGGCCACCTGAGCAGATGTACATTAGCGTCTATTGTGTCACCTTTCGGTATAGTGACTCACCATTAGTTTAAATGCACCGTGCGCGCCAGCCATCCGAGCTAAGCTCCAACTACTCACGACTGCTCCAAAAATATATTCTTCACAGAGTCTTTGACAACCTCGAACAGTTATGAACGTACAACCTGCTTCAAGTTCGGCCTCGCCTTCCATCTGGGGCGAGATTTATCAGATTCCGGGTCGGACCTCTCGGGACATCCTTCTGAGAGCCAGGGAATTATGCCTCAATGGGGATTTCCAACAATTTTGCGATCTCCTCGACTCGGCGCAATCGTCGTCGGAGAACTTCCATATAGATGACTTTGGTATTATCATGGGGCAGGCTGTGGAACAAGACAACGTGGATTTCATGCGGGCGCTCATGGATCATGGTTTTCCCACACATTCAATCTACGCACGGAGCGCAACTAGGTGCAGGTCCAAGAATGCGCTCGCTTTCCTTATTGAAAAAGGATTGGATATCAACGAGCCAATGTGCGAGACCCAACCCCCCATCCTAGGGTGAGTCCAAACTCCAATCTTCCGCGATTTAACGTCCTATTAATCCCTCCTAGAATTGCCATAGAAAACGAAGAGATGGTATCTTGGCTTTTGGATCATGGTGCCGATCCCAATAAACGTACATTCATAGACGTTTCCCCGCTTTCGTGGGCTGTTGAAAGAGCCCCCATTTCCACTATTCGCCTGATGTTGGATTATTGCCAGAATATCCAGCCAGGCCAGCTGCTTCATCATGCTGTTCAACGCGATGCTGACACGATTGAAGTGTTGGAAATGTTAATTCAAAAGGGAGCGCCTTTGAACACTCCTGTGCACGAGGACCTCCCAACCTTCTCGGTTTTGTGTTTTATGTCACTAGGAACACCTCTGCACCGGGCATCTGAGCTCGGAAGAGTGGATGTGGTACGCTACCTTCTTAGCAAAGGAGCCGACCAGGATGTGAGAGACAGTAGAGGACTTACAGCTATTGAGCTGGCTGCTAGATTGAATCAGCAAGCAGTGGTTGAGGTGCTGCAGAGGCGTGAAAGCGGCGAAAACCCCGTTCACCACCCCTAATTGTACTCCTTAGATCAATGTAATCGATTTTGCTATTCCCTATCATAATCCTTATTACACATCGCAAATTGTTTTAATCCTGACTAATTGACAGCCACCCGTTCAGTAACCGATCGAGTACATCATGGCTGAAAGTGTGAATAAAGTCACTTTTCTGAAGCTGCTATACTCCTTGTTTCTCTAGGCAGCATGTATTGCTATTGATGACGAAAGGGCACAGCGAGACAGTTTACACTTCACCAATAGTATCTGAACATGAAACTAGGAAACGTCTTGGATTGGTGAGAAGTCAGATATGCATACTAATCCAACGACTATGCTCTAATCTTATTTTAAGATCATTATGGCGACCTTCAAACAAATCTTCAGGGGTACAACCCCTACCGGCTCCGGAAAATTCACCGTGGTGGAGACCAAATCCATATTTCGTGCAGAAAAACTGAAGCTTCCCATCTCCTTTTTACAACTTGGCTGTCTCCTACTACCAGCAGCAGAACTGGGAGCCGATCATTAGTCTCCTTTCGAGAATGAAGTGTCTTCGGCTACTCAGCTACGCCATGCGGAATATGTTTCACCGGGTCTAGGACGCTCGCACCCTTGCGTTGGTAACGAGTTCAAACAGCCTTTTGACCTCAACATCCTGCGTTCCCCCGCACTACATACCATCAACGCAGTCTATACACTGTACAGGGATGCTGAGCAGGGCTGGACTTACAACGACGAAGCCTTCCGCTTTGTCTGTATGGCTCCGAATCTTAAACATTTTCCGATCCTCCATGATATGTACGGCCGAGATGAGAACCCCATCACCAAGGTTAAGAGAAAGTGGCAGGAGTTTAATCTCAATACAAAGCCATCCTCGTTCACAGCCAGCATATAAACCTTGACTTTTATCTGTCAGTTATGACCCTCACAACCCGCATGAGCGCATCCTTCTCAATATCTCGACCATGGCCAACCTCTCTAACCTCAGATCTCTTGACATGGGAGTCCATTCCGAGCCGGCCATGTTGATCAAAGCCGCCTCGATTATGATCCATTTGGAACGTCTTTACATCAGTATGATTCCCAGGAAAAAGCAAATGAAGATGCTCTGGGACGTGGATATTGAGGATGTCACATGGGATATTGAAGACATGATATCTGCTGTGCGGGCATTCAGGCCCCTGCGGTTTCTGTGTCTGCGGGGATTGCGGAGCTTCGCCTCTTTAAGTCGCATTGTCTCCCACCATAACACATTGGGGGCCTAAGTCTTGAGCCCTCTGATAGGCAGCGACAAACACCACAGGAAGGGCTTAAATATCCCATCTCCAACAGCGAACACGTTTGGTTACTAGCAAACTTGTGCCCTCGGCTCGAGGAACTCCGTATGCCACTACAGCGTTCACAGAGTAATGCCCAGGAGTGTGAAATTTACAAAGCCCTTGGGCAACTTTCGCGCCTCCATACCGTTTTTCTTGATCTTGACTGCGATCCTAGACATACATCACTGAGGGATGAACTGCCTAGTTCCGCGTGCGTCCGGGAAATTCTCATCAACTCCGCCATCGACGAACGTCTCGTGACAGAGATCTTCAATTTTGCCTTCTTTAACCAGCGGACATGTAGGATCAAAAACATGCGCGTGAAACTCGCCATAGGAGACTTCTTCGTACGGGAACTAGAACATGTAGTTCGGCAACTCGGTCGATCATTTCTCGTCACACGGAAGGACTTCTACATCAATAAGGATGTGCTAGTGGATGTTACGGAGGTTGGACGAGTCGCATGGCAGTTATGGCGCGAGGACGGTATTGGGTATATCGGGTCCATCCATATACCTAAAGAAAAAAAAAAGGTTATTTTGGAGTACTGGCCACTGCAGTCATATAGCAATCGGAGTAAGAAATGGAAGGAGTTTCCGTTGCTGGTCAGAAGCTTCCCCCTAGAGAGTGTGTAAGGGAGAAATCTGAACAAAGGAACGGGCAGGGATGGCTTTATACTGTTGATAGTGTAGGCCTCCTTGTGGTTCCCCGCATCAGGTTTTTATTTATACTAGCATCATTGTGAGACTGCTTAAAGCATGAAATGGTCTTTATTGTCACTTCTTTTACTTTCCATTCACGGGAATCCATACTTTCATGTGCCGAACTTGAAATGCAATTCAGATATAGTATAATGGTGGGGGCTACCAACTAGAAATGAAAAATACTACCAGTGCAAGTTGGTTGCCCGCATAAACCTTCAAAGAGATGAACAGAAGAATATATATCCGGTAACAGATTTCTTGAGATGGTAATTAAGTATATATTCTAAAACACTTATTACGTTCATCTGTCTATCGCAAGTAGATTACAAGCATACCATGTCCACAATTCTAAATTGGGAGGGTAAAGCCCAGAGTTACAGAGGATAGGGATGGGGGGCGCAGAACATGGTTAGGAGTCAGCCGTCAGTTTCCCCTCCTCTCGCTATCAACACCTTTATTGTTGCAGTGGCATGAGAGACACGGGCGCTCCCTTATGTCTCGTTAACTAATTATAGCCAATTTTCGCAATTATGGAGCCACTCCTGAATTGAACCAGGAAGCAGTCGTTGAAGTGTTGCAGGTCGATTGCGAGGACGCTAAGATCTGAGAGCCTGTATAAGGGTGTCTCATGAACATACCTTTCTTCATTTCCCTCTTCTTCTATCTGTATGAAGTTTTCTCACGACGTCCGAGTCCGGTCGGTCCACCCTTCCTATCAATATGCTATTCTTGGAGTAGGAGATTGTAGCGCACAAGCTGTTTGGCCAGTATTGCTTCAGCGCTTAAATGTTTTTCTGGAACGAAAGCGCAGTGTGAGGCACTAACATTTCCTTCAATACATCGCGATGGAAAGCACAGCGTGCATGTGGTCTGGCAGAAAGTCGGCCATCTCCCGCCCCGCGGGTAAGTGCCTACCTATTTATATTTACTACGGCCAGGGTCAGGATTAAGCGATTGGGCAGTTGATATGAAGTAGAATTAGCTCCCATTGTTGGCCAGGGGTTCTCTCCTATGGTGCGTGTAGGGGTGTACACATTATCAGTAAACCATGTCATTCATTGAATCTCTTGTTCGTGGGAGACCCTTATGCGACCTTTTCTCATTGCGTCATGTGTCTTTGTGGACGGCCAAGGGCTTTCAGTAGCTGTCGCTGTATATGAAAGCGGGACCTGTGGATTACAGAGCAAGTGGTAGGTCCTCCTGCAAAACATATATTTTTACACTCTTTTCAAAGTGATGCTCTTCGGTAAGCTCTCAGAAGCAAGCAGGCATGTAAACTAGCAGTACAAGAGATCAACAAGTGATATTATGAGGGCTGTAACGGTGACCATTGGAAGATCTATGGCTTCTGTGACATTCATGCTTCGTAACCCTTCCATGCACGAACCACAAAGGCAAAAAGGAGACAACAGAAAGTCATGCCTGATGTGCACCCGCATTCGTCGAAGTAGAACCCATGTACGGGTTTCATTGTTTGCCACAGAAAACTGAATAAAAATATTGCACTGTAGTCAAAGATCGCCGTATACAAACAATGATCTGAGTACTTCTGAGCTTGCTTTGAGAGCCAAACAGCATTACGCTGAAGCAGCGTCAGGCTTTCTGCATCCATAGCCCTCGCTGTTAGCTTGGAAGTTCAAGTTCTGCTCGTTGACGGCGCCTTTGTGACACAATTAACAGGGAACCTTGGAACGGCGCTTGGAAAATCATTAAGCCGGCGGGCGAGCCAAGGGGCGAACCGCCGGGTTCCCCTTCCTCTCCAAAGGCTACAGTGTGCCTTGCAAATTGTCTTCGATCAGGGGCTTCAGACTGGATCAAGATAAACCGCAGTAGCAAGTGAATTAGACCATGATCTATTTCCAGCAAAATGTGTTTGTTTGACACCCCATCTACAGAGCTCCCCAAGCCTCCGGTGCCATACACTACTGGATGGAGGTTCACTGCAGAGTCTCATAACGTCTCAGCTCCAACGCTAGTTACCGGACGCTGTTGCACGACTAGCAAAAGCGACAGGGTAGAAAGAAAGCGAATGAGTCCAGTCGAACGATGTATTCAGCGACCCCCGTTACCCGGGAGTAAAGGGAATGATGCCGTTAGCCTGGAAGTACTTAAGCTTCTAAAAGGGGGCGATGGCCATAACTCGCAAGTATTCACTGTCCGCCTAATCGCGTCAACCTCTCAATCGCTCCCAAAGAATGGCACAGAACTTGTTGCAAAGATATATGACCCGCTTTATTTTGACGATGATGAAGGTTATCTCAACCCATTTCTCTGCATGGATCAATACTATACCCACGAGGCCAATGCGTATGAAGCCCTTGCCGAGTTCCAAGGTCGCGGTATCCCGAAATATTTTGGGTCATACTCCTTATATTTACCCGTTGATTCAACACGTAAACGGGCAGTTAGAATGATTCTCATCGAACATATTCGGGGAACCACCATGGCAGATGCTAAACCAACATTGTTCTCTCAGTCTGCCCGTCAATATATTATGAAAACAATTGTCGACCTCGAAAGCCGTATCTATGAAAAGAATATCTGGCTTATTGACCTGGAGCCACGAAACATTCTCATCAGATCTGCAGTGGATAGCCAGCCTCAGATAGTGTTCATTGATTTTGGGGATGCTCTGTTCAACCGTCGACGAGACAATTATTATGCAATGCAGCTGAACAATTTTTTGGGGCATTATATTTCACCCCTTCTCCGTTGGAAGGATGCCAAAGCAAAATTATACGCATTTCCAAATTGGGTCGATTGGGATTGGGATTGTTGGTTGGAGGTAGAGTTTGCACACACAGTTCCTAGCATCACTCCGGAGATGAGAGAGAGGTGGTCCTATAAAAGGAAGGATAGGCTTTCCTAGGTGCTGAGAACATCTACACGCTGAAGGGCGCTCTGATAGCTTGCATGGAGATTGGAGTACGCCCAGGGTTTCCTCGAACGCACGTCTATCTGAAAGAGCATGGAGCTTCAGATACAAGTCTTTCCAGATTCTAGGGTCTAAGGTTCGGCGTAGAAATGCCCCATGAATCCTGGGGCTTTGATTATACCGTTATGCGCACCCATGTTATGTGCAATATCAATGATTGGCCGAGCGATCGGGTCACGGAAATTGTGGACCATCATATGGAGATCCCGGGAATGATCGTACCTATTTAGACGTGTCACGAGTCATAAAGTAACTCCACTGTATCCCATTTCATAAATTGTCTAAATTAATTTCGTTTGCTGTTGACCTACTTCGATCATTGTTCATTAAGAAACCCGCCTGCGCCCTGGTTGGATGTGTCCGACAGGGATTCCTCCTTGCTTCACCTTGGTGTAGATGTCGTCCCAGAGTGCCATGGAGGCCAATAATAACCATAGCATTCTACGAAGTGGATCAGGGCGGTCGAGAGGGATGTAGTATCTGATGGCAAGATGATAAGGGATTTCTCGTCTGTCCGAGGTATCTTGTGGATAGTCTTGGATGTGCTCACCAGGAATAACACGGTCAAATATCCAACCGGAACATGACATTGTTGGTAGTTTCTGCGAAGATGCTTATCGCACGTGCTCTGATGATTGGGATTCTCGTTAGTAACACGAAAATAAGTCAGATTAAGATTCATAGGAGAAAATAGGACTGCGTCGAGCTGTATGAATAAGGCTTTGCTGATACATTCCAGTCACTACATCACCCGACTGGATGAGGCAGTCAGCTTGATTGCTAACCAATGCAGTTCCAGCCTCAGTTGGCCGATCCTTTCCTATGCGAAGCAGTCTTCAGATCCTACAAGGTCCGGTACCAATTCCTGCTTGACAAGCAGCATCCCACTGACATCGAAGGGACTTGCTTTCTCGGGCCTTTCCAGCCTGAATCCATTCTGGTTCCCGCAAAGAGCTCTGGCAGACTTCCCTGTTTCCACCGGCAGGCAGACATAGCGCCGTGGAAACTGAAACACAGAATTGATCATGAACATAAATGATCCGTACTAGCTTTCGAATTCTTGACTTACCGACATAGCTACAACTGCGGTACGCTATTCTCCGAGCACAGTTGATTCACTGAGAATCTATATATTCTCGACCTTTTCTTTTCCCGACTTAGCATGCCCCATGCTGTGATTTTTAGTCAGGCGCGTAACCAGTCATACCAACAAATTCAGTAGTTAGACCATCTCTACGGACAGCTTCTTATTTACAATAATACATTGCTCAGTCAGGCATATCATCGTATCCCTCGTTGGTAATCTATGTGAAACTCCTCTGTTCGTTTACAAATCCGCCGTTTTCCGCCAACACAAGAATCCGCGTGCGGATAAACATCGGTCGCCTCCAAAGTAGATCTGCTTGGGCTCGTAGCTAAAGGCTTAGTACATATTAGCTCGTGAAAAGGGGGACAAAATATGGATGGCAGGCGATGTGAGATGCCTTGTAGTTTTATGTGTCAAGTGATCGAGGATCAGGACAAGGAAGTGCTCGATTGTATGCTTAGTACTCTAGCATCTATCTATATTCTCAATAAGCCCATGTTTGGAAGCCAGTGGCAATATGATCACGGGGGCAGCACAGGTGCCCGAGGAAGTAGGGCTACAATGGATGATCTGACTGAATGTCAACGAATTATTTCCGGTGCAAATAATTCTATCGTTCTAGAGGAGTAACGCAGAGTTTGATGGAGTCATCACGGAAAAGCCAGAGAGGCAATATGAAGAATTTGGGGGACAAAGGTGGTACTTCCCACCCACACCTTGCATCTGCTAGCGCTGATAGTGGCCAAATAGGAACATCTAATTGATCGTCGTTAAGCAGGAACCCTGAACCTTCCCATCTAGCTCTCCTTATCCATTGTCTGGTACCGCTTTCTATCCTATTTACACCTTATACTCCTCTATTCCTGGGTTTCCTAAATCCTGTTCTCTTTCGGCCTGGCTACCAACTCTGAGCCGTCGTACGTGACTCCATATCTGACAGCCATCTCTAGTATTCCTAGACAACCTCCATATGCTCCTCCGTCGCCTTCTCCTCAACCTGCAAGCCCCCATGCGCACCCTGCAGTCGACCATGCTTCCTCATATCTCTAGCCGCAGAAACGGGCTGGAATATGTTTTTACTATCAAGGAAGATATTGTCAATGGCCTCTAGGTGCAGACTCTTCGTCTCAGGAAAGAAAAAGTACACCACTATTGACATCAGCATCACATGACCAAGGCAAATGAAAGACGAAGACAAGAACATACTCGGCACAAGCAAGATCAAATTGATGGCCGCATAAACGATAAAATACTTCCAGCCCAAGGAGCTGAACCCACTAGGTGTGACCTCAACAACCAGGAAGTTAAATGTCCACGACGACGCCGTCGACATGCCGGTAATCTGTGTCCGAACAGCCAGTGGTGCGATCTCGGAGCAGTAGAGATACGTTAAACCAATGCACCCGTTGACGTAAAAGAACACGTAAAGGAAAATGAATGCAACCGCGGTATGAACGGCAGCTGTATTGGATGGCTGAGAGATGCACCCTGCCATCACAGCCATGCATATGCCCATTCCACCAAAGGCGATAAGTAGCAATTTGCGTCGCCCGGCCTTGTCGATAGTCAGGGTGCCGATGGGGGCAATCAGCATTTTCCTGTTATCTTAGCTTTAAATACACCATGACAAGCCATAATGGAGGGGCATACCATGTGAAAAGGACCGCAGACATAAGCAACGATAGAGTCCTGTTCATACCAAGATAAGTCTCAAATATAGTCGATTGGTAGAAAGTTATCGCATTGGCCCCGCAGATCTGTTGCCCCATCTGTAATGAGACAGCGATGAACGCCCGGTTGGCGAATCGTGCCGGTCCGTTCCGAAAGATATCCTTAAAGGAGCCCTGTCCAGTTTCCTGAAGCGATGTTTCGATTTCTTCGATTTGGTGAACGATACCGGGGCTGTCGACGGATTCATCGCGGAGCATAGCAAGGACATTGCGAGCGTCATCAATGCGACCTTTTTTGATCAACCAACGTGGCTGCCCTATTAGCATTCACGTATAACGTAATAGTGGGAGTTTTAACGTACTGAATCCGGCCACACGGGAGCCCAGCATAGAGATACTAGACAGAGAAAACAAGGAAATGCAAGAGGAAGCCTCCAGGTCACCGATCCTTCTGTGAACGCGAGTCCGTATTCTAGCCACCCGGCAAGTGCCAGCCCAGTACACAGAAAGATACTCTGTAGCATGACAATAAATCCTCTTAACCTGGGCTGAACGGTCTCACTCTGCCTGCATAGATCGGAATCAGCGTGAGAAAATCCAACTTGTACAAAGGGAGTGGTCCTCATACCAATTCGGCCCAGTAGCAGTCACGCCACCAAACCCGAATTCCGCAACAAACCTTCCGATGGTTAACTGTGGCAAGGAGAATGCACTTGACTGGAGGATTGAGCCGACGATTGTAATCACCAAACCCAGCATGAACGTTCTCTTACGGCCAAGGATATCACCCACGACTATACAACTAAGGGCACTGAAAAGACAGCCCAGGTTGAAGATTGCCGTCACTGTGCCTTTGATTCGAGAGTTCTCTGCTTCTTTGGAGCCTGTAGTATTGACAGTGTCCATCTGAGGAAATGTGTGTACCCATGACTGCCGAGTTTCGATGCCCGATGTCACAGCCATGAGATAACCGAAGCAGATGTAGGCCGGGAGAATGACCGTACAGATGTGCCCGATGTTGAGCTTGGCACCGCGGAGTCCTAAAGCGGGCTTCATTTTGGCGTATGAGAAATGAATTGTTGGAATAACGTGTTTATGTGTATATGGATCAGTGCTGGGAAGGGGCAGGAGGCAGAAAGGAAGATCACCGGCAAAACAGAATAGCTATAAGCGAAGGCATTAAGGGGGCCTCGTTTTTCCCTAGAGTCTGATGTGGACATCAATGCCATTTCACCACCTTGCCAGACCCATATATTCTCGTCCGGGGAATCGGGGGCCCGTCTTCTGTATTGTGGAGGAAACCCGGAGGAGTTGTGGGAGGGGCACGGGGAGCTTGAAGCCGAGTTATACGGAACATAACATCCTTCAGCGAGATGGAAGCCTGGGATCGAGTGCGGTCCACATCATCTGTTGAAGCTTGACTGTTTTGGATGATTTCACTGTGGATCCGGGCCTTTTTCCGCGCTGGTCTGTCAAAGTCCGCTGCTTTTCCGACAAGCGCTAGATAGGACGCTCACGCGTAATGACGGACGGATCCTTGTGTGCTGATGAAGGCGAGGATGCCAATTGGAAGATAAATATGCGACACTACCATGACGTTTCCCAGTTCCCATGTATTTGACGCATTTGCTCAAGTGAACGGCGGGCTTTCAGGAAACAAGGTATGTCAGTCGGTACACAGCTTGCACTAGACATGACTATAAATGTACCAACGCTAACTCAACAATTTTCAATGTAGAGCTTCATTTTGTACCTGCCTGAGATTCACCTCAGTCTCCTTCAAAATTGGGCATTGGCGAGAAGTAAGAAAACGAGGGGCGTAACGCGGACTGCAACTTGAGGGTTAAGACTCAGGCTGCCTCCTAGTTGCCGAGATGAATTGCTCACGATGACCATAAAGAGTGACTGGCAGATCGCCGCAGTCAATGCTAGGGCTTTACTCAGAAGAACCTCGTGTCAAGGGATACCACCGCTTCGTGTAAGTCTATTATTATTCCTATCAAAAAATCTGCAGTTGCACAACATGACTGTCCTGTCACATAAAAAGCGTCGATAACCCGGTTATCCTATTGATTCGCTGTCTGGTCTAGCTTGCTCTTGACCAGATTAGCCAATAGCAAATCACGATTTCCCTCAACCTTCTTCAGGTCGACTTGCGATATCCACCCATTGACATTCTTTTTTAAGCCGTTCACTTGTTCCTCGGATCCCAAGTCAAATTGGTTCATCGCCATATCGTCGAGCCACGATTTCAACGCCGGGCCCAGATGATCCATGAAATAGGTAAAGTCTCCCCCTCCCCCAAGAGTATTTGTCATTATCGGCCCTGTCAGTGCCCAGCGCAGACCGAGACCGGACGTGACGGTTTTGTCTATATGCATTAGCATCTCCCGCACATCCCAGTGGGGAGGAAATTCAGTACTCACCAAGATCTTCGGCGGAGACAATTCCTCGTGATACGAGACTGTACGCTTCGGCACAGATGGCGGCCTGTAGC